GTCCACATGGGGAGATTTAGCTCGGTGGGATATGGATGTGGTTGGTGCATAGGGCTTGGTATTGCGTTTGAATCGGGCGCCCAGTGACTCAGCCTCTTCTTACTTAGCCCGACCTAGACGGTGAAAGATAGCACAGCCTTAACAGTGCCACAGTTTCTGATTACTCCGTTGTTTTACTCCGTACACCGCTGTGAATCGACTCATTTATATAGTTGATGCTTTGGATGATACTGCTTTTTCGCTTGGATTTGGCGGTGATGGGTAACTTCGTGTGTGTTGATCTGGTGGGGACGATTAGGCTCCCGCATTCCTGGTGTCGCTAGCCCGTATGTATGTACGGATCAATAATTAACTTGGAAGTTGGTAACTACCTTGGAAGCCGTGTTGGCAATGCTACTACTGTACATGTATGCAAGAGTGGTTCAGATGGAATTTATGACCAGATTGTAGAACTATCCATGGTAGTTCTTATTCCATGATACTGATACTGTGCAGACCACACATAAGTTATCCAGGTGCATACAGCACCCGCACTGCATGTACTCCGTCTCGGTACATATCTACATGCATACCGGTAGCGTCAACAGCCATAGGGCTGAGACAAGTGGAGACCAGGCTGATGAATCACCCATGTAGGATATCGGGGCGAAGAGAAAACAAGCTTGGAGAAGTGGAGGGGTACTATTCTTGTCAATTATATGCCGTCAATTTGAATGTAAATGGAAATGCAAATGGATAAATGTCAACTGGAGTCTATTCCAAAGGATTAGATACTGTTCTGATATTGATATCGTACACAAAAGAGCCTCAATGGGCGAACAAGCGGGGTCCACGCATGCGGTGGTAAATCCCCCTCCAAAACAAAGAAAACTCCGATTTTCATAAGGCCTCCCATCTACCATCTCCATCTTCTCCAGCTCACACCTTTCAGCTGAACGACAGCCGAACTTGGTTAAACAGACCCCAAAGCACCGTGACTCAACCCACGAGCCAAACCAGAACGTAACATCCGCAGAATATCCTCACCCCTGGTTGACTCAGGCAATCCAACACGCCAATCCCAGCCACGATCACCAACAGCAGACATGTCACTAGGACGGGGGACGAGAACACCCGAGCCACCCATAGAAGCAGGACCCGAACCAGAACCAGAGCCAGAGCGCGTGCGCGCTGACTCGAGAATGCCGTTGCCCATCAAGGAGAATGTCGAGGCGTTGAAATTCGTAACTGATTGTTTGAATAGGGCGCGTGGGGAGGGGGGTGCGAAAGACGGGTCTGAGCTTTGTGTTGCGGCTAGGAGGGTTGAGCGGAAACATTCCTCGCATTGGGCGTAGACGCGGGGAGTGACGGTTTCTAGGTCTTCGATTGCAGAGAGGATGGTGAATTGTTGGGAGACTGTGAGGACAGGGGTTGGTTCTAGTCGGGTCAGTTTGGTGTTATGAAGTAGTGGTATGGGAAACTGACGGCTCACGAATACTAGGGCTTCGCCAAGTAGTGCTAGTAGTCCGTCGACTTGGACGGCAGAGTCGCGATCTGGGTCGTACAGTCCTCCGTAGATGTTATCGGCGGCACTGCCGATGACAGCGGCGAGGGCTTGGGCAGCGGCGCGGCGTCGAGCTAGGGGCTTGTAGCGTGGCCGCTCGCCTTCTTTGAGTTCGAATTCTTCATCACGAATCTCATAGAAGCGGCGCAGAGTTGCGTAGCCACTGAGGTAGAATTGAAGGATGCGAGCTGCTTCCTCGTCGATCTCGGCAATCGAGGATAAGCATGTCTTTGGTTCTTTCATCATGGATCGGAGGTATGAGTCGAGGTCCGCCGTCGCAGGGTATGCCCGTGACTGGACCAAACTGTATGAAATCAAAAGGTCGACAACAGACTTCACCTTGCGGCGGCTCTGAGCACGGGCGTAGCACACAAGAGCAAGACCGAAGTCTTCGGACTTGGACGTCAACATGTCACCAAATCTCTGTTATGTGTTAGTCTCAGTAAAAAGAGAGAACGGGGCTGAACATACCTCGGAGACTCTGCGTCCCTGTTCCTCCAAGTCAAGATCCGAGCATAGAACAACCAATTTATCCAGCTGATCAGAGTTTTCTAACGGAAGCTTATCGACAATCTCAGAAACAGCCTTCTTCATCTGGTTGGTATCATTGAGTCGGCTCAGCACTTCAAGAGCCAACTCCCAGCCTTCACGGGTGGTAGTCTCGTTCTGAATAACAGGAATGTCATACAGTCCAAATGCATAGTCGCGAAGGATATCGTCCTTGCGCAGGTGCCGGGACGGAGCCTTGTTATCCTGGCCGTACGAAAGAACCATCAAGTCATTCTCTGATAGACCAGGGAAACTCTTCTGGCCCCGACTGGACTCGAACCAGAGTCCTTGGCTGGCAATTTCTGCCACGGTGGCAGCAATGCAGAGAGACCATCTCTGGAGCAATTCCAGCACGCCCTGCACGTTGCCCTCAAAAATAGATGCGAGGCCGACCTCCACACTGCTGAGAGTGTTGGGTTGGAAACTGCTGCCGGATTCGCTGGTGACATTGCTTGAAGCTAATGCAAGACGGTTGATATAAGCTTCCCGGTAGTTCATAGCGACAGCACGAGTCTGTTTAACCCTAGGTCCACGCGAGCGCAGGAAATCGTTGCCGAATGTGCTAGCATCGAATTCCATGTCCGCACCGTCGTCGTCCTCACCGTCCCACCAAGCAGTCAGTGCGATAGTAGCCTCCACCCAGTCCTGGGAATGAGCTTTGATGGCGGCCGGGTCACCGAGAAGAATCCGATAGATGGACCTCAGGCTTTGATAGATTGACCAGGGAATACGGCTTTCGGCCATGCGAGCGGACTGAGTGAACGACATAGGTTTCTGGTTCAAGTTGTTCAACCCAAAATTGACGGCTTGGAATCGGTTCTCCGGAACGGGTACGATGGACTCATCTCGTTCCTCGCCCTCTGCAAATTCTTCTAGCTCCGTGATAGATGTCACAACGCGTTTCCGGTATGCAGCCCACTCCGCACCATCGACGTTCCAGTTGTCCATCTTTGTCCCAGGGCAAGATTCGAGGATCAGAAGAGCCCGGTTGACCTCGCGCTGAATGTTCTGCAATTGCGCGCCACGGTATCCAGGCTGTGGCAGCCCGTCCTGCAGTGCGGAGCGGGCATAGTTGAAGTCCGCAGAGCGAAGGATCTTGGCTGCTTCGTCCAAGTGACCACGCAGCACTGACGCGGTAATGATATCCCAAAAGTTCGACGAGGCAGTCGGGTTTGGTTCCACATATTTCAATTCTTGTAGGCCCTTCGTTTGCGGCGCATGATTATCATTGAGCCACTCAAGCAGAATCTGGGGGTAGGGCTTGGGGTTGCTGGATCGCGCCAGAGCCTGGACCATGCCTAGACCCAAATTGGAGGGTGATTCACGGGCAGGCTGGTTGATTTGAAGTAGCAATGAAGCTAAAAAGCTTGCTTTGACCAGGTTGGGAGCTTGCTCCCCGGGTCCAATGCCGGACTGCGCATTGTACGGCCGACTAATTCCACTGCGGTCAGCAGACGCCTGCCAAGTTGCTGCCAGTTCTTGGGAGATATCGGCCAACACGGCATCGAAATCCACATGTCTTTCTTCTGCGGCTTTCATCTCATCGGCAAGCTTGCCAAGGATATCCTCCGTGGCAAGGATCATATCGCTCGGCTCATTGACAGCAGGCATGCGGGTCCGGGAAGCTAGGTTGTGCAGGATGGATGGCATGGCGGATGCTTTCTTCGGGGAAAGCTTGGTCTTTCGCGGCGACTGATTTGTCCAGTGTTCGTCGAGCTTCGGCCGCTTAGCATCACTAGGATTCGAGTAGATGGGTTTGCGCTGAGCGAGAGCAGGAGCAGGAGCAGGAGCAGGTTGGGGTTGTGGGTTTCCGAACATCGAAGTGAAGCTAAAAGGCTTTGGCTGGTTTTGGGATGTCAGGTCCATATCCTCTTCAGCTTCCTCGACCTCCTCCTCCTCCACTTCATCCTCAAGCTCTTCAGGCTCCATCTCTTCGTTCTCTTCCTGGTAGTCGCTCATTTGCGACGAGGCAAACCCATTGGAGTGGCCGAAGTTCATCGAGTCGCCAAATGCGGTTCCATTTGTCGCGACACTGTAACGAAGATTCGACGCGGTGGTGGGTTTGGTCGAGGGCGCTTGGGTTCGGGGCATGGCATAATCGGTCGAGCCAAACGAGGAGCCAAAAATGCTGTCATTCGTGTTGATGTTTCCGGACTTGGTAAAAACGGAGTTGGAGAACTCGTTCGTGGAGAAAGAGTGTTCATTTCTTGAGAAGGCCATACGCGAGCCACCGTTGACAGTAGATGTTGGCAGCCCTTGCGGTGTGAATGACTTCGCGCTGGATGGCGGCGGGCCGGCAGGAGTTGTCGACACGTTACTCCACAAGCTGCGAGAGCGATCTCTCTCCGGGGTCTCAGGGGGACTAGATTCGTAAGGTACTTGGAAGGACATTGTGACCGGCGGAGATATCACAATGGAGAAGGACGGTTAAGAAGCATCAGAGAAAGGAAGTTTTGGGCCGCAATATCTCTGAGGGTTGGGAGAAACAGCAATCAATCAGACAGTTGCTGCAAAGTGATAGAAAGGGTCGATGAGTGATTTTGATTGTTACAGGAGCTCCCTCGTCTCCGAGTTTGACGTGTTTTTACTACACTTTCTGCATTGACGCGACGGCGAAAGTTCTCAGGCAGTAAGGCATACATAATCAGGTGATCTTCGTATCAAGTCACGTGTAGAAACAATCACGTGGGTTGGTATCACGTGGAATCACGTGGCAGTGTATGGGGGCCAAACCCTCATTGGATCGGGGCCAACACTGCCAACAAGGGTAACAAGGCTCAGTTGGAGCGCCCGAGACGATCTTGGCCAGACTTAGAAAGCCTTGGGATGCGAGGCTGAATCAGGAGACTGGGTTACATGTATATATAAGAAGCGCATCCTCCACATGGTCCAATCCAACTAAATCACCATGGATTCCATGATAACTGCTCAATACTTCATCAAACAGAGCCAGTTCCGACATCATTACACAGTCACCCTCCCTGGCAACAGGCAACTCTACCATGTGCAGAATTCTGGGTTCACACCAGGCAAGCCAGATTTAACCTTCCACAAAAGTACGGACACCAGTGGCCCCATCGCGGGGGTTGTCAAATTCCGACATTTCTCCAGTGATGCAGAGATCGGCCTTGGCGACCCAAAACAACCCAAGGTCAAGGAAATCCTGCACAAAGAGGGCTTTTTCAAGAAAGCGCATTGGTTCCGCATGACGGCTAAAGACGGAGCACAGACTTTCACTTGGAAACGCACTCATTCTCTTGGCCGTGGGTCTGAATGGTACAAACTTGTTGAGGAGAGTACTCAGTCTGTTGTGGCTGTCCTCTCGGCGGGCTCTCTGGTCAAAGGGAATGGGAATATTGATATTTATGTCCCCCTGGGTGAGCAGTTTTACCAGATGACGCTTTTTACTGGGATTGCGGTGGTCGAGAAGTCAAGGAGACAGAGAAGTTCCGCAGCTGGAGCTGGTGGAGGTGGAGGTGGAGGATGTTAGCCAAGACTGTTTCATTATGTTTTAAGGTTACGAGGTCATGACAATGCTGCCTAATTTTCAAGGTTATAAGGTGGAGAGAATTAAGGTCGATCGATTTACAAAGAACTAAAGTCGGGGAGTCCGAGGGGTCCGAGGCAGTGCAGAGACATGTTTCACACTAGACAAGCCTTTTTTTCCATGTTTGATCGACAGGGTTCTGTTATGTAATCCTATACAATATCCTGTTGCCTAAGATAATAATTCTTCCAGAGCCTCACTTTCTTACTTCAATTCAATTATGGCTTCAGATTGACATGGCGCTCCGACGACCACATCGGAAATCTCGTCACGGCTGTGTAGAATGCAAGCGGCGACGAGTAAAGGTAACACCATTTCCACAATTCCAGAAAAATCACTCATTCTCCCATAGTGCGATGAGACCCGACCCTCATGTTCCAATTGCGCTAAGCGCCATGCCGAATGTGAATATGAGTCGTCAAGCTCTCTCCTCTGGGCAAATGAAGAAGCCTCCCGCTCTCGCGCCTCCGGGTCAGACAGTGGCCACCGAGAGGAATCCCTAGGGCAATCCCCCTCAAATCCAGAAACCGACTCGCTCGGAATCCTCAGCCATCTCAGCGGAAATGCATCACTGTCCAGCCCGACGCTGAACTTCCACGACCTAGAGCTGATGATGCAGTGGTGCAACACAACGTACCACACCCTATCCCGCGACGAGCGCACAGATCCAGTCTGGCGCAATATCGTTCCAGAAGAAGCCCTCTCACATCCCTTCCTAATGCACGGCATCCTCGCCGTCTCAGCTCTCCACCTCGCCAGGACAGGTCCAGACCCATCCCATCGAGCCTCGTATCTCAACCGCGCAGTAGCCCACCAGAACCAAGCCCTAGCGCTGTTCCGCGAGCTCCTCGGCGATGTCAACGAGAACAACGCAAAAGCAGTGTTCGCCTTCGCTGGCATCGTCGTCGTCTACACGTTCGGATTCCCGCATACGCCAGACGCACAGGATGCCTGGGCCTGCGTGGACGATCTATACCAAGTCCTGATCCTAACACGCGGCGTGCAGCAGGTTATCTACGCGCCGCGGGATTTCAGCACATTTCTACGAGAAAGTAACTTCAATCCCATTCTCCAGGTGGATGAGGTCCGCGGTGTGATACCCGATGATGCGAGCGCCGCATTACGCAAACTTTACGAGGCCAATGATGCCTGTCCGGGTGCGGATCAAGAGGTTTACCGGCTGGCCATTGTGAATTTGGAGGAGATGCTTAGTTGGGTTTATGGCGGGATGACAGCCAATACCATTGCCGGGCGCTGGGCGATCCGCTTGCCGGCGCGGTTTATGGAATGCCTACGCGAGCGGGAACCCTTGGCGCTCGTCATGTTGGCGTACTATGGCGTGCTCTTGACTTATTTGCAGCATCGGTGGTGTTTTGACGAGTGGTGTGTGAGAATCCCCAAGGCTGTGTGGGCTATTCTGGATGATCAGTGGAGACCACTGGTGCATTGGGCTATGAAGGAAACCCTCGGTGTCAACTACCTGGAGCGGGTGGAGGTTGACTGACTGTTATTTTTCATTATTTACCATATACCCATCCAATTTCCAATTGCGGTACATTACCGAAATCAATTCAAAACCTGAAACACGAAACTCCTCGTTCCCCCAGATTCCACATTCCCCGGTTAAACCATCACATCAGCTCCCACCTTCAAGCCCCCCATCCGCACCACAGCCCTCCCCTTCCCAAGAAGGTAGTTAACCTCACTAGGATGAACAACCACAAAGATAACCATAAGCGCAAACATTAACAACCCATCGAAAACATAAATAAACGCCTCATGGCCCATGACATAACCATACGTGCCCTGAATATACTCAACAACACGCACAACAGACCGAATAAGAACAAGAATACTAGACGAGTGCAAAGCCCACATATGCTTGCGCCAGGGGTACTGGTCAGCAACAGCACTAGCAGCAGAATCAGCCCGAATGCGCCGCTGGAAAACAAGCGCGCTGATGAGGAAGAATCCAAAGAAGATAATCTGAACAAATAGACCACCAATGATGACGTTTTGGCCTGTACTTGATGACGAAGATGAGCCTGAAGCCATGATTCCAGCACCTGAAATAATGACAACGATCAGCAATGAATCGTATTTGTGACAGTGACTTAAAATAAGAATCGAGAGGAGGTCATACCAGATGCCTGCATCAAGAAGCTCAACACATCTCCCGCGACGAATATCTTGGTCATCCACGATACCCTCACAAGCGCCAATTTCTCACCCTTAACCATGAGCACGATTCGTCCGAGTTCCATGTAGATACTCGCTGCGAAGAGGGCTGGCGCGATGAGGAGGAGTGTACTTTGCATAACGTATGGACCCAGTGTCCAATTAGGGGATTGTTGGGCTGACATCGCGCGGCCAATGTATCCTACCAGTTCGACTGGAAGTTCGGTGTTAGTTTTGTAACGTATATATTATAGAGCTCGAATTGGTTTGGATTCGGGTACGGATAGATCTTACAGTATCCGCCGATAACCAAAGGGATGAAGAACCATGTTCGTGTGCGGAAGAGGTGAAATGTATGTAGGACGGTTGTGACTGCGAAGAGGATCACGAAGATCACGGCTGCGGCGATGGAGGGGCTGTATGTATATGCGATCCAGCTACTTTCTGAGGAGACCATTTTGATGTGGACGTTGGTGGTGTTTGCGTTGGATGTAGGCTGTATATTGCTGCGGAGTATACTCGAGTCAAGTAAGTGGTGGAGTTTCGGAGAGTGCTAAACGAATTGAATGGAATTAGAAAATAGAGCTGACTTCAGGACACTTATATGTCTATTTCCCTTCAGAATTTTCTCTTGGATATAAATAAGATCGGGGCAAATGCAATGCATGGCTGGTATACGGTTCGTATACTCGTACACATATCTCGATATGGTTAGTGTGGGTCCCGCTAAGCCGAACATGGAACTAAGTACGAGGATACGAATCTATATTTTCTTTTCTTCTTTTCAATGCGGCACGCGTCCGATTCAAGCTTTCAAGCGGGCTTCTGGATCTTCGAGGGTCTCGCTCAGACCCCTGATTTTATGGTAAGGGACTTGGCAAGGCTGGGATTGGATCTTTGTTTGTATACGGCTAGACCCTGATGTACTAGAATAGACCTCGGCAGTCTGCAAGATCTTGATTGGTGGCTCTTGACTATATCTCCCAACTGCAACCTATCAAAGCTCCATGTATTTACATGCAGATCAACATGCTGGATAGGGCGAATGTACATTAATATACTATACACTCACAACTTAGCCTGCTCCCCACCATTCTCCAGAACATACCGATACCTCGCCTTCCCCTCATGCATATCAACCAATGCCTGATTAACATCCCTCATAGCCCTCCTCTCAACCCAAGGCAAAACCTGCTTCTCAGCCGCCAACTCCAACATATCCCTAATATCCCCCGGCGACCCAATATTCGACCCAGTAACCTTAACCCCCTTCTGAATAAGTGACCAAGCCATAAGCGGCGGCAAAGCCTCCTCAGGCGCGCCCACCTGCACAAAAACGCCATCCCGCTTAAGCAACCTCAAATACCCTGCAAACGGCATATCATGCGCAGAAACAGTACTCAAAACAACATCCATCTTCCTCGACCACTTCTTCTCCCACCCTTTCTCTTCCCCAGTCGCTATAAACCCATCTGCCCCAAGCCCGCCAATCGCATCCGCCTTCTTCGCACTCGATCGCGATATCCCGATTACCCGCTCTGCGCCGAGCGCTCGCGCAAATAATATCCCGAGGTGTCCTAGCCCCCCAATGCCCACAATCCCAACCGTCTTCCCGGGTCCAACGCCGTACTTCTTTAGCGGCGCATACACTGTCACGCCGGCACAAAGTAACGGCGCAGCACGCACACTAGGCAGTGCATCTGGAATCCGGAAAACAAAATGCGCAGGCCCACGCCATGAATCCGCGAACCCGCCGAAGGATTTACTCCGGTTTGCGTCGAGGTAGCGGCCGTTATATGTGCCCGTCATGCGCGCGCAGTAACTTTCCTGGCCATCGGCGCATGCTTCGCAATCAGGTTTGAGGCAGGAGCTGCTTTGCGCGCCTATGCCGACGCGTTCGCCGAGTCGGATATTGCGGATAGACGGGTTTGTGGGGTGGTTGGGCACCTCGCTGCCGATGCGGCGTACTGTGCCGATTATCTCGTGGCCGGCTACGCAAGGATAATCTGTTGGGCCCCAGCCCGAGTTTAGGGTGTGGATGTCTGTGCCGCAGATTCCGCAGTGGGTTATGGAAATTTCGATGTCGGTTGGTGTGAAGGGTTTTGGGGTGTAGGTTGTGTAGGATAGGGGGGTTTTGGCCGAGGTTGAGACCCAGCCTTTGAATGTCTCTTGGGACATTTTGGTTGTGGTCTGTTCGACGGTTGGGGATTGAGGTTGTGTTGGCGTGGATGAGAGGTAGATGGGCAATTGGATAGGTAAGTACTTTGGTATGTCTGATAGTATCGACAAGGAATTATGAAGATTAAGAGCAAAAGTTTCCAAGAAGACTAAAGTGGACTTGACATATGCGGAGAACAAAGTTACCGAGGTCGAGCTTAACTCCGGCTCCACTAAATGAACATATTTACATTGGGGTATCAATTACCGGGCTACGCCCATCAGATCATCGAGCTCGTCAGTTGTGAGGGTACTACGACGCCGGTTCGCTGGCCGGGCCTTCTCTGGACGGCTCCTCTTTCTTGATTCGCGCTCCTTGCGTTCATTTTGAGCTGCGCGTGCTTCGTCTTCGACCGCGGCTAGCTTTTCGTGAACGCTCATTTGTGATTCGTTGGCATTGGGCTGTACGGGATTAGTCCTGGGGATCTCTAATGGGTTGTTTTCGTTGCATACCTGACGGGTGTCTTTTGTTTCGGTCTTTCGTCTGGAGGATCTCTGCGTGACAGACTCGGTTTTGTATGCTTTGATTGGTAACGTGTCGTCTTCCGGGGTGGAAACGCATGGTGAGCCTTGTAGGCCTGGTGTGAAAGAGACCTTTCGGGGACGTTTTGTCATTGCATTTTCACTCCGCTCCCTTAAAGCTCGGTCTGGTCGCTCGGGTACTTTGCGAATCTTAGACCTGGTCTTCGGTGGTTGGGCCATTTCGGGCTCTGGTGCTTTCTGCTCGGAATCACTCATGTCTTCCTCGCCTTGGTCTTCCAAAATTGTCGGGATGGGGTTGGACTCTGACATGCTTTGCATACTGTCCTCGTTCGAGTTAATGCTGAGATCGAGGTTCATGCCGCGCTTCAATTCTTCGGGCCGGATGGAGTCTCCACCATCTGCAAGGCGACGCTGCCAACCCCCCATCATAGTAACCGCCTGTTTCCAGCGGCTTTCCATCTTTACCCAGCCTTCCCGCAGCCGCTTGATCTCTTCATCTCTCGTCTCAACTTCTTCAAGAGGCACGAAAGAGGGGTTTGTAAGGAGTGTCCGCAGATGATCCAATACTGTTTCCATATGAACAGACAGCTCTTCACAGGAAGTTGGAAGTGAAGTAACAGGCCCCGAAGACTTGTTCGGTCCCACACTTGCACCCATACTCGCCTGTTCATTCTCATTCTTCCCCTGGTCATGCTGTGGAATCCCTTGTAGGTCCTTCAGGGTATGGACAGTGCTCCGTGCAAGCTCAATTAATGTATCATTCTCGTCGCTGAGATTCTGACACAGCTCCGTTAAAAAGTCAGTCGTCTCCTGTTTCAAGCTGTACCCCGGATCATTGACTCGATCTCCACCGCTAGCCCCAAGTCGTGATCGATCGGCTGCAGGGTTGATGTTGATTGTGGTGACAGTCAGACCCTCTCGCTTTCCCCTCCGTCTCTCGTCCAAATGCGACTTTAGCTTCTGCATTTCCAAATCCCGTTTGCGAATATCGTTGGCGCATTGCGCGCGCACTTGCTGAACCGTACTCTTCATGCGCTGGATTTGTTCTTTGAATCCTCGGATCGTAGCTTCGGCGCTGGAAAGATTGGACTTGAGTGATCGTTCCTGCGCCTCTGCCAGCGCTAGCGAGCGGGTCAAGTCTGCTGATTTCGTCTTGAGTTTTCCCTGCGAAAAGACAAGCGTTAGAACTGTGGTCGGTGTCCAAGAACAAAGAGTATAGACATACAATCTCCACGGTCTGCTCCGACTCGCTCGCCTGCAACGTGCGAATAGTCGTCGCTAAGCTCTCGCGGTGCTCAGCTTCGCGCTAGAGTCTGTTAGTCGCCATCTAGTCGCATAGAGCACAGTACACGCACGTCTCTCCTCAGCACCAGATCATTCACCAAGTTAATCACTCGGGCCATGGTACCGTCGGTCCCTCCCTCTTCATTTTCAGGATCGGCGAAATCAATAGCCCGGCCACCTCTCAGCAGGCCCCGAGCCAGCAAGATATTGTTGACATAGGTTGACGCTGCCTGTAAATTGTGCTCCATTTTGGCGTCGGAGCGTTCACTTGCCAATGTAATGCCAATACCCGAATGGGGAACAAAGTAAACACGGCAGTTTACGGCGTGGTTGGCAGGCCAAATGTGCAACTCTAGCGGAGTGATTCTGCCGTTTCTGCCTGAATTTGAAGGCAGAAATGGATCGGCAAATCAGGCTTCAAGCTTCAGAGCACTGTAGATCAATGCTGTACAGATCAGTTTTGCTAACGTCAATGTTATTGCAAATCTTATGTGTGTTCTAACTAAAGAGTCCATCCCCGTCAACACATGGGGCGTGCGGCTGAAATCAAGTGCGTGGGCATGAGGCTCTGATCAATCTCCTTCCCGCGTCTGCTTCACTCTTTATCTCCGCCCCACAGCTTCGCAACATCCCATCTCTCTCTTTCCCAATGACCTCAGGAATGCGCATAGGGCGCGGCCCCGAATCAAAGAGTATCGACCAAGAGAAATTAGCCTCTCTACAACGTGCTGGCCAGAAGGCATTCAAAGCCGGTGATTTCCAACACGCGCTCGAGTCCTTTACCCAGGTACGCCCTAGCTTGTTTACTTGATCGAACTAGCTATTAACAACTCAATTAGGCCTTGGCTGAGAATAAAGATGATATTGGACTGCTTGATCACCGCTGTGCCACTTACGGCAAGTTGCAGCAGTACAGTTTGGCTCGCAACGATGCTAGAGCTATGGTGAAACTGGCACCGACTGACGAACGTGTAAGATCTGCACGATCCGCCACTGGCGTATAAACCCTATACTAACAGATCCAGGGGTATCTGCGTTTGGGACAGGTCCTACGTCTGGATGGGAGCCCCGAGAAGGCCCTTGCTATTTATGAATATGCCCTGCAGAAGCTCCCAGAGGACAATCGAAGCCGCGATGTAAGTTTGCTTCCTATGCAAGTAAAATTGCATATCTCCGAGTCATGTCTTCTTTGACTTTGCACAACCATAAAATCCTCTTTCCCTGCTAACTGTGCTCAGACTCTGAGCCAATTGCTGAAGAAAGTGCAAGACCAACTTGCGGGAGGTAACCGACGCGATCCATTCACGGTGCTGCCATTAGAGCTTGCAGAATGGACCCTCAAGAGCTTCTCCTTCCAGGAGGTCGTGTAAGTATCCGCTTACTACATCTCGATTCGTCAGCTCATGCTCATATATAGGGGAATTCTACGTGTCTGCAAAGGATGGAACCGTTTTTTGAGAGGAATTCCAAGTCTTTGGATGGATGTAAATCTAACTGGAGCGCGAACACGCGTTCCCTGGACATCCGTTAGAAACTATATCCACCAATCCAAGGTGGCACTGACCCGTGCGAACATTCATAATATCGTGCCCGCAGCTACGCTCAAAGTACTCGACATGCTGAGCAGATGCCCCCATCTGGAACATCTAGAAGTCTGGGTTCCTCATGATAACCCACCGCAATTTTATGCCAAAATCTTGAATTTCAAACGCCTGAAAACTCTTGTCTGCTCAGACGTCGAGATTTCGCATGCATGTGTCGGGAAGATCTTGTCGGGTCTTCCTTTGCTCGAGAAGGTGGCGTTTTATAATATTTGGCAGACCAGACAGCATAGTGCCCCAGCCTGGCCAAAGCATCTCCCGAACTTGAAAAGCCTCACTATTGGCTCTTCACACCGTGATCCAACCAGACCGTTTATCCCATTCTCCTCGCTTGTGATTCCTAGACTAGGTTCGGTAAGTTTCTGTTTCTTTATCGCCCGACGTCAATACCTGTGCTTACCAGATTTGAAGATTGGACAGCCCGCTTATCCCAATTTAGAGGAGCTTCGACTTGTCTGGCACCCAGCGCGTTCCAAATCATTCAAATTTATCACCCTGGAACAAGGGGAAACTCTTCCGCCGCTTCGTACGCTGGAACTTCACGGCGCTCAAGTTCAACCCGACTTTTACGCCACGCTTCCCAAATCGCTCGAAAGCCTGCGGTGCTATGCGGGTTCAGTCGACAATTTCCCTCCAGGCATAAATATAATGAACGACGCTGAGAACGAGCTTCCCAACTTGACGACTCTGATATTCGACGATACGCCATGGGTCACCCTAGGTAATTTAACGTTATTCCTATGGGCCTCCAAAGCACCCATTACAACCCTTCACGTCAACTACTGTCACAACATCAGTGCCGACGATCTCATCAAAAATTTTATCGACGATCCCATGCAAATAAATCCAGCATTGAGCAAGATGACCAATCTTGGTATCGCCGGCATAGCGGGTATCGACGACACCAATGTCAAGCATATCTGCACAGCACTTCCAGGTCTGAAAATTCTTGAACTGTCCGAGACAAAGATCACTGGCTGTACGATTCGCATGTTGGCAGATTCCAAGAATGATGATTCTGCTATGGCGAAGCTCGACGGTGTGATTATCAAACGCTGTGATGGCGTAGATTCCGATGCGATTGACTATGGACGTAGCATGGGTCTCTTGATACTCACTTAATAAACTCGGTATAAAGAATGTGGGATGTATAAGGTTTGTCTTTTATTAGCTAGATTTGATAATACCGTGGTTGATTAGATTATTACTGCTACATGGACACGGCCATGCGGAAACCAAATTGACAACTGATATCTCTACCCTGATATTTCTACTGTGATCCTCCAAATGCATGAATTTGTTATTGGTCAAGGATGCAGATATGCTGTGTGAAAACCCTAGTGATGGATACTTCCGGTAAATGAGACCCTGAGGAGTCTCGAAGCAGGACTTGGAACCCATCACCTGTGGGAGTATATGCGGGGGTCTACTTACTATATTCACTAAAGAGCCTTATTGAAAGCCCATATATGTACTTGTATATATAGGTTTTTAGGCCGTGGCTGCGACTTGCCCGATTAGGTGCCGCCGCTTTATGAGGGCGCTCAGGGTCATGCTCACTGAGCATTTCTTAGTGTGGTCCCGGACAGACGCTAGGGCCTAGTATATATACCGCTACAACGTACAATCGGCGTTCCGATTGCTGTTATGATCTTTTGGCCGAGTGGCATAATGGGTCTTGTGTAATTCGTTAGGTGTGCGTGAGATTACATTCCCCCTTCACTTAAATGATGTGGATTTCTCATGGGAAGTCTCACATTATGCTATCTTCCTTTAGGCCTTTTTTTTTCCCCCCCAGCATGAGGGGACTGCGATGGTTGCAATGGCCTATATGGTCCTCTTTTTGGCACTCCACTTCGAATATCTCCAGTTGTGCTTTCTGGTCACTTAGACGCCTATTCCTTCCATTTCTACAACGGCAAAACGGGGAGGCGACCCTAACTCGCCTCGGCTGACGGCGAAGGGCTACAGTACGTCCCAAAACTTGTGTCACCACCTGCACTCTTCGATTGTTTCTCCTACCCTCGTTGCCAAGATACGCTAGCTCATATTAGAACAGCGTTGGAATCTCAATATTTCTGTATCGTCATACATACAAATAGCTTCCACAATGTATTACAAGGTTTGTATTTGACGACAGTATTGGGGTTCCACGGTGTTGGAAATAAGCAAATCAACCAGCCATGGTAATGTACGTAGGCATTATAGGTCATTCGACGAGAATCCTTTCCAGCCTCTTTGCTGCAGAGCCGTTTTGCGGGATAAGTTTCTTATCTCGATTTGTTCTGGATCATTCGGGCAGTCCCGAAAAGACACGTCCACTATTGCTCCATCGTCGCACGATGTAATTGCCAAATGTTCTAACATTTGTGGAAACCTTTCCTGTGTATTCCGCTCTGTCAATAGCCTATAATTCAAGACAATGTGTCAGATGCGCGAAGTGAAGTAGGGTTATTTGTTATCCCACGACTCAGTCTTACATTCGCTCCAGTATGACCTGCTTGTCGGCATTTTCTTTTTCCTTCTTAGCATCAAAATACTGCTACCTGCGAATCTCATCTTCTAGAGTTTTACGGTCCCATTCCGACTGAATCATGTTCTTAATTAGCTGTTCGAGGCTCAGAAATGCATCAGGCACGTCCTCGCAATCAAATCTAAATGAGTTTTCGTCCTCGTGAAATTTTGTAACAAACACATCGCCATACCAAAAAAATTTCCTCAAAAGGAACAGAGTCGATCCCTAAAAAGGACATTAGGTACTTGTTCGGCGGAAGATCATCATTTCGACACTAGTAGAAAAGATAATCCCCATTAAGTTCTGCTGAGGCTTAGTCCTTGACTGATATCCATCGGTAGGCGCGGTCGAAATTGGATTTACGCCAGTAAGTGCTCAAGTCAGGAATGCGAAAATTCACAGGCTCTGGGCCCGGGTAGTCGGTTAGACAGTCGTAAAAATTAATCAATTGATAATAGGCGGGATCTCCAGTGGCCGGAAACCGAATGCACAGCTTAGAGCACACAAACTCTTTTAAAGAACCAATCTCGCCTTCCGTACTACCTAGCGTTGTCCAGGACTCTGCTTCTCTCAATTTTGCATGTGCTCTTTGCCTCAGTGCTCCTCCCGCAACTATGATATTTGCCTCAGATTCTGCTTTTTTTGCTCGTTAGGTGCGAGGGATATCCTTGAGCTGCTGCTGCATTAACACCTAAATGTCTTAAAGAGCAGCAGATATATTGAATTGAACGCGAGGATAAGGAAGTGGATCGCTGCCTAGTGCGATATGCCAAATTGGGTAGACCGTGCCGTGGGAACCGCGTGTTTAGTAGAATCCTTAAGTATTCGTCCTCCTATCCTTGTAGCAGGTAAAGAGCTAGTAGCATAGCCAGCATGACAATCTACTGTGGCCACCCGATATACGGAAAAGGATTTGTGTTAGGGGGAATAGAACATTCGAATTGTAGAAGAAGCTGAAACTCAGCATGGCAGGTAGTCAATAAATCGGTCTTAGGACCCCAGAGCTCGTCAAGTTGGCGTTTCTGCGGTTGAGGAACTCGTTCCACTTTTATTAGGTCTTGAACCCGTCGGCTCAGTCGGCCCTTTTTCTGCCATCTGGCATTGGGTGGAGGGAGACAAGAAATGGTTACTGTTTCGAAAGATCGAAGCTCGATGGCGGTCTCCTTGAATGTCTCATATACAGATCTCAGGCGGCCTAAAAAGCGCACAGAGCGTCGAATCCTTTCACTCTGAGACGTCAGTCCATTCGGCATAGGCTCATGACGTAGCTGATAGGCAATCGATACGATACGTTCCAAAACCTCCGAGGGCATGCTGTCAGTCTTGTATTGTGCAGACAGTTGATACATTTCTTTTGCCAACAGAATCCCATCCGATTTCGCAATGAAGGCGGCAGCGAGGTCATTCTCAGATGAACTTTTGATTTGAGATACGTAGATACGTAGACGTTGCTTGTAGTAGCCGATGAGTTTCATCCACATATGATCCTTGTCGATGGCTGGTCGCTTCATGGTGGACGCGATGATTCTGATCCATTTCGTCAGACTATCTGCCAATTCTCCGTCTATCTTCATTCGCTTCATGTCTTCCTCTGCGTCGCTTCCAATCCCATTCTTTGCAACATATATAATCGGGTCACCGTGATCGATGACTAGGCCTGAGGCCGTCACATGGATGGCTCCGTTTTTCTTCGCTTTAGCCCTCCGTCGTTCATGACGTGGGATAGTTTTTTCTTGGGAAAATGTTTCGGCAATATGATCAAGAAATTTCGCTAGGAGTTGGTCCTTTGACGTAGAGCCTGAGAGCTAGTCCATTATTGTTGAATCATTTTCAGCTTCGAGACCCCATTCATCCTTGCTTGAAACGTTTTTAGTAGTAGTATGTTCCGGGATTTCCTGTGATCCTTGAGATACCGAAAGAAGAGAGGCCAGCGAGAGGAAGGTTATGTTATCAAACCCAAATATATTTGACATCTTTCAGAATTTGTTGAATATAATGGTAGTAAAGGACAGTCCAGCTCGATATTCGGAACGCGGTCGGTCTCCCAACCCCACCAGACGGCGGCTGGTGGGGTTGGGCGGCCACGGGGATTGGGCGCACGCCAGTTCCAAAGTGGAGATCGAGGTACTGTATGAAGGTCTCGAACGCAGGTTAATACACCCTGCCATAAATTCTGTGTACGAAACAATACAGATACCACTGACAAGGATACTCTGAAAAGCTGCTATAGGATTACCCCGAAGCCGGGATGGCGCTTATCCCACGCCACAAAGCTACCATGAGACCATCCGTCGGCACAAACTTGCTCCGACCACCTATATATTATCGCGCGTATTTCACATCCACTCACCAGTATACATGTTAGGAACCACGTGCTAATTTCCCTCCATCTATCCAAACAATATGCGAGTCCTCTTATTAGGAGCAACAGGTAGCCTCGGCTCCCGCATCCTATCAGCCCTCATAAAAAGAGGCCACACAGTCTCTGTCTTTGTCCGAAATCCATCCAAACTAGCACCAGGCGTTCACGATCAACTCTCCAGCATAGAGCGCGGGGACGCAACAAAGAGCGCCGAAATCAAAGAAGCCGCGATCCGTACCAACTGCGATGCTATTGTAAATTCAGCCGGGCTTGCGTCGGTCTCGCCTTGGGGTCGAAGTGATCTTCCTGAAATCGTTGAAGCGGTTCTCCGCGCTGCGCAGGAGATTGGTCGTGAGCGTGGGCATCCTTTGAGGGTTTGGTTGCTTGCCGGTCAGGGGCTTTTGGACATTCCTACTCAGAAGTATAGGCTTGTGGATTAGTAAGTGATGTCTCCGTTGTTGTGGTATTCCAGACTCACCATAGTTATCTGCCGGGGCTGGAAATCCGTAAGAGCTGGCTAACGAGACAATTAGTATCCACCTCTTCCCAGAACATAACTTGACATGGACGAAAGTTCAGGCCGTGCCTCGCGAGACCATTGCTTGGTCTGTCCTCTGCCCTGGAGTAATGAAGCCCTTGAGTTCGGTCACGTATCCGCTTGCTGATACTGCATCTGTGGAAAACCTGTTGATTTCTGCTCGTGTGCCGCCTGAATGGTCGCTCAAGTTTCTTGGCGTACCGGTGATTGGAGGGTATTTGAATCTCTTAAGCCAGGCTTTAGGCTATGGGACGACACTTGAAGATAATGCTGATTTTATTGCGTGTGATCTATTGGAGGCGGATAGTCCGTGGGTTTACCAGAAGGTAGGAGTTAAAGAGCGGAAGAAGTGATAGATAATATGCAAGAACCACAGATGTATATACTATTGGGACAGTCTGATGTGTAATTCACCAACTCGGGCAGTATCCCGTTTTGTGCATTGTTGTTTGGTGCTGATTTACCTCTCTTTCTTCGTCTTTTTTTTGCCCGTTTTGTAATGGCCAAGCTGAGAGATGCTTAATGGCAGTGCTCTGACTAGCAGATCTAGAAGACTCACTGCATACACCCACCATATAACATACCGAGAATGATATCTTAAAGTCCTAAGTATCCTAAGTATTAAAGTCGCAAGAAGATACCAAAGGGACAAAGCAAACATAGTAGAGAGAGGATTTCATGTTATATAGTACATATGAGGGTATATCTTACACCACAACATCAAAGTTTTGTACAGCATGACATGCATAGCCCAAAAACAATATAAACTCCTTGCTCACATGCATCGGCACATAGTCGATAATTGCAGACCACTGGTATAGTTGGAGCACATCAAGACCAACGCGAAGACGAATTGCCCGGATCGAAGCAGCGCGTGCGCCGCAGGTATTATTCCACCTCATGACCCCGGAATTGATTTTTGGTTGGGCGTATTTGAATCGCCCGTTGTGCTGGTCACTGTCTGGAGTTTGAGATACTCCTGCTCGAGGGCTTTTTGCATTTCGAAGTCCGCTTGACGTTCTAGTCGAAGACGTTGCTTTTCCATATCGCGTTCGACACCCTTGTGCATAGCCTACCGTCAAGGAAAATCAGTATCAAGCTATCCTCGCAGATTGAAGCTGTATCATACCGCCCTATCCGCTTCTTGTGCCCAGTGGACAAACCAGACAATACCCGCTGTGCCCAGGCCAGTGGCTGCCAATGTGAACTTTGATGCGCGAGACATGGCGTATGTATAATGGACCGGCCCAGCACGGAGGTCTAGCAAACAATGAATTCAACGACAATAATCTGGACTGACAGGTCTTGGATATGAGTCGGGGATTATCAGTTTATCGATCAGCCCAGGCGGTAGGTGGGGGCAGAACCCCCACCGCTTTGGGAGGCGCTGCGTGGCTCCGATCGACCTGGACTCGGAGCTCCAGACTCGCCGTTTAATTGTTCCTGTTCAGCGCCATCTCTTCTCTTTCCTACTTACAAAGCTGAGAGGTCTCGCGCAATTATGGTGAGTAACCTGCCTCGGAATTGGTGGTCAGTTACTAACGATGAGCAGTCGGCTCAGAACTCCGCGGGCATTCAGACCCTCCTCGATGTAGGTCTTGGTTGCATGTTGGCCGGAGCGGGGAGATACTAACCACACTACTGATAGGCTGAGAGAGAGGCTCAGAAGATTGTGCAGCAAGGTGAGTGCAATCCGCTTACCCCTCGTTGTTGCAGGCAGATACTAATACGTCACATCACGTTCAGCCAGAGAATGTACGCTATTGAACTTTCCGGTCACTCACTCGACCAAGCTAACCACCTTGCAAAAATACAGACCGCACAAAGCGGATAAGGGACGCCAAGGCAGAGGCCCAGAAGGAAATCGAGGAATACAAGAGCCAGAAGGAAGAGGAGTACAAGAAGTTCGAGACTGAGGTGAGAGATACCTCTAAGACTGTCGCCATATACCATATTGACTTGGATCTATAGCACTCGAGCGGATTTAAGAAGGCTGAAGATGATGCCAACAAGGAGACCGAAGCCAAACTCCAGGAGATTAAGGACGCTGGCAAGAAGCAGGGCGACAAGGTTGTGGCGGATCTCCTCCGCGTGACAACCGATGTGAAGCCCGAGGTGCCCGAGAAGATTAAGGCATAATGTAGATATTTTTGTTATTTCTTTACTCGTCGCGGTGATGATGCGCTTGCGTGGCTGTTCATCGATATCCAAGTTTCGGACAATATTATTTCATTTTGGTTTCCCTCAGCGCTGTGGGCAGTGAATCAATCTGTCTTTCCATGATTTTGCTTTCTTGCAACCTTTGTAGATCGTAGTCCTGGTCAAGGGCTGCAAATGTTCTTGTAATTCACCATGAGGTATCAGTGCAGTCTCAAATTAAGCATGCTAGTCTTGATATTTCCCTGTTTGATTCGGCGTTTGAGCTTCAAACCTGTTGCGATTAACTGCATCCAACGCCCTACATATATTGCTAAGTAGTTTAGTCCTTCGATTGCAAAAGGAATAGGGAAAGTAGTTGTAGTCGGACTGCGGAGTATACAATTGTCACGATTTGTCCTGTCTCCACCCAATTGGAGATGTCAATGACTCTGTATTTCCATTACCCCTATTTCCTGCTATTTAGGGGGTCCATTCTAGTTACATAAGCTATGCCGGTCGGATCATCTATAGACCCGGTTTCATGCAGTATTCGTACGATATTTGTGACAACAATGTTCTGCCTGAGGCAACCTATATTTGTTTCCCGTGCGTCATTCTGCGCGGGAGCTTGATCGCCAACCTATCTACAAACGAGTGAAGACAATGAGACATGCAGTTCGAATACCGAATGCACTTAGGCGGCCATCGGTAGCATATTCACCATATGTATACTCAAACAACAGATGGTATCATGCATCCCCATACAGATCCAGACCCAGTCTTGAGCCGCGCCTAGAGGATCATGGCAGAGTGATCCACGATGAATACTCAGTGATCCGAGATAAATATGGTAAGTAAACCCCAATGAATCTCTAAACACCTGTTAACGAGGGTAGCTGCCCCCAAATACCCCGTAGTTCTCGCCCATGGCCTGCTCGGGTTTGATGAATTGCGTTTTGCTGGCCGATACCTTCCCGGCGTCCAATACTGGCGCGGAATCAAAGAGGCCCTGACAGCGCGAGGAATTGAAGTTATTATTGCTACGGTACCTCCATCAGGATCTATTGAAGCCCGAGCAGAAGAATTGGCCCGAGATATTGAACTCGGTGCGCGTGGGAAAGATGTTAATATTATTGCGTATGTTGAGCCCTTCATCTATGCATATTGATTGATATATACTGACTGGTCCTCTTATAGACATAGCATGGTGAGACCTCTCATTCGCGTGAACAGAGTTGATGCTTATATTGAATAGGGGTGAGATTGAAACCGAAAGTCCCTCCGAGATATGAGCTAATGAGGAGGTTAAAGTGGTCTTGATTCACGATACATGATCAGTCGAATTCGACCGGAGAAGTTTAAAGTCTTGTCACTTACTACTATTGCATCGCCACATCGAGGTTAGCATTATGCCCAGGAACGAGACAGCTTTATGCTGACATTTCTGCTAGGTTCATCCGTGGCAGACTATGTATTTGACCAAATTGGAGGTCTGTAAAATACACTCCTACAACTCACTAGCTACTGACAATCATCTTTCTGAACAGCTGAACGACTACCACAAATCTACTACGCTCTCAACCGACTAAATGTCGAAACAGGCGCATTTGGACAACTGACTAGAAAATACATGACCGAGACCTTCAACCCCAATGTTCCAGATATAGAGGATGTCAGGTAAGTTTGATGATACTTACATCTATGACATCTACTTATAATTCCAGGTATTTCTCCTATGGCGCAGCATTTGAACCAAGTATCTGGTCCGCCTTCCGGATGTCCCATCGAGTTCTCGCCAGCATAGAAGGACCAAACGATGGCCTAGTCAGCGTTTCCAGCAGCCGCTGGGGAGGTGAATCAGGATACAAGGGAACTCTAATGGGCGTGAGCCATCTGGACCTAATCAACTGGACGAACCGCCTAAAGTGGCTGGCCGGGGAGGTGACAGGCAACAGACGAAAGTCGGTAGACAGCAACGTTATTTTTGAAACTAGGCTGATCTTTCTGCAGGTTCAATGCTATTGCATTTTACTTGGACATTGCAGGTATGTGTTGGCATCTGAGTGGATTAGTCGACACAAGCTTATTAACTTGGCTACCTAGACATGCTGTCCAAAGAGGGACTTTGAGCCCTTCTGTCTAGTCGCAATTGTGGATATATTTGGATTGTTCTCAGCCCTGCTGTGGCTTGAAGTTACAGCGGATCGGGTGTTCGGATACGTTTGATAGTGGAAATCTTGGTGCCTGGAGCGAGTTCACGATACCACTTGCTTGTTTGTACTAAATTAACCATGAACATATTGTTGTATGCGATATAGATTCAACAGCTCGATTGAATAGATATGATTCTTTGAAATAGCTATGTTGTAGATATGCGTGTTGTAGTGATGCTATGTAGCTATATGGAACGAGTCTTGAACCGCCAAGCTTATACTTTCTGGGGCGCGGAATTAGTCCTTTGGATGTGAATTGTGGCTGTGACCCTGAGGCGCAGCATAGATCCCTGATTTCAACTCTTATACATTTCTGCCAAAGTTCTAAAAAGTCCCATACTGTTATTCTTGGCAATCAGTTGATCTGCGAACGTTCACAACGTCATTTCGGGATCCTCGCATATAATCCGCATTCCCCCCATCTCACATCCCACCTCACCGCGCCGAACCTCACCTCACCCGACCGTCCCGACAATTGACCATTGTCGCGTGTTTCTTCGGCAACCGCTGATCAAAATTTGAGCCTCCGAGGGTCATCACCAACCGAATAGAGTGCCCCGCCTGGGCCCGGGCGCTCCGCCGCCATGTCCGCAACGATCGTGCTAGACAGCCGCCACACCCATTACACGAATCTTGACTTCTTGACGGGCAAAGTCTTGCTACAGCTACCGACAGAGGCAGCTATTGGGGGAATACAGGTCAAATTGGAGTGTGAGAGTCGCACTCGCCTATCCGGTCCAAGGAACCCTCAAAATGTGCACTCGGATAAAAAGAGGACGGAGCTGGAGGTCCACAAGGTATGATGCTCTGGTCATCGTCTGCCCATGGAATACAATCTTGGTGGAGCATTGGCTGATCGGGGATGCAGATCTTGTACAAAGTGGCCACCGTCTTTCCCACGCCGGCTGTGATGCAGCATGGCTCTCCTACAACTTCATATACCTTTGCTGCTGGGTCATACGAGTATCCCTTCCAGTTCAAAGTAAGCCAACTTCATTTTTCAATAGCGAATAGCTCTAATGTCGGCTAGTTTCCCTTTAATAATTCATGCAGCAGCCACAACAGCATGCTCACCAATCTAAATTTCACCGGGTTGAAAGTCGAGGTGGCTAAAGATACCAACCGACATGTCAGGAAAACTCTTCCTCCTTCCCTAAGTGGATTCCCTGGCGAGGCAGATATCAAGTACTACGTCAAGGCCACAATCATTCGACCGCAATTCTACAAAGAGAACATCAGAGCGGTAAGTGCGATGCTGGATTAGCTGCTTCCATTCGCTAATTTGTCAGATCGTTCCTCTTAATTTCCTACCCATCGAGCCACCAAGAACTGGGAACCCCAACGAGGAAACCTATGCCAGACGACAACATCAATTCTCCAAAATTCAAAGTGGCACCAAGAAGAAGAGCATCTTCTCAAAGGGCCCATCTGCACTCAAAGAGATCTATGCAGAACCGCCCCGTGTCTCTGTTGATGCTCGACTCCCGCATCCATCTATTCTCACTTGCAACGAACCTGTTCCGCTCCGTCTCTTGGCTAGAAAACTGACTGAGACGTCGGACACAATCTTCCTCCAGATGTTGCAGATCGAGCTAATTTCTTATACAAAGATTTTAGCTCATGATCTTACTCGCACTGAAAGTAATTCTTGGGTCCTCATGAGTCGCAGCAATATGGGAACACCGCTAGGCCAGCCGGAAGATGCAGTTGGGACTGATTGGACTATTGATTCAAACCTGTGGAATCGTGTCCCATTACCTAACTCGGTAGCGCCATCATTTGAGACATGTAACATTGAAAGGAGCTACGAATTGGAGATTCGAGTTGGCTTGACCCATGGAAATGCTCGAGAGATGAAGGTATGTTTAATCACCCACCGACAAACTGTCTTTGGCTGACTATAGCGCAGCCTCAACTCATTGTGCTTCCCTTGCGCATGCCTGTCAGAGTATTCTCCGGAATTGCTCCTCCCCAAGCTCTCCTGGATGCAATGGCAGCAGCATCTCTCCAGCCAGCATCTTCCAAACAAAAACCTCACCCTAGCATACCAACAGGAACCGGAGACAGTCGACCACCCATACCTCCACGACCCACAGGCGAGCCTGTACCCGTCAATTCTGGCGACGTGTACGACGATGCACCGCCAAGCTATGAGGATGCCATGGCAGACCACTTGAGCCCAGTGGACGGGCCACGCCGCGAGTATCACCCACCCGATGCTTCCTCTTCCTCCCGGACTTCAGTGGAATCTGGAGCTGATGCCAAGCCCGCAGCCCCAATGGGTAAGAATTCAGAGGACGGGCCCGCGGCAGAAGGATCCTCGGCGCCCCGTCGTCGAGACAACCGTTCTTCCTCGGAATCCTTTGATATGCTACCCACCACCCCACCGGAATCCCAGTCTGGATCACCGCCCGCCTCGCCTGTGAGACGGTCTCAGAGTATTATGAAGGTTCCCCGGAACACTGTTGATGAAGAGAGCCCACCGCAATATGAACCTGTCGCTGAAAACCAGCTCAATGCGCCCCCGGCCGTGGAACGCCGTCCTTCGCGGAATAACCTCCGTCCTATGAACTTGGGTGTTCCCAGTCGGAAACCTGTGCCACGAAGCTCGAATAGTGGTGCAAAATAGACATCAGCTTTTCAAACCGTGTCATGATGGATACCGCAGTGAATGGCTGTTGACCTCTACCATTCCCGCTGGATGGACTTAAGTGATGTGCTATTTTGATTACATTACCCCAATATCGCTCAATATCGCTTGGATCGATTTGAATTCACCATTCCCCCCTCGTTCGTCCAGCTTCATTACTGGACTGTTTGCGAACCGAACTATCCCAGTCTGCTTAATACATCGGGGAAGTTGTGAACAAGCTCCCACTCCACACTTCTGGCTGGTTTCATAGGCCAGTCATGGCGTCCATGGGGATATCTCTCCTTTGACCTTCAACTATACCCCATTATTTAGGTTGAGCCATCATTAAAATGCATAATAGGCGAAGGCGTTTTCGAGACATCCACATTATCCTTGGTCTATAGTATTTATTCATGCCGTTTTCTATAACATAATGACTAGAATCATGCAAATAAATGTAAATCATCCTCAAACTACCACTGTTATTGTGTAACGTTAGTCTGTATAGATGGAAGATCTACAGAACTCTAGAGCGACGTGCGCTAATCCCAAAACGGCTAGCTTATCCTCCACGCGATTGAGCTCCATCTTCTGATCAACAGCTCCCTCATTATTCCAGATTCCTAACCTGCGTATGGAATGCCAAACGTCAAATTTTGATCCAAATTGATATCTCAATCCATTCGAACCAACTGGACCGACTCCGACCCGAACAAATCCCTCCGACTTCCCGACCTGAAAACTTCGAAGCTCAAAAATCGAGTCCTCACCGCGTCAATGATTTAGCTTGAGATACTCACCCACCATGCGTCTCCACCTTGTTATATCGCGTCATGGCCTACCGGCTACGCGCATCCTCTGGACGACGACTTCGTCTACTTCCGTGTTAGGCGAATATGGTACACGGCGCGCGGCATCGGCTGCCGCTGTCGCATCTTCTCGCACCCCCAACATCGCGTTTTCCAACGGCGGATACACGGTCGCACAGCTGCTCGAGGATGTCAATGAGGTTGTCCCACTAGAGACAGAACCTAATTTGTTTGATGCAGAGTTCAGCGGTCAATGGGGGTTGGAAGATTATGTTGTTGAGGTTGCTGGCTCGGAGTGTCTGCACTTTATGGAGGTCGAAGGCCTTTTCCGCGATGGAGATGAAGTTGTGTCAGTGCCCCTATCTCCTCTATTGCGTTGATGTCTTGTAATGGTTTACTGACTTCTCTGCAGTATCCGCGCTCTTCAACTCGCAGACCTTCGGGCAAGACGTCTATGTGGTCGTCATCAAATCGCAGCCGATGGCAAGCATCTCATTGATGGCGTGCCTTTCGGCTCACCCTTTTTGAAGAGAACCTCTTCTACACGACCTGCCATTACTATCCCCCCAAGGAAGAAGCGGCGTACCGTCTTTTCTGGGTGGGATCACGTCCCAGAGATCCAGAATGATGAGGCAAATGCCGATGAGGAAGAAGATCGGGACTGGTTACCCCCCACTGACACCGGGTTTGGGAAAGAACTTTCCATCATGCCCGCCGAGCATGAAGAGTCCATGGGAACTGTGATCCGTCACCCCATTGATCACTCCGTAGAGACAGACAGCGAAGCAGTGCTGTCCGAGCTTGAAGAAGATGAATTGGAGAGCGAGCTTCAGGCCTTGAAAGAAGACTTCGAAGAGCCTTCTCAATTTGTTGATATCAGGAATCAGACTCGCACTGCCAGTGGCAACCCGCTACGTGCTGCATCCACAACCAAGCGACCAACTTCGTCTGATAGCCTTCACAAGGGATCATTGCTCGCTCCTTCGTCTCTTTCCAGCAAGCGATCCCGCGCAGATGACTCGTCCCCGAGAACCTCGAAAGCGGTGAGGTTCAATAAGGGTGATGACAAGCTGCCCGGTATCCCGCAACCTCAAGCTCCAGAAACTATCGCTGTTTCATCCGACTCTGAATCAGCCATGTCATCATCATCGTCAGACAGTGATTCCGACGATTCGTCTTCGAGTGAGGAGGAATTATCCAAACCTGATGCGCTACCTGATGCGGATTCATCATCGAGCTCATCGGACTCAAGCTCGGACTCGGAATCGGACTCGGATTCAGAGTCAGACTCAGACGCAGAGGAGGAGGAAAAAGAAGAAGAAGTCCCTCCACCACCTGAAAAAGTTCAGCCACCAGCTGTAGCTGGCGCACCATTCCAGGGATCTATGCGCACCAAGAAGAGCAACAATCGCTTTAAGCTACGCCGTCGTCTGTCCAAGTTGAAGGAGATGGGAGCTTTACACAAAGATGCAAACTTCGAGGAGCTTCGGGAATGGGAAGAAAACAATGGTGGCTGGTACGTTCCGCAATCTAGTGACGTGGCACCACCTACTCAATATCTCGAGAAGTCCACCAAGAAACAGAAAAAAGAAGAAGAGAAGAGAGATTTCGAAGCCAAGCGCCAGAAGCTGCTTCGAGATCTCGCGTCGGGCAATGGAATTAACGTGGATGAGACTTCGGAAAAGGAAAATATCCCGCCGTACGCGCCAAGTCGTGCACCGGATGTTGCAGCGCCCGTAGCCGTCACAGAGGAACCTGAAGAAGAGCCAGAGAAAGCATCAAGCCGACGTACCCTTGATATTGCCAGCTCACGACGCATGCTCTTTGGATCCCTTGGAATGCGAACTCCGAAAACCAAAAAAGATGAAGAAGAAACGCGGAGAAAGCTTGCTGCCAAATTCAGTGCAACCGGCAAGAAGCCAGCACCAGTGACCCAGGAGCAGGCTGAAGAGGTGGAAGTGGGTGAGGATGAATCCGATGGTGATTGGCAGAACAAGCTCGTTGTCCGTGCTGTCGAATGTGTCTATCCCGAAATAGAGTTGACTTCTCCTCCTTATCCGTTCGTCCAGCGCTGGGACCAGGAAGCCAATGCGTTGATCCGCCAGGCTAAAGGCACGAACAAGAAGCGCAAGAGAAAGCAGCGGGTTCAAGTCTACGACGGCGATGAAGAGTATGACGAGGGAAATGAAGATTATCACGGCTATGAAGGCTACGACGGATACTATCAGGGCGGAAACGACAGTTACTGGCCAGGTGAAGGCGACGGCGATGATCAACTCAACTATGATGACGCCGAAGCCGAACCAGCTGAGACCGCCGATACACCTGAGGACCTTCCCGAACTCCCTGATGACGTGAACACTGTCCCTGTTTTGAACGAGAAAGAGTTGAAGAAGGGGGCAATCATTGCTTTCCGACAACTCGAAATGTCTAAGGATACAAACTGGCAGCCCAGGATGTCCGAGTACCGAGTGGCAGAAGTGATAGAGTCTCCCAATGAGGAGGGCACAATCTCTGTACGACTGGCAAAGCGTGACCGACGACCGGCACCAGAGTTATCAGAGGATGACTACGACGAGCCCCGTCAATATGACAAGTTTGAAATGCCAGGCTTTGAAGATGACGAGGGGGAGGACGATGGCCATCGCGAGGTCTCATTTTCAGAACTCAACTACCCAAAGCTCCTACAGGCTGCAGCACACTCTGGGGCCGAATCTGGGAATCAGAACAATGCTCGAGAAGGCAGCATGTCAGTCAATTAACCTCTGATTTGTGGCTCGCGCTTACTTGTCCAAGTGTCTCTGTAGTAGCAGAATCGGTGCCGAATGCCCAAGTAACTCTGCCGCCTGACATGGACGTTGACATCGATGTTGACGAAACCACCTTCGTCACCATCGGCAACGAAGTCAGCCATATTCAATCGCCTCGTCGATCTCCTGGACTTCCCGTCGAGCCGCCCGCTATGGAAACCCTTGACGAAGTGACCGTTCCCCAGATCCAGGTCCAGAACGGATCAGATGAACGCGGCGTTACTCCTCCAATCCCGTCTCCTTCTTTCACGGGCTTCCACTCTGCTCGATCTTGGCAACCAGCGACCCCAGGGTTGACTGTCACGGCTGAAAATGGCAATCTCGAGGGCCATACTCTTGTCGGAGGTGAAACGCCATCTGCCCTAGCCAACCCAGAAGAAGATCCTTCTTATTTGTCTTTTTTGTCAGCCAATCAGTCTTTCGCGGATACCTCTATGGATCTGGAGCAAGAGCCTGAGTCTGAACAGGAGCAGGGGCAGGAGCAGGATCGCCAGATTGTCAATGATAACCCTATGCCACCTGCTGAGTCTGGAGGGAGCGGCCCTCAATCTGGATCCCTTCTTTCTACTATTGGCATGAGTGGTGATGGTGCGGGTGATTCATTGGTTGCGATAAAATCGACTGTGGGGGACCATGATGTTGGCCCGACTAGCTCTGCGCAGTCGTGGAAAGATCTTCTGAATAACTTAGGAAGAAGCCCGCTGAACTCAGAGGAAGAGGATGTGAATGAGGAGTATGGAAGTGATGAGGACGAAGATGAAGACGAAAACAACAATGATGTAGTTGAGGAAGATGAAGAGGAAGAGGAAGCGGATGAAGATAAAAATGAAGACGGTCCATCGCCCCAGGAAAACTATGGAGCAGATGGGAGTCACGATCAAATGCAGGAGGACGGTATGGAGCCCTCCAACCTCGAGCTTCACCTCGGCTACGAATCTCCATCACCATTACGCTCGAGCTCTCCCAAGCCACCACCGAGTGCCCAGAAGGAAGCTGAACAGAAACCAGAGCAATCCCCTCCCTCTCTCCAAACAGAACCTCCAGCCGCCTCCACACGTCTGAAACTCTCCCAGCGATCCCGTGGATCTGGCTCGGCATCCCAAATCCCCGCCTCACAAAAGTCAGAAGTGATCGATCTTACCTCTAGCACCCATGCAACCCCCGAGCCCGAGCACGAGCCCGAGAACTCTGGTGCACAGTCTCAATCTCAGTCCCAGTCTCAGTCTCAGCGCTCCAGATCCCTAGGTCAGATGACCAGAGCTTCTACGGGAACGGGCCGACTGCAGCAGATGACGGAAGTGAGCATTAGCCCGTCTAGAAAGAAGCGACGGTCGTCACGGAAATTCTAGGCTCTTTTACTTGCATCTTGACTATCTGCTATCACAGTTATGGATAACGTGAATTTTGTTTACCTGTATATGTATGGATGCAGAGCGACGGCGTCCAGGAACTGCACACTCATTTTATTGCCTGGATATAACTTTCTTTTATTTCAAATGAACAAATACTTGATGTACAATACTTGATGTACGTTGTCATAGATCAGGATTTGGTGACAAAACCCCACGTGTGATTGGCTGAGTGTATCGTCGACGTGATGTCATGGTGTCTGTATACTTCAACTCAGTCAATGAATATTTGAGCAATTGAACATTTAAGCAATTGTTGTGATACTATATACTACATTACTATAAGATAACAATTCTTCCAGTCTATTTAAACATGTCCTTCAAAAGGACATACCCCTACCTCCCCAAACGCCTGTCCCAGACAAGTCGGTGTAGAAGCCATTGGGCCTGTCATCTCTCGTCATCGAGACATACGTTCTCACCCCGCACGAGTGGCTCGCATTTGTCTTTATCTTTATCTTTATCTTCTTCCTCTTCTTCTTCCTCTTTCTTTCCCCGATCTACCCTAACTACATCCTTTCCAAAACATCTATCTACATCTACATCAGCAATGGCACAGGAATACAAATTGAAGGATCTTACCTCCTTTGCCTCTCTCAACTTTCTTGATAAGATTGAGGCCGAGATTGAGGGCATTCCAGATGGAAAAGTCCTCCTTGTCAAGCTTGATGATAAGGTGCATGCCCTCTCTCCTCGGTGCAGCCATTATGGCGCGCCTCTGAAGAATGGCGTTGTTACTAGTGATGGCAGGATTACCTGTCCCTGGCATGGGGGTGAGTTTCTATTCTTTAATGCCTGGTCTTCCTTGGGTTCTGTTACAAGGGAAAGAAGGGGGATGGCAGAATGCGAAGAGATATAAATAACTAACACTATATACTCCGTACAGCCTGTTTCAATGTCACGACTGGTGACGTCGAAGATGCCCCAGCACCCAATGCCCTGAACAAATTCGAGGTCTTTGAAAAAGAGGGCGCAGTCTACATTCGTGCTAGAGAGGAAGATGTCAAAGCGGGACAACGCAACCCCGTGGTAAAGTGCAGCGTCACAAAGCCTGAAGAGAAGGTCATTGTCGTTGGAGGGTAAGTAATCCCCATATATCTATATCCATATCCCTTCAAAACTTATACTCAACAACATACTAACACCAAACAGCGGAAGTGGAACCCTCGGCCTAATCCAAGCTCTCCGCGAACTGAAATACCCCGGCCAGATAACAATCATCACACGAGAACCATACCTAATAATCGACCGAACAAAGCTCTCCAAAGCTCTTATCGCCGACCCAGCCAAGATCCAATGGCGTCCACGAGAATGGTACACTGAAGCCGCCATAGAAACCCTAACGGACGAAGTGACCTCTGTCGACTTCGAGGCCAAATCCGTCTCCACAAAGTCTGGCAAGAACCTTACCTACACAAAACTAGTCCTGGCAACGGGTGGCATCCCACGCACGCTCCCACTCCCAGGCTTCAAAGGCGAATTATCAAACATCTTCACGCTGCGCGGTATAAAAGACGTGCAAGCAATCCTAGCCGCAACCAACGCAGAAGAAAACAAGAAGAAGAACATCGTGGTAATCGGCAGCTCCTTCATCGGCATGGAAGTAGGCAACGCCCTCTCAAAAGATCACAATGTTACAATCGTCGGCATGGAATCAGCCCCAATGGAACGAATAATGGGCACGCAAGTCGGACGAATCTTCCAACAAAACCTAGAAAAAAACAACGTCAAGTTCTACCTAAACGCCGGCGTGGAAAAAGCTACTCCGTCACCTTCAAACCCATCATCTGTCGGCGCAGTCCATCTCAAAGATGGGACTTCTCTCCCTGCAGACCTGGTAATCCTAGGCGTGGGAGTCCGTCCAGCAACCGACTTCCTAGAGTCAAACAAAGAAATCACGCTCGAGAAAGACGGCTCGATAAAAACGACCGCGCACTACCTCGTCGACTCCCCACATAAGCACATCTCCGACTCCGTCTTCGCTATCGGCGATATAGCAACATACCCCTACTACGGTCCCGGCTCGTCAGCCAACGGCAGTCCAATCCGCATAGAACACTGGAACGTAGCCCAGAACTCCGGACGAGCCACCGCACGCGCGATAGTGCATGCACTCCACTCGCCGATTTCATCGCTTCCACCGAAGAGATTCATTCCAGTGTTTTGGTCGGCGCTTGGTGCGCAGTTGCGGTATTGTGGGACTGGGGCTGTAGCTGGGGGGTATGATGATGTTGTATTCCGGGATGCTGGGGACGGGAAGTTTACTGCGTTTTATACGATGGGCGAGGTTGTGGTTGCTGTTGCTACCATGGGGGTTGATCCTGTTATGTCGAAGTCGGTGGAGTTGATGCGGGCTGGGAAGATGTTGGGGAAGGCAGAGGTGAAGGCGGGTGGGGATGTTTTGAGTGTTAACTTATGAGGGTGTGAGTAATTAGCAATTAGGTAAAAGGGAAAGGGAAAGGAAGTAAGATAGTATGGATTCAATGTTCAATGTTCAATTGCATATACACGGGTAATGAAAACCGGAACGCCCCCCAGGATGTAGTCAACAGTATATCAGTGGTTTAGTCTGTCTTCTTCGACTTGGACTTCTTTTCCTTCTTTTCCTTCTTTTCTTTCTTCTCGGACTTTTCCTTTTTCTCTTTCTTTTCCTTTCTATCCTTCTTCTCCTTCTTAGGGCTTGGCTCTGGGTGCACATCCACAACAGAAAGCTCCTCAACCTCCGCCGCCGGTACATTCATAACGGGAACAGTGCGGGTCACCTTGGTAGGTGATGAGAAGAAAGAAGGCGGAAGCGATTGACCCTGGCGCTCAGACTCGATGAGCTGATCCTCCTCCTCAGGAGACAACATCGTACCCTCAATACTGAGGAACCCACGGTCCCGCTCAGAGCCAGGAATAATATCCACATCCACGACACGGAAACGAACCGAGCCACGCACTCGATGCCCAGAAACAGACTGGAAGTATCCCGAATGAGCAGACTCGTCCTCGTCCTCGCCATCAAGAGGGATCTCCTCCGCAGCCAACGAAGCAGGCTGGAACATCTCCTTCTCAGCATCGAACCCGGCCATCCCCTGATCAGAACCCGACTCCTCATCAGTCGTAGCCGGAGTCTCAGCCTCCTCGCCGGGAGGTACCCACTTCCAATTCGAGGGCAAGCGCTTGCGCTCAACACCCACAGAGAACAAGTTGAAAACAACAGCACCGAGGAATCCCTCCGACTGCACATTCACCCACCCATCCAGAATCTGCCCGCGCTTCGGACGGAAGACCAGGAAGGTAGCAGTCAAGTAGACGTAGAGCACGCCGTACTCGTCCGCGGTCGTAGCGAGGGTCAATGGCTGGGGATTAGGATCGGAAGCGAGCCGTGAGGAATCGGATGGCAGACGGCTGGAAATAGACGCATTGGAGTATGCCATGACGACGCCCTTCAGCGGGGGAAAGTAAGTCAAGAGCAGCGGCGAGAGGTGCTCGGCGAGCAGCGAGGCCAGCGCGTGCGTGGGCGAGATGGAGATTGGCGACAGGGGTAGGTAGAGCGTCGCTGTTGTGAGGGTGAAGGGGGAGCTAGAGCTGGAGCTGGGGTCTGAGAGTGGTTGTTGTTGCTTGCGCTTTTTGGAGGGTGATGCGGGTGCTTCCTTCTTGCTCTTGCGTTTGCGCTCTGCCTCGGCGGTGCGCACGGGCAGAGGGTCGATATCCATTGCGTCTACTGCCATGGTGGGACGCAATTGGGCGCTCCACAGAGCTTGCGTCGATGTGGAAGGATTGGATTGAATGTGAATATCTCTTGAATCGAGAACTTTTTTTTTCATTTGACTTTGGTTCCAAACGGGAAGGCGGTCGGTTGGGCGGTGACGAGTGGGCGCTGCATATCGGGGGATACAACTGGCCTGTCTAGTAGTCTGTCTATCTTTCTTTCTTTTAGAATGGTCTATTTGGGGTCTTGGTTATTTTGAACAGCCATGTCGTCGCTTCTCCCCTTTATCGGGTGGGCTGTTCTTCCCAATGTGAGTGGATTGCGGAGCTATACATTGGCTTCAATGTGGAATGGAGCTGACCCCATGGATAGTATGCCACATCTTTCCTACAAAGCGTCTACTATGGCATGACCATTCGCGCGGGTGAGCCCCGGCCGGTACCTCAATCGGCCAAATTCGAACGCCATCGTCGCCGCATCTTCATCTTCGTGATCACCAGCTACCTCCTCTATACACTTTACGAGACCTTCCACCAGGTACAGATGGCAGGCGACTACTACCAGGTCCTGGGAGTCTCACCATTCGCCGATGACCGCACTATCAAGACGCGGTTCCGCCGACTCGCCGCTCAGTATCATCCCGACAAAGTCGGCATCGAAGGCGAGGCATACTTCCTGTACCTGCGACGAGCCCAGGAAACACTAGTGGACCCAGTCAAGCGGTTTGCATACGATCGGCTCGGATCAGACATGCTCAACTGGGGCGAGAAGAAGACCATGCGCGAGTTCCTGATGGCCTCGCTGACTCGGTCGGTCCTTCCCCAGTACCTGGGCGGCTTTGCGACAATGGTAGTGTTGAACTGGCTATGGTGGGCGAATTGGGGACGCTACGTGAGTGAAAACCAAACCGAGAGAGCTTGCCCAGACTAACTCGTATAGTGGCGTTGGTTCACATTCGCCGCCATGCTCACCCTCGAACTCGCCATGATTACGCGCCCACAGGCAGTCTTCATGCCTGTGGCCTACCTTCCTCCAGCGCTACGAGCCTGGCTCCCCCAGCAATCCTTCTACCTCCTCCCCTTCCAGACTCTGACTCTCGCCCGCCGCGCCTCCATCATGCTGCACATCTTCATCTCGCAGGTTGCCCCGCCCGCCGCCAAAGCAGCGCCCGCCGGCGGAAACGGTGATAAGATCTCACCGCAAACTGTACAGCAGTTTGGTAAGTTGGTGCAGTTGTCCCGCGCGGTCGATGAAGAGGCCACACGGATGATGCAGCTCGGTCAGGCTCCTTTCCGCGGTGACCGTGAAAGCGTGTCGATTCTCCGGCGCGGCATGAAAGAAGGGCTAATCCTCGCCGGTGTGCGGTCCAGCCCCGAGGTGCAACGGGCCGTGGCACAGGTTGTAGAACGACGCCAGGGTGAGAATAAGCTGGAGTGAGCCAAAGTGTACATAGCTGTGTGTAGAGTAATCAACCAGGTGTTCCCTAGAGGATCCGAGTTCCGGTAAGTAATGAAAGACGCTTGGCGAGGTCGCGTAATTTCTCTTTTTCTGGTTCATCGAGGCCGAAGTGGCGACCGCCTTGACTCGTTTGACTCGTGATACTCTCACCAGATCCATTGAGAACAGGTCCACTAAGCTAGTACTGTGGTGCTTTTGTACTGTAATTTGTAATCCGTAATTTGTACTTTGCTGGGTATGGAATGAACTTGCGACATGCGGTCAGTGAGCCATTTTCGGGATGCAGCGGGTGGAATGAGATCCATCAACGGTTTAGGGTTGGATTGTATTTGTAGATCGTAAGTGGAACTGGTCAATACACATAGGATCATTCAAATGTTAGACTGTAGAATGGCGAATGGAGAAAGCGAAAATAAAAAAGAGAATAGAGGAGGGTAAGAATAAAAATAAGAATAGAATGAGAATGAGAGAAGTATAGAAAGAGTAGATGTGTACGGTCACTGTAATCTTCCCGAATCAGCCCAAACAAGGCCGTAAATGACGGTACGACGCCGAAGCCTTCAACCTTTCCCCCTGCTGAACAACGAGTCGACAGTGAAAATATGGAACACGACCCTTTTCTCATCCCTTTCTCCCTTCCCTCCACTTCCACCACTTCCACCACTTTCACTTCTCCTTCCCCCTCCATCCCTCCATCCCCGGACTATGCTTCCATCGCCATCTCGATATACACTATCTTTACAATCCTGACGGAAGAGACACCACGTCACGGTCGTGGCCTACACACCACGTCACTTGAACGACCTCACGTCCCGCTATACCATCCACTTCCATCATGCCCGCCCCTACAAACGGTCGCTCCAAGGGAGCTAAGAATTCCACCTCCTTGACAGTGGTGCTGAAGCTGTCTTCCAGCGCCCTCCAACGGTTCGAGAAGAACCAAAATACCCCCGACATCAAGGGCCAAGAGCGGCCCTCGCCGACTTCATCTACCGAGATCCCCGCTGTCCGACCCTCATCCGCCGACAATGGCTCCGACGATGCGAACTCGACACCCGTCACGGGGGCAACTCCAGGCGACACTCCACGCCGGAAGGGAGTTCCGGGTCCTAAGCCCGGCAACAAGAGAACAAACGGTCAAACTGAACCCGGTGCCAGGTCACGGGGACGCCCAGGCCCAAAGAAGAAGCCCAAGCTGTAAGCTAATCCATTGTCTATGCCTTCAATGCCAAGAACAAAGCTAACATACTACTCTCTCTCCAGTGAAGAAGGAGGAGACACCGCGAAGCTCCCTGCTGCCCAGCGCCTCGGACCAAAAGCCAACACGGGAGCCATCAATGCCGGCCTGCGCGCCCTTGACCGTACCGGAGCTGCATGCCGCAAGTGGGAGCGCAAGCCCTTGCAGCTGAGAAGTTTCACAGGTATCTTGTGGCAGCTACCTTCATGGCGCACGCCGGGTACAGGCAAGTCCGGCACCTTGATTGACAGCAAGGTAGCTGCCCTTGAGAGTGGTGACAGCGATACCAAGCCCACGCTCACAGCCCCGGGCACCGACACACTCAATGGGAGCAGTGCCGTACCCAGCGAGAAGAGCAATTCCGGAGACGGCGACGTCACCCCGGCTTCTCATATGGTTGAGCCTTCGTCGCCGGCTATTGCGATGGCGGTGTGAGCTTGTCATGTTGGCATAGCTTTGTGCATGTTGAGCATACATATGCACGTGAGCACAGTTCGGATTGTTCCTGTGTATATTAGATTCCACGGATTGGTATTTTCTTCGGGTTACGTGGCTTTGGTTTGGCGTTCTGGAATCGGCTTCAGGCTTTTTATGTCGGCGAGCAGGCCGAATCGGTTTGGGTTGTGTTTTGTATCATAGCAGTTATTGGGACTGGTATTCTTCTATATGAGAATATTTCTTGCTCTGAGCATACTTATTATCTGTCTATATGTAGATCGAATAGGTAACTTATATATTCACATTGCCCGTACGCATTTGAGAGAATCTTCATCGAACGGTGGACTTTGAACCCTTTCTAGCTCACTTATTTGGCCAGTTTCAAGCAAGTTTTAAAATCTGATACATGTACTAAAGTAAGCTTGGCGCCTAATAACTATTCCTGTAGCTAGCACAGTAGTAACATTATACCCCTGGAGTATAGCGAATATGTACATATAGCCGGAGGTACTTCCCGTGTACTTTCAAGTAGCACAATATAGGAAGGTCAGAGGGGCTCGTGACATCTCCCCTCTTCTTTCCGATCATTTTGGTGTATTTCCCTTTGACCTTTGACTCTTCTATCTGGCGAGACCTTGATTTACGGGATGTAAGGTCAGCTGGGCTGCTTTCGGATCTGTCAACCATCACCACCCATATTCCACCACATGTTTGCATCTCTCCACGCACATCCTCTCTGTAACTCATTCTCTCCGCTTGCGACTGCCGGGTGACCTCACTTCCACGCACTTAAGCCGAGCACTGTTTTCTGCCACGCACGGAATCACGCACGGCATAGCACATTTTTAAACCCCTCGTGTCAAGTTTCAACAAGATAACAGCAGATCGGCCAAAAACGGACAACAGAAGTGGCTTTGGTAGCGTGGCATTTGGGGGGCGACCTTGGGACCCGCGAACATCATGACTGATGTGCCCATCCCGCCATCCGGTGGAGCTCGAGCTTCATACCCCATCTCCTCTATCCCACGACGCTCCTCCTACGCGTCTGTAGTCTCCGGCAACGCATTCTCACCAACCTCCAGCTCTTTCTCTCACCTCCTCAACGACTCCCACCCAGTCCCCTACCCACTTTCCGACACCCGAGTCCACCGGACTCTGTCCGGCGTGGATGCAGACATGCAAATGAACTCCGCCTGGAGGAACTCAGGATCGCCAGACTTGCTGCCACACTATTCCCGCAAGTATGCCGGCTTCCTACGCTCGACGGAATTCCCTCCAAGCCTAGGCCTTAACGACGGGCCGGGCTTCGTGACCCCATCCTACCTCCGCAGCTCTCGCTACATCGCCCGCCTCGAGACCGCTCATCGAGCCAAGATCGCTGCTCAACAGCGAGATGTCGCCTCGTCGGCTTCGGCCTCCACTTCGAATCCGCCGCTCTCTGCTTCCTCTAGCAATGTTCACTTGCCCCGCATGGCGCCGTCCCATCGTGGAATGACCTATGAGATCATCGAGAAGGAACCGCCCGCCACCGATACGCTTCAGCCGCTGCCGACACAATGGAGCTCCGATGATAAATGCTCGGCTCTGGAACTGTCGAATGATAGTCTTGATGTTCGCTATGCTGGCCCTGTGCATAAACATGATAATGAAGCTGCCGCCCTGCGCACTGATCATCCTATGCCGCCACAGTGCGGGATCTACTACTTTGAAGTGAAGATCGAATCAAAGCCAAAGGAAGGGTATGTTTTTCTTGTGTTCTTCGTTTCCTTGGTCGTGACTAATGTGTCTCTAGCATGATTGGCATTGGGTTTTCTAGCCCCAAAGCGAATGTCGAGCGACTTCCAGGCTGGGAGCAAGAATCTTGGGCTTACCATGGTGATGATGGAAAGTCGTTCTTTGGCGAGAATCAGGGTACTGGCCGAGCATATGGTCCGACCTTTGGTGTTGGTGATACTGTAGGATGTGGTGTTAATTTCTCTACGGGGGCTGCATTCTTCACCAAGAACGGTATCTTCTTGGGTATGTTTCCACTATAACTATCGTGGTTGCATTATATTGACAAAATAGGAATCGCATTCCACGAACTACGCAATGTGAAGTTGTATCCGTCTGTCGGAATGAAGAAGCTGCCAACTGTACATCTTAAAGCGAACTTTGGACAGGAGCCATTCGTTTTTGATATTGATGGTATGGTTAGGGTATGTGCTGCTTGGCTCTGTTTGAAAATGGCATGCTAATTCCAAACAGCAAGAGAGAATGGCTATCCAATCGGAGATCAACGCTACAACTACGACGAACCTTCAACCACCGCTGGACGAGTCGACATTGCTGCAAGAACTAGTAGCCCAATTTCTGGCCCACGATGGCTACGTTGACACAGCCCGCGCCTTCGCTGAAGAGGTCGCCACTGAGACAATGGCCTTGGAGAATAGTCGGAGCGAGCCACTGAAGAAGTATGAAGTGGAAGAGGACCGCGAAGCCATTAACCGGAACAGTAAGCTACTATCCAACCTTGCAGTTCGTATCTAACATCCCCAGAAATCCGCTCCGCAATCCTAGACGGCGACATCGACAAAGCCCTCAAACACACAAAAGCCTACTACTCCGACGTGCTAGAAGACCACCCCCGCATTTACTTCAAACTCCGCTGCCGCAAATTCCTCGAAATGATGCGTCGTTCCAATGAACTCTCCGCCGCAACAGCAGCAGCCTCCAAGCAACGCCGCTCCACATCCCCAGCCCTCTCCCACGAACACGCCGTCTTCGACCAGGAAATGGAACTCGATGACGGCGACGGCGACGCCTGGGTCGATGGAATGGACACAGAAGAGCCCGAGGCTGCCGCTCAATTCAATCAGCTTCTCACCGAAGCAGTCCAATACGGTCAACAGTTACGTCTCGATTATCCCTCTGACGATAACGGCGGCGACAAGAAATTACTTGATGATATCTTTTCCTTGGTTGCATACCCTGATCCCAAGCGCTCCGTCCATGGCCATTACCTCGATCCTTCTGGACGGGTTGCTGTAGCCGAGGAGTTGAACTCGGCTATCCTTGTTTCATTGGGCAAATCCTCTGCTGCAGCCCTTGAACGGCTATACCAGCAAACGGAAGTGCTTGTCAACGAAATCAGTGAAGACGGCGGCGCCGGGGCGTTTATTAATGTACGCGATGACATTTTTCTTTAGGCGTGTTAGCGGTTAGGCTAGGATAGGCTTGGTTCAAGGGTTCCTTTTCTTGTTTCCTTTTTTCTCCCTGTTCTCATTCTTTCAGTTTCATTTTCTTTCTTCGGCTTGATCTCTCCACTTTATGAGAAAGCAAGCTCTGGAAAGCAATTGAGAATTGTTCGACTTTGGGTTTGAATGATATCCTGGTTCGACCAGGCTTTGATATAGATTTCTTTAACGTAGCTCCTTGGTCGTTTTCGAGCGGGTTTTTATGATCTGATTCCTACAATCAAGCAGGGCTCCTAATCACTACACGTGTTCTTTCCATAGCTCGCTAGGAGCTATCAATAGCATTAAGATGACAATATAGCGACGTTGAGGTGAGTAGCTATCTGCATAAACTAGTATTCTTCGCGCGGAATTGTTGAACCTGAGGTAGTAACCCTATATGCATGACGTGGTTCTCATGCTTGATGTGGCATGTGCTTTCAAAGGCTACATACATGCCCCTGAGGTCTATCTCCTGTGGTGCGTAACACCTCGCCGTCGTCACTGAAGAGCATCCCTTCCAGCCTGTGGTACGATACGTCGTGTATAGAATCCCCGTTGTATACTAGCTCAGGGTTCTCGTCCCATATCAACGACATCAGGTTCGAAATTGTAAGGTATGGCGGACATTTAGTCTAGCGGTTATTAGTATCAACTTATACTTATCCTCTTAGACGCTAGGTCTGCCTCCTTCCGTATCGTTTGGTTCATCCTGGAGTGACGCCTGATCTCCCGTCAATATCAGACGATGACTTTTTGCTTTTTCTACTACTTTTTCTTCTTCTTCTTCTTCTTCTTCTTCTTTATTTCTTGTAGATTGACATCGATATCCACTTCCTCCCTTGCTGACACTTTTCTTCCATACAACCGCTTTTCTTCGTTGGAGAATTGTCATACCGTGACTTGCTCTCGGTCTTTCGGTACCGTTATACGCACTTGACCAAATTTAGTATTGTAGTCTCCATGTATTTTCACACCGCACCTCATCTCAGGTACAGGTGCATACTCAGGTTAGGCATAAAAGTGTGATCGCCGTTCTTTGATACTTTGATAGGCTGCGAGATAGTGGGACTGTAGGCTTGGCGAGATTCTTTCTCGAGGCGCATCCTTGACGAGGATCAATACTTCGACCGTCACACTGAGGAAGTAAAGCATCTTGAATGTCCCCAACTTCCTCACTTAGGGTTGACCGAGTCACGTCCACTCCCGAACCTCATCTTACATAATCCAGGAACCGCCCAGGGCGAACCGCTTCTCATCTCCAGCTTCTCCGCTTTCTAGGAACATCTGTGATACCTGAGCTGCAAGAGTTGCAGGTGTACTGATGATCCGGCGGTCTCTCTGGACATTTTGCTCCCCCAAGGGGTCACATTCTCATGATGGATTCCCATCCGCATAGCTCGGTCTCGGGCCTCAGCATTCCAACCCATTCAAGCACCTCCACCACCCTGCGCTGCTGCTGTGGTCGCAATGACTGTGCCCTGCTCGAGCATAACAATGTAGCCCTCGAGGGCTTGGAAAAAGATCTCGAGACTGCCGCGAGGTTAGGTCAGGTACGTTGCTTTTTAAAATTCCAGCCCAAATATATGTCTGCGTGAGACGCCAAGTGAGCCCTGGGCGGGCTGTATCGTGCATGTTTGATACATCATTTCATCATTCCTCACAAAACACTATCTCGGTGCTTTTGTTCCTTTCCCATTCTTCATTTCCTTTGGTCTACTTGATCTGTTCCACCCCATTACCTACACATCACATGGGATCAGTTCACCTGATCTTTGATCTCATGGACTCCGGGTCGCGGTCTCCTATTCTTTTTCTCTGCGTTGGCGTCCGTCATGACTTCTTTCCTCGACTATGCTGCCAAGGCAGATTGCTTTGGACCGTCATCGCTGACCTTTGCTTTACAGGCCTTGCTTCACCGTCATGAAAGTTACATGGCTGAGGCGGAGGAGGACCGGCATCGCTTAGTCGCCAGCATCGATGACCTGGAGCGCGAAAGGCAAGAAGTGCAGGCCGAAAACGCGCGCATCATCGAGGAGAATCGCACTTTACTGGAGCAACTCGATAACTTGAACATAGCTGTCGCCGAGTCTGACAGTTATGCCAAGACTCTCACCTCGAATCTGGAGAGCACGCAGTCCGAATTGCGCAGATTGACGGCTGCTGCGGCGCGTGCAGCTGACCTTGAGGCGCAGCTTGCTCTTATGGAGACGGAGCAATCCAAGTTACAGGAGAGTCTTGTTTTGGCCCACGAAGACGAGCAATCGGCAGTGCAGCGATGGAGGAAAGCCGAAACAACACTACGCGACCTTCATGATCAGATCGACCGCATTGAGAAAGAAGCGCGCGAAGAGCGCGAGCGACATACCGAGGTCGTTGAGCGTATGGAGCGCAAGAGAGCCGTAGAGCGTGAGCTTGACAATGCGGCGGGCCGTCTCAAAGGCGCTGCTGCCGCCTCCGAACTGAAGCGCAATACCGGTGGCACGACTGTGGTCTCTCGCTTTGTCAAGGACATCTTGCAGGACAACGCCAATCTACAAGTCGGTATTATGGAACTACGCGAAATGCTCAACACCTCGAATGAGGAAGTTCAGAACCTGCGGGATCAAGTCCTGTCTCATCAGCCGCTGGCCGGTGTTGATGAAGAAGATAACCGGGAACCAAGTACAGTCACAACGTTAAGCGAGGAACTCGAAGCGAAAGAAGAACGCCGGGTATCTCAGGAATTCCACATCCACCATCATCATTACCACACACCCGGAAAGAAAGAGAAAGTCTCGATCAATCGTCGCATGAAAAAACGACGGCCTGCTATAGGGAGCCCGGTAGCATTGCACTCTGCCCAGGGACAATCGCCTCGAAGGACCCTTCATCGGTCCCAGTCATCCGGTTCATCCATGTCAACCATCCTATCCCACACTTCCGTCTCCATCCCACCACAATCACGCCGCTGGTCATTACAATCACATGCAGCGGATTCATTGGCAAGCTCTCCGCAGTCTGCATTCCGGACATCGTCGATCTTTGATCGCGTTGAACGTGGTGCTGAATTCTCTCAAGCTACCAGCCCGGACAGTACAGTGTTCTCCTCCCCTGTCATGGGAGCAAGGAACTTCAAGGCTTTTGATATGCCATTCCAACCAATAAGTGACATTGATAATCATGATTCTCAAGACGATCTCGCATCATTTGACGATGATCTCTACCACGGCCAAGACTTTTCCAACACCGGTAACAACGTTTCTAGAGAGCCTGCCATTCCAGAAGAGTCCGAGCCATCTCCGCAAGGACCTTACTTCCCATTATCTACACGTCGAGAATCTTTAAAGAACGCCGAGGATGATTTCTTCAGCATGCAGGCACAAACCTCATCACTTCGCAGGTCCACATCCCATGATAGCCTGCTCTCCGTCTCTGTAGCGGGCATGGACATCCACACCCCGAACACCCGTCACATGCGAATGGGCGACTGGCACCCTGGCATGCGAATCCCCCAACGCATCCTCTCTCCCAGCGTCGAATTAGTCTCAACACCCCCAGTCATCTCCGCCCCGGCCATCATAGCCAACCGCTCAGCAAGTTCGGGGCATTCATCCCAGTCATTGCTTGCTTCCATGGCTGTCAGCAAGAATAACAAGTCAACCGATGCATCGTCCATCACATCTGCAGACAGCAACAGCACAGCTTCAACCGCAGCAACCGGCCCCCGAAAGGCAACATTAGGTCGGCGCGTAGGAGGCTGGGTATTAGGCCGCTGGGGAATGTCACCCATTTCATCCGATGGCGAAGTTGATACCCCAGCGCAGGATCCATCTATCGAGTCTACACCAGCACCAACGTCAACCCCAGCACCTCATACGCAAGCACCGAAATCCCCCCGACCCAATGGCCCTCCGCTTCAGATTCCCAGGCGTGAACCAGAAGGGTCCAATTATGGGTCTCCGTCCTCCACCCTCTGCACCTATCTCCATTCATGCTCAAGGCATAGATGAGAACCTACTGCGAGAGAGTCTAGCCGAAGAAGATGGCTAGATTTTCCAGTAGGGGTTATCTATACTCTACATTTTTCTTGTTGTTTAGCGACCACACTCGTTTTAATCTTGCATTTCATATATCTATTTTGCATTTACTTTGGTTTCATAGTTGCATTTTATTGGTTTCTGGTTTTGGATGGCGTGGTGCGAGTGCGACATGATACCCATGCGTTCCTTTTTTGATTTCTAGATATGCCTAGATGAGGTCATTTCTCACTTTGTTGAATTGTGCAGGTGGTTTTCTTCCAATGATCTAATGACTTGAACTGATTTGTGATTAAGGTTTCATTACTATTGTCCACTTACAAGATGGTCCTGAAATAATTGATAGAGATACTTTAAGGTTTGTACACTCGTTGTACACTAAAGCAAAAGTAACACAATTGCTATTTATGGTCATTTGCATGATATCATATCCTCTATTCATATTCGTTACCTCATGATATAACCCGATGGCAGTTCATTTCCGCGAAATCCGATACGTCCGGATGGGGATGCTAGTCGAATGGAAGAAGCCTGTTTGATCCTGTGACGGAGTCGACTCGAATGGTAGGGTTTCAACATTGAAGGTGTTTGTTTCTGTGGAAGTCAGCGGGTTACTCACAGACACAGTATGGCCTGGTATGACCATCGGGCCAAATGACTGGACTATCAAGACTTACCGCATCCATTCAAGAACGTGCGGAAGGTATCCTCGTTGCGCAGTGTTGCCGCAATGATGAAATGCTCAATGTGGTAATTCTCAAAGAGATCCCGTACGGTAGACAATAGCAGAGGGATGATGTCGGTATCATAGATCTGAATGATTAGATAGATCAACTCACAAACGCAGAGAGACTTACCAAATCAGCACCGAGCGCAACATCAAATTTGATACCCTCGCTCTGACCCTCGCTCTGATCCTCATCAGAAGCAAGTCCAGCGAGATCCCCCGTCCGCTCAAGTGGAGTCCCCCACTCCCAAACAGCAGGATAGATAGGAATAGACCGACCAGTGTCAAGGTTATGCGGGACACATTCACGCATATTATCAATAAGAGCAGGCTCCCGATCCGTAACAACAACACTGCGCACACCAAGGTACCGCGCACAAACAAGGGACAGGAATCCCGTGCCAGCACCGAGTTCAATAACCCGCTTATTGCGCACAATGGCCTCGCCAGCTTCGGAAGCCAAGAACGAACCTAGATGCAGGGCAGCTTCCCAAGTGCGGAATCCGGTTGTTCCAGCTGAGAGGATGAGACCGCGGGATTCAGAGGTGATGACTGATCGCTCGATGTTTGCATATTGGGTGGTTGACCCTGTTTCTGTTTTTGTTTCGGCTGGTGCTGTGTATTTGATGAAAGACAGCTGCTGCGCCTGCTGGACGGCGGATTGTTTTGGCTGGGCTACCAGTTCGGTCCAGCATTCCATGAGATCATCGTTGATCTCCTGTTGAAGCAACATTGGATGGGATGTTAGAGAAGTGGGACATCAATATAACGGTTTTGCATTGCAATGAAGAAGTGGATGTACATGAAGTGGAGGGGGAATTAGAAAAATACAAAAAAGGAAAGAAAGAAGAAGTCAACTGGCAATGGGTGTGCATACATCCTCCTCGGGGTCAGTTATTGATTCCTCAATGCGTGAGAGAATCAGTTTCAGCACTCGGCTTCGGTAGTTGGCTGGCGGGATAGGAAAGACCGTAGTCTCGTTGAACATGCGCTCGTATATAGCTGCTTGAACATCTGGCTGGACCAGTACAGGACCCGGTGGAAGGGCCAAGTGCTGCAAATCCACCAGCTGGAAGTACTGCGCAGCTAATTTGCGAATTGAGTCGGCCATGAGTATGATAATTTGATATTGAAGAATACAAAGCGCAAGATATCATTGGAGAATGTGATGATGAGTCAGAGATAAGTAAGCAAGGACAAGTTCTGCTGATTCAGCAGTGCATCTGCCTGAGGCTACAGATTAGTCATGGGGGAGAGGCAATTTCCCCGATCGGGTTAGTGTCTACCCTAGCCGAGCCCACACCACACGAAAATTGAAAGTTCGACATCCTCAGTGACCCCGTCGACACTTCCTCCATCCAACACACACCAAAATGGCCGACGCTCCCGTTACTCTGCGGACTCGCAAGTTCATCCGCAACCCTCTGCTTGCCCGTAAGCAGATGGTCGTGTAAGAATCCCTTTCTCCCCCCCCTTGATTTTGGAACTGTGTGGTGGAATCATCGAAAAAGGCGCGCGACAAGGAAATTGAACGACCACACAACACCAGACAAAAGAGAACATCGAAACACACAATGCAATCATCCAGCGAAGAAAAGCACCGGTCTGACATCTTTCGCGAATTTCTAGGGACGTCCTCCACCCCAACCGCCCTAATGTCTCCAAGGACGAGCTCCGCGAGAAGCTGGCCGACCTGTACAAGTCCAACAAGGACCAGGTCTCCGTGTTCGGTTTCCGCACGCAGTACGGTGGTGGCAAGTCCACCGGCTTCGCTCTGGTCTACGACTCCTCCGAGGCCCTGAAGAAGTTCGAGCCCCACTACCGTCTCGTCCGTGTCGGCGCCGCCGACAAGATCGAGAAGCCCTCCCGCCAGCAGCGTACGTCCATCTATCCGTGCATTGTTTCACAAAGCACATTCGCTAATTCATTCCACAGGCAAGCAACGGAAGAACCGCTCCAAGAAGTTCCGTGGTGTCGCCAAGGTCAAGGGCCCCAAGAAGAACAAGGACTAAGCGCATCGCTGATCTCTACCACGAATCAACATGGACCGATAAAGGCGGCATGCGATGGAAAAAGATTAAGTCGGTGGTGTCTTTGGCTCTGGAGTTTCCCACCTGGATTTGGAATGAACACAGGTGCGGTCAGGTGTGTGGGGGAGAGTGGTTTAAGTCTTCTCTTTTTCGGCGAACATCAGACTAAACCCCAAAATGATGCCCGTTTGAATGGTGAAGATTACAGAAACTCTTTTTATTCCTGTGCTGTTGGAGCTGGTGATCCCCTGGAGAAAAAGCCTGGCGATCCCCCGGATAAAAAGGGCGTCAGTGTTGTGGTTTCGTGTGTATGTTTTTTTGGGGTCATCGGTTCAATTCAAGGCAGCCAGGGTTATGAGAATCCGGGCTTCGACCCGGGATGAAATCACATTTACTTGTTTCTCTTCAATCTGGTTGTCGTAGATGTAGATGTCCGATCCTGTATTGGCTGAGCTGATCTAGGTGTATATCTTGCATACCTACCGTAGTTTGCCCTAAGTCGAAGGTAAAGTATAGTATTCCCCAGGACAAGTTCGTACTCGTCTCCCCCCTGTCCCCCATGCCATCCGGCTAAAAAGAGGTACTTCTCAACAACACTCCAACAAAGTCCTGATAGCGTGTATTGTTCTACACATACTGATCCAAACCAGCAACCCTGCAATGACATGAACACATTGTATTGGAATCTATAAGTTGCTAAGTAAATTAAACAGCCAAGAACCCAACGTTCCAATTTAAAAAGAAAAGACATCATACTCAGTTCCTTGCCATCATTTCACTGTAAATGCAGGATCTAAATCCAAATCATGGCGTTTAGACAGGGAAGGCTATGGACTGCTAGACGTGGGTGCGTGGATGTGCGTGTCGCCCTCGGCTCGAGCGGTTGTATAATGGCGGTCGACATGGGACAGATACACAGGCTGGTTATTCTCTCTTCTTAGTTTTTTTCGTCTTTTCTTTCTTTTCTTTTCGTATTTTTAGGTACTATCCTTTCTTGGTAACTTCTTCTGGGTGAAGAAGTGAGTGTGTATCACCTATTCCTCCATATATGATTGGACTTTGACTTCCCCCGGTTTTTACTTCCTAACTACACCAGACTGTGTATAAATGTATTCTAAGCTATCCTCCGATGATATACTGTATTCACTTGGCACCTGCAAGACATGGTCATATCGATTGAAAAAGAAACCTGCCTATCTGGTCTTGGTGCATGTACAGTATGTAGCTTATGATCATGGCAGGGTTGTATATACTACGTCGTGTTGTATCTTACTTTCCCCCGCCCCTGAAATGACGAGGTCAGGCAGATGTCTATGATGAGGGAATGGGATTGACATGGGAGGTATTTGTTACTCTTGCTTTTTACCTTGCTGATTGGCGGCAGGAACAGGAGTGTATATTGCTGTGACTCTATCATTTCATCATGGTAGTTCTGATTGTGATAATGAGGTTGATACACAGGGCATCGTGGAAATAACAATATGAGGGAATATGTTTTGAATTCATCGACATTAGTCATTATGTTGAATAACACCCGATCAAGCAGATGCAGTTAGATATAAGAATGAAAAAATCGAAGTACAGCTTCAACCCAGGTCGACCAGAACCACGCTCAGCTCCTTTCACGCGAGACATAAAATAGACTAGAATTAAAAAGCCACACAGCCTGGGTATTCCGATACAGATATCAGGTATTAGCCAGACTCAACGGTCAAAGAAGAAGAATAATAGAATAAGATTTCCACCGAGTACTAAGAGGAGAGGATAAGACAGAAGCGTAAATTCGAAGCAAGGCAAACAAACAACACATAGATAGAACCCACCACGCAAAACAAAGCAATAGATGCCCTTGCACTGTTCCTGTCAGCAGCGAACTTGGGTGCTCGACTTGAATGACAATATGGGTCCAAACAAAGGACAAGAAAGAAAGAAACACAACAAGACCATCTTAACAAGACATGAAGCGACAGAAAAGAAAGATAAGAAAACACATTACATTGAGCAAGGCAAAAGTAAGGGCCATATGGGTATCTCTTTTTTGTATCTTGGGGCAAAGAAAGAAAAGACTAACCAAGAGAGGACCGACTAAGAAAGAAGGGAGAGAAAAAACACCAATAGAGCAAGAAGAAACAAAATGGAAACCAAGTAAAACAGAGCAAGGCAAAGACCTTGTGAACACCATCTATGCCGAACGCAATGTCAAGCATAGAAATACGCCACATACTCAACAGAGACGACGAAGCAACTAATAAGCATCCCGATGACCCAAAGGCGAGATAGGATGCCGAGTAACACTCTCAACACGACCGTACTCAGGGAACGGATCAGATAAGAGGTCAAAGGGTAAAGCCAGATTATGTTCCGGATGCCGAACCCGAGTATAATTCAAGCCGTTCATAAGCGTCGGCGCCGAGCAACGAGCATCAGCATCCGCACCCGCAGCACCACGAGCCTTACTCCTCTCACCACTGCTATACCCATAAGAATAATGCGAGCAGTCAAACGTCAGAGCAAGGAGACGAGAATTGGCACCCTTGTCACGCGAGAAGGTATTGTTGCATGCTAAACGGCCGTCGGGGCCATTGCGGTACTCATCTATCGTGTCAACGACTGGGTAGAGAGCGTTGTTCCCAGCCGCGGACGAGGGGATGGATGCTGCGGCTGGTGGGAGGGGTGGCAATGTATCCTCCGTCGTGGCCATGGGCATATATCCGAATGTCAAGTCTGGTGTTGGGGGCCCAGTTTCCGAGGTGTTGGCTTTGACGCGCGGGCTGTTGTAGCCGTTGCTGGGGGCTGTTGGCATTGCCATTCCTCTTGCGTGGGAGCTCCAAAATGAGCTCTTTGGATCGGTGGCCAATGTGATGCCTGAGAGTCCTTCGGGGAGGGTGGGCAGTGTCGTGATGGGGGCTTGAGGCTGGGTTTGGGGTTGGCCTCTGCAGGTTGAGGGTGTGGGAAGTGTGCGTTCTACTTCAGAGAAGGATTGGTTCACTCCTGATGGCTGGGTCATGTCGGATGATATTTCTTGGGGAAGAGTGAAGCTGTAGGTAGCTTGTGCTTGGGCTTGGGATAGACCAGTTGCTCTTTGGTCGAATAAGTTGCCGTTAGATGGTGTCCGCACGCCCCAGATGCTGTAGTCGACTATCATGCCCCCGGTACTGGGTACCATGTACCCTGGTGAGGCCTGGGCGTAGTAGTTGGACTGTTCGTCGTAGTGGACGGTGCAGTCCATGGCTATGTCATACTCTCGGTACGGAATGCGGGCTTGGGATTCCATGGAGACGAGGCCTTGTCTTCCAGGAGCTTGGCCTGTGTATACTCCATAGCGAGCTGAAGATGTTGGAGGGAGACCTGCTAAACGCTTCTTGATCTCCTCTGGAGTGTCGGAGTGAACCTAGGAACAAGTTCAGTCAGTCATCTTCTTTCGGCTACATACAGCGGGCAACTTACTCGCATGTACTGGCATTCGGTTGAGCCAACACTACGGCAGCTGGAACAAGCCAGACCGTTGTTGAGGTCGCCGTTGCACTTGATCTTTCTTTTCCGGCATCGTGTACACTTATGTAGTGTTAGAAACCAGGAACTTTTAGTAGAAGAGAAACCTCACTGCGACCAGGGCTCGCTTTCTTTGCTTTCGGGGCTTCTCTTCTCGCTCGACATTGCGTTCTTGTTTAATCACGCGAGATGATCGAGATCCAGAGAGGCTATTACTCCGGGCTTCTAGCCCTAGATTCTCATATAAATGATTCATTGCTGAACAGTTAGCAAAGAAGGATAGAGAGTCTAGTTTCACTCGCAGGAATGTTCAAAGGCAGGTAAGCTAAATATGAGGAAAAGGGAGAAAGTGAAAGATGTCTCTGGGAGATAGGGCTCGATTTAACCCATGTTCTGGTAACAATCGGTGTGATTGCCTTAACCACTTGCCCCTGTTTGTTTTATTGGTATTTTGATATTTGGATATTTGGATATTTCTGTAGAGGACACAGCTGGTACGCAGTCCAAAAGTACCCTCTTAGTTCTTATTATTTTACTGATTTCCATTTCCCGTTTCCTGTTTCTTTTCTTTTTCTAAGGGGAAATGATATGCAAAGTTCCGCGTCCAATCCAGATTCCCCGGTGCCCAGAGATAGCATGAAAGACCAGCAGGACTGCCCCCGGCATTTTAAAGACTCTGGTTTCACAAGGTAACGTCACACATGACCTGATGGAGAACAGGAGAGTGCTCCGGTAGGCAGTGTTTCAGCCGATTTGGGGTCTTTTCTTTCTGCCAGAGCCTGCCCAAGGTGGGAAAGAGTCTCCTCCCAGAGGGATTGGGATTACAAGAGTCTGTACTTTGCGGAACATCTTCATCTTTCCCCCTGTAAAATGGAAGAAATGGGCAACTGCCGGCCAACTGTTTGCAGAGAGGATCCTGGTGCCGATCCGGGGAAGAATGTCCGGCGTTCGGTGAAGATCTGAAATGTTTGCTCGATAGTCCAACCGATTGGTGTGGCTGCAGCTCTCTACATCAAACACTCCGAACTCGTTGAGTCGTTAAGCCATGGTCAAGGTCTGGAACTCTTATGGCAATGTGTTGGATGTCTGGCAAACGCATGGGATCCCAAAGAAAGAGAGAGAGAGAGAGACAAAAAGGAAGCAAACGCTGTCTCAGGCAAATGTCTCAGCAGTGAGAACGAAAAACATTTATGACACCTGTCACTTCACAAGCGCGAGAGGTTTCCCTGGACCAAGCGCGCTCTAGGGAGAAAAATGGCAAGGATCCACGATCTAAAAGTCTGATCGGCGCCATGGATGTTGTCGATCAGGCTCGGTTTTTTAGCGCTTCGGCAGCTAGATTAAAATGGAAACAGGGAAAAAAGCAATTCAGCCCAGAAAATGGGAGACAAAGAAAAGAAAAACACGTATGTGATGGATCTACTTACTTGACATCCCTCTCAGATCTCGATCGAAAAAGGGGAGACCCATGATGCACGAGATTCTGGGATACTTACAAGATCGTTTGGTTTCGTGTTACCGATGTAAAGATAGAGAGAAAGAGAAATGAGAAAGACAAAGAAGCCTGATCAACAGGTTTCAAATACAAAATCTGGGCTCTGGAAGCTATTCTCGGAGCTCCAAGGTTTGACAATGCACGACATTCGGGGGAAGTTAGGAAGCAGCTTGAAGAGACAAAAGAGGCTTCAGCTGACTCGCCAGGAACATATGTTGGGATTGAGACCGGGCTCTGACTGGAATGACCAGATCGAAGAGGCTGGCTCATTGATCTTCCACGTGTGTGGTTCTGTCCAGGAGATGTTGGATGCAGGAGGCCGCCCGTTGCTCCCCAACGTTTCTGCTGTGGAACAATCAGGGGGTGGGTAGAGAGAAGAGAGACGGCCATGATCTATGACTTCTGGGAAGAACGAGACGGGGAACTGGAGCTGTCACTGTTGACGAGCATGCCAAGAACAGCAAGCCCTCGGTCTTTTGGCTTGGCCTGCCGCTGCATGAGGGATATAAGCCAACAAACAGCTCCCAGGGTCAGAGTAATAAGAATCTGCAAGACAATCTAGAAATAGGTTAGCCGCCAACGGGGACACTCGGAAGATATGCTCAATTGACATGCACCGTTGCACAGGCACCCAGGTGGATCATCCGGAGCTTCTCAGCCGGATAGCCAACTGTTTTCTTTTTCTAGGAGGCAAAGGTGAAGGCAAAAGTGAAGGGAAAAGTTGATACATAGAGGGAGGCTCTGTCTTGGCGTTGTGTCATTGGTCCAAGCTCGGTCCCTTCGTCTTGAACTTTCAACCTTCACCAGTCAACAAGCCAAGTATGAGTGCGCTTTTGGAAACATCGCTGGGCGACATCGTGATCGACCTGTTGGTCGACGAGTCGCCCAAGGCGTGTGAGAAGTAAGTGGCTGCTCTCCTCGGCCTTGCTCGTGCTGAACATGAAACTAAAGTGTTTGTCTCTAGCTTCTTGAAGTTGTGCAAGCTCAAGTACTACAATTTCTCGCCAGTCCACAGCGTCCAGAAGAACTTTACCTTCCAAACTGGCGACCCGCTTGGTCCTGATGCCCCCGAGAGCGATGGAGGGTCTTCGATATGGGGTCTGCTGGACGGACCGTCGAAGCGCACTTTTCCGATCGAGGTACCGCGCAAACTGAAGCACACCGAGCGGGGCACAGTGAGCATGGCGACAGTTCCCGCGACCAATGACCCCGAACAGCGACTGGCAGCAAGTCAATTTATCGTCACACTGGGAGATAATCTGGATTACTTGGATGGGAAGGCAGCGATCTTCGGCAAGGTCGTCGAGGGCTTCGATGTCCTGGAGAAGATCAATGACTCTTTTATCGACGACCGAGGTCGACCGCTGAAGGATATTCGCATTCGTCACACCACCATCTTAGACGATCCCTTTGACGACCCGCCGAAGTTAGTAGAGCCGCCCGAGAGCCCAGTGCCCTCCAAAGCGCAACTGGCCACTGTTCGAATCGCGGATGATGAGGAACTGGATGATGATATGGATGAAGATGCGATGGAGAAGCTGCGCCGTGAGCGCGAGGCTCGCGCGCAGGCATTGACCCTGGAGATGGTGGGAGATCTGCCTTTTGCCGATGTTAAGCCGCCCGAGAACATTCTCTTCGTCTGCAAGCTCAATCCAGTCACACAAGGTTTGTCGCGCTATTTCTACAGGCGAGGAACTTGCTAATCAAAATACAGATGAGGACCTGAACCTAATTTTCAGCCGCTTCGGAACGATTTTGTCTTGCGAGGTTATTCGGGATAAGCGCACCGGCGACAGTCTACAATATGCCTTCATTGAATTTGAGGACCAGAAGGACTGTGAACAGGCCTATTTCAAAATGCAGGGTGTCCTGATTGATGACCACCGGATCCACGTTGATTTCTCACAGAGTGTAAGATCCTCCAGGTCACCTGTTCTACAAAAATAATCACGCTAATGCATCGCAGGTGTCCAAGCTGTCCGAGAGCTGGCGCAACGCCACCGTCACCAAGCGCCGACAGAGAGGCGGATTCGGTGGCGTGGCCGATCTTGAGGCGAAACGCCAATACCGAGAGTTCGACGACACCCCTCGAGATGAGGATGATGCGCGATACAGGATGGTCTTTGACAAGCGTAATAAGGCCAATCCGCCTGATACTCCCCGGGATACCAACCCTCGCGATTCCCGTCGAGACCAGCGAGGTAGTCGCAGCCCTCGTGGACGCGATCGAGATCAGGATCGATACCGTCGTCGGTCCTACAGTCGCAGTCCATGGAGGGACAGAGACAGAGACTCGCGAAAGAACCGAGACCGGGAACGAGGTCGTTACGATGATCGCTATCGCCGACGACGAGACTAGGAACCCATGTCTATATGTATGAAATGTAATGCAGCTCGGCTGAATGTATGACTTGCCCCTATGTAGTGTCCTCTGTCCACTGTAGAAACTAGGCCCCGCTCCATAGTGGGTAGGTCTCACCCGGCACTCGCTAGGTCCTTTCGTGTCCTTGGTCCTCGCTATTATTCGCTTTTGCAGATCCCTAAAAATAACCTGGAACCCACGGGGGGCTGCGTTACATATTGAGTGTTCCAAGGTTGTTAGTTACGGTGAGAGAGTACATAATCAGAGCTTCCCTTCCCACCCCGCAGCTTTATTTACTTTTCCTCTTTGCCACCTTTCCCTTCCCCAACTCTTATTTTCCTTTTTCCTCTTCTCTCCTATATCCACACATCATGGCCGGCGTTATTAAAGATGCCGTCTCGAACGTGCTTGGTAAAATCCAAGGTACCGCCGGAGAGACTCCCCGCGAGCCCTCGGCCGAGGAGTTCCAAACCCTCCAAAAGAAGTATAACGACGCCGGACAAGGACATGTCTTCGCCTTTGTCGATGAATTGAGCACCGTCGAGAAGTCCCAGCTGTTCCACCAGCTGTCCAACTTTGACCCCACCCGGATCAACGAGCTGGCCGACAAGGCTCTGAACCCCCCAAGGCCGAGCAGGCCGCCGTCACTCTCGAGCCCTTGCCCGACGTAGCCACAGCCTCCATCCTCGACTCCGATCCCTCAGATCTCCAGAGGTGGTACAATGCAGGCTTGAAGGAGGTCGCGGAGAACAAGGTGGCGGTTGTATTGATGGCTGGTGGGCAGGGTACCCGGCTCGGCAGCTCCGCCCCCAAGGGCTGCTTCGATATTGGTCTTTTGAGCGAGAAGTCGCTCTTCCAGCTGCAGGCTCAGCGCATTGCTAAGCTCCAGGAGCTGGCTCAGAAGGCCAATGGCGGTGCCGAGGTTGTTATTCCCTGGTACGTTATGACCAGTGGGCCTACTCGCAAGCCCACCGAGGAGTTCTTCGCGCAGAACAACTACTTTGGTCTCAAGGAGAGCAACATTATGATCTTCGAGCAGGGTGTTTTGCCTTGTATCTCCAACGAGGGTAAGATCATGCTCGAGAGCAAGGGCAAGGTATGTACCGTCCAGCGTTGAAGTTTGAAGAGTAATTTTCTGACATATGTATAGGCTGCCGTTGCCCCCGATGGAAACGGTGGTATCTACCAGGCCCTCGTAGTCTCAGGTGTGCGCGAGGACATGCGCCGCCGTGGCATCAAGCACATTCACGCCTACTGCGTCGACAACTGCCTTGTCAAGGTCGCCGACCCCGTGTTCATTGGTTTCTCCGCAGAAAAGGATGTCGACATTGCCACCAAGGTGGTGCGCAAGCGTAACGCCACTGAGTCTGTTGGGTTGATCTTGCTGAAGAACGGCAAGCCTGATGTCGTTGAGTACTCCGAGATCGACCGGGAGACCGCCGAAGCCAAAGACCCCAAGCAGCCCGACGTTCTCAAGTACCGTGCTGCCAACATCGTCAACCACTACTACTCATTCCGCTTCCTCGAGTCTATTGAGAACTGGGCACACCAGCTGCCCCACCACGTGGCCCGCAAGAAGATTGGCTGCGTGGACCCCGAGACCGGTGACGCCGTCAAGCCCGAGAAGCCCAACGGTGTCAAGCTCGAGCAGTTCGTCTTTGACGTGTTCCCCATGACCCCGTTGAACAAGTTCGCCAGCATTGAGGTGCGCCGTGAGGACGAGTTCTCGCCCTTGAAGAACGCCCGTGGTACCGGCCAGGACGACGCAGATACCAGCCGGGCAGATATCATGGCCCAGGGCCAGCGGTGGATTGAGGCTGCAGGTGGTGTTGTCATCACCGAGGGTGAGGCTGTTGGTGTTGAAGTCTCCCCTCTGATCAGCTACGTATGTTTCCCTCTCCCCTCGTCCCCTCTCCCATATCTTGCATTTTATCATTTTACATGTTTGAATGTTGTTCAGCTAACATGTATACAGGGCGGTGAAAACCTGGAATTCCTCAAGGGCCGTGAGATCAAGGCCCCTGCCATTCTGGAAAAAGAAGAGTAGATTAGATGAACTACGGATCTCCCGGAGACCTGACGAAGAAATGAATTGCATTGTCATTGCTGTATAGACCGGGTTACAGAGAATGTAGGGGTGGAATGAAGTATAGAAGTAAATAAACGTGAATCGACCTTACGCAATACGGAAAAGCCCGGGAGCTAAACCGTTTGACGAGTTTGCATGACCTTTTCCACTTTTTCACTCTTTCTTCCTTTGTGTGTTTGATATTCATATTGATATATCACTTGGTTGTTGAGAAGTGGTTGAGCAGTGTGAGTTGAGTACGTTCGATTTTGATGTCTTTACTTTTGTGCGTTGTGTTCCACTTTTTTCTTCGCGATTTTCGGAGTCAACGAACGTGTTTCCCTCCAAGGTTCCCAGAAGGCTGACAAGGTCCCGATAATAGAAAGTTTACGTTCCGAAGAGTCTTTTAGCAGGTGGGTTTGATCCTTCGAGTTTGCGTTGCGTCGTTTCGTCTCCTCCGCCGATCTACGTCTTCCCTCCTTTCGATCCGAATTTTTGGGCGCAAGATCGCAACGGGTATATAATGCTGCGGGCAGGCTTCGGATTGCGATGATCGAACATGTTGCTATTCGAAACAAGAGAGGGAGTTGTCGACTTTGCTGCGACCAACCTTCGACAGATCCGCGATGGAGGGGAAGACGCTTATCGGAGCTATGCGGCTATATCTCGACAGTGGGCTGACGATGGATAGAAACCGCCCACAATGATGTTGTCTCGTCGCGCGTGCTACAAGTGTGGCACTATTGGCCACTATGCCGGTGAGTAGGGAGTATCCTGGCCGTGTGGTCCATACTAACCCCTCGGTAGAGGTCTGCACTTCAACTGAGCGTCTCTGCTACAACTGTACGTGAATGCCCTAGATCTACCCTCTGATGTGAATACATGCTAATCAATTTGTTTCTACAGGCAAGCAGCCCGGTATGTCTGACCGTGAATTGTACCCCGCAACTGCTCCTAATCGTTCATATAGGCCACGAGTCTAGCGCCTGCCCTCTTCCCCGTACCACCGAGAGTAAGCTACACCTCGAATCCATGCTCATTGAGAATTCCGGATTGCTAACATCCATCCAGCCAAGCAGTGCTACAACTGCCAGGGCCTCGGTCACGTCCAGGCTGACTGCCCCACCCTCCGTCTGAATGGCGCCAACGGCCGCTGCTACAACTGCGGCCAGCCCGGCCACCTTGCCGTAAGCCCTCCATGATTGCATATCGAACTTCGACAGTGACTGACCAACCCCCAGCGCAACTGCCCCAGCCCCGCTGCTGCCGGTGCTGGTGCCAACGCCGGTCCCGCTGGTGGTGCCCCTACTGGTCCTGCTGGCCGTGGCGCCGGTGGCCCTCGCGGCGGTTTCCAGGGTAATTTCCGTGGTGGCTTCAGCGGCTACCAACGCACCGCAACCTGCTACAAGTGCGGTGGCCCCAACCACTTCGCCCGTGACTGCCAGGCTCAGGCTATGAAGTGCTACGCCTGCGGCAAGCTCGGCCACATCTCGCGTGACTGTACAGCTCCCAACGGTGGCCCTCTCAGCTCCGCCGGTAAGGTCTGCTACAAGTGCTCCCAGGCTGGTCACATCTCCCGCGACTGCCCTCTCAACGAGGGTGCCGCTAAGCCCGCTGCTGCTGAGGCTTCTCCTGATGCTGTTGCCGCTGTTGCCCCTGTTGCCGCCCCTGTGCCCACTGCTGAGCCTGCTGCTGAAGCTGCCCCTGTTGTGGCTGCGGCTCCTACCACCGCTGTCGCATAAATTGGTTGACAGTGCTTCTCTCCACCGCGCATCCTTCCTTTTGCAGGAATTTCTAGTTACCTTTTCTTCCTCGGTTCTATATTACGGTCACTTTCCCTGAACCACGCTCCTTTCTCTTCTCCATTTCTTCCTTTGCATATATTTAAACCCGCCCTCTTATTCTGAGGTTACCTGATTCCGGGTCTGGGTCTGGTGTCTCGGCAAAAACCAGCTATTGAATTTCTTCTTTTTCTTGTCAACTTGGAATTTGCGCTTGTTTCCTTATGATTTTTTGCTCTTTTTTATTTTATCTCTATCATGTATACGACGAACAAACAGAAAAGTTATTTCCTGTTTTTGTTTACGAAGTCCCTTCTGACTTGACTTCGCTCTCAAGTCTTACGATTGGCGTCCTATTGTTCTCTTACAGATTATCTTTCTCGATTGGTTCAATTCGATCGACTCTTGGTTGCGGTTTTCCTGGATGAGGCCAAGGAGAGGAGAGATGAAGAAGTATGGCAATGACAGAGAGAATGATGGAGATCTGTGAAGCTGAGAGGAAAGCTTGGACTCGGGGAAACGTTGCGAGTGGAAGAAAGGCCCTTCTTGGGAAGAGTCCTCGGTGCAGAGAACATTTCAAGAGTCAAAATGAATCATTTCAATTACCTTCTCTATTGTAAATGTATTTTGCAGAGGTGCAGAGGTGCAGTGGTGGTAGCTGGGAACCCGTGACTTGGTGCACAGCTCTCCCAGCTCTCTCGTTCCCCCATACCCTCCCCATCGACCTGATCAATCACTTTTGATCTTTTCATCTGATCAAGATGCCGGGTTCAGTGGCAAGTGATGAATTCGAGGGCGATGAGGTACATTCCAGTCCCAACTCCACGCACACCAAACCTAACCAGCCCTACTTCCTCACTACAGCTCTTCATCGTGGACATTGACACTATCCAATCTCACGGAATTGGCGCAGCCGACATCACCAAACTGAAAGCCAATGGCTTCCACACTGTTGCTGTCAGTTCCTGAATCCATGCCATGCGGATGGTCCAATGCCTCTATCCATCCAACTAATCAATATATCCAGTCCGTCCACGGCGCCACGCGCAAGACACTCCTCAAGATCAAAGGGTTCAGCGAGGTCAAGGTCGAGAAAGTCAAGGAAGCTATTCAGAAATGTCTGGTATGCTGTCCTCTACTCCTGGTATAATGATAATGGAGTAGCATCTAACCGTAAACCCTAAAACAGCCTTCTGCATCTGGGTTCATCACTGCCATGGAGTTGCACCACCAACGCAAGAGAGTCGTCCGCATCTCGACAGGCAGTAAGCAATTCGACTCTATCCTCGGTGGGTAAGTACACCCCTCCATTCTTTCCCATCCATCCATTTATCCATGCCACAGGTACTAACAAACCCCCAATCAGCGGCTTCCAAAGCATGAGCATAAGCGAAGTCTTCGGCGAATTCCGCTGCGGCAAAACCCAACTCTCACACACAATGTCCGTAATCGCCCAACTGCCCGTCGAGCTCGGAGGCGCAAATGGAAAAGTCGCCTACATCGACACAGAGGGTACATTCCGCCCCGAGCGCATCGCCCAGATTGCAGAGCGGTACGGCGTCGATCCAGAAGCTACGCAGGAGAATATTGCCTACGCTCGCGCGTTGAATAGCGAGCATCAGCTTGAGTTGTTGAATACGCTTAGTCGGGAGTTTTCTGGTGGTGCTTTTCGGTTGCTTGTTATTGATAGCATTATGAATTGCTTTCGGGTTGATTATTGTGGGCGTGGCGAGTTGGCAGATCGGCAGCAGAAGTTGAATCAGTTTTTGATGAAGCTGGCGCATATGGCTGAAGGTTAGTTTGCTGTTTCTCTGCCGTTTGGGGTTTTCCTCTGGAGTTTTGTTTGTTTGTGGGAATGAGTGCTTACTTGGTCTTTGCAGAGTTCAATGTTTGTGTCTTAATGGTGAGTATTATCCTATCCCCGTTCCTGTTTGGCATGCTGTATTCATATCTTACACTGCTTGTTCAGACAAATCAAGTCCAGAGTGACCCCGGTGCCAGCTCTCTCTTTGCCGGTGCTGATGGCCGCAAGCCTGTTGGTGGACATGTTCTTGCTCATGCTTCTACCACTCGCGTGCTTCTTCGGAAGGGTCGTGGTGAGGAGCGAGTTGCCAAGATTCAGGATTCCCCTGGTACCTTCCCTCAAATTTCGAGGCTGTGAGCTTGTCTAACTTTTTGACAGACTGCCCTGAGCGCGAAGCCATCTACATCATTACCAATGGCGGTATCAATGATCCTGACAAGATTTGAGGTAGTCTCAAACGGTACGGAGTATTGAAGGAATTATTTAAGATAATTATTTTCGAGATAGTCCCAGCTGGATGCTGATGGATTATACAATTAGTTCAGTTATACCATAAATTGTATTGTTAAGATCCAAAAGTCTGATGGCAGCCCTAATATAGAGTTCACCGCCTACAGCGCCGCTCTGGCAACGCGGCAAAATCAAAACTGCAGAAAAAGTTCCATTCAACCCACGCAACATCCAGCGATCAGCGTTTCATCAAAATGAAGGGTGCATCCGTGGAGGTGGCAGGGTACACGACCCTGCCAGTGCAGCTCCCCGCAACACCAACATTCCCCAAGCCCGCAACACACTACCTCTACATCCGTCCCCATGAACCCCGAATCCCAGACCCAGATTCCACCCGCTCCCTCTTCCTCGTCAACGTCCCAATCGACACAACAGAAGCCCATATCCGCCACCTTTTCGGCACACAACTCTCCGCCGGCCGCGTTGAGCGAGTCCAATTCGAAGACGTGCCAACAAAAAAGCGCACAGCAGCCGCAGACACCGACACAAACTCCAACAAAAAGAAACGCAAGCGCGTAACAGCAGACGACTACCAAACTTATTTAGACGACATCAACCTCCCTTCAACCTGGGACCGCAAACTCCAAAAGAGCGGCGCCCACGCAATCGTCATCTTCGCCGATAAACCCAGCATGGAAACCAGCCTGAAAGCCGCCACAAAGGCCGCCAAGCGCGGTACCACCCTCGTCTGGGGCGAGGACATGCCGGCAGACCGCATCCCCGCCCTGGGTTTGCAGCGGTACGTCGCGCACGAGCGCCTCCAATATCCAGACCGGGGCGCGCTCCTCCGCTCCGTGAACGAGTTCATGACTACGTTCGCGGCGGTGGCTGGCGCGCAAGCGCGAGGAGTCGAAGCGATTGGCCGAGCCGGATGAGGATGGCTTTATTACAGTTTCGCACGGTCCTAAGTTGAATTCTGTTGCCAGGGAGGATGAGATGAAGGAGCTTGTTGAGAGGCAGAAGAAGAAGGCCGAGGGTCTGGAGGACTTTTATCGCTTCCAGTCGAGGGAGAAGAGGAAGGAGAGGCAGAATGCGTTGCTTAGGCGCTTTGATGAGGATAAGAAGAAGTTGCACGAGCTTAAGGAGCGGAGGGGCAAGATTCGGGTGAGTTTTCTTTTGCTCTTTTTTTAGCTTTGCTTTTGGCGTGCTAACTTTTGATACAGCCTGAGTGATCTTGTATGCATGATAGCATGGCGTTTTGGGAGTCTTTCGTGGACAGGATAAAAGTTTCGAGGTTTCCTGATGTACATGTGAGTTACTTGCTGCTTCTTTGCATTCTTGGATTGTTCGCTCTAAGGATGAGTACGCTGGGGCCATATTAGCAAAACGCACTTTGTTCGCTGTTATGCTATGACTTCAAAAACCAGCATATCAACGATCTTCTCACCTTCTGATATAGAGCTTTATATCTTGCTTTCTTTTGCTTCTGCTTCTTGGTGCTGCATTTGCTGATGTTCGATTGAAATAGGTGGCTTAGATGGATAAGTACATTATATCTCAATAACTATCACATTATCTATGGATTGAATATGTTCAACATCAACTTATTGACTTTCGCTTGAGTCATGTAGAGATACTGGCTGTCTGGCACAGTACTCCGTTTTGCACACTTTTTATCGATCGATTAAATATGTCCCAACGTACGGCAGAGCCAGCATTATTGGAAACACTGTTCTGTGGAAATGTCGCTATGTACCTGGCGTATATGTAGCAGGGCTCGCTCCAAGGGGTCTTACTAATTCCTGTTAACTAGTAACTTTCCTGGTTCTCTCGCAAGAGATGCGGCTAGAAATAAAAAGCCGCTTGTGCGGTCAGATCACTATACTCGAGTTAAATGCCAAGTGAAACAACGAACCGGACTGAACCCATATGTAATTGTAGTGTAATTGTAGTATGTAGGTAGTCGGATATCCCGCACAGACCAAGGCTTGGCATGACATCCCACCTCTGATCTGAGTATAAGATCTGAGCTATACGTGCACAGGTGTATACCTTCATATGAGACTTCTCTTGCATCTCCAAAAACAGCCTGAGCACAGTCTTCACTTGTTTTAACCCTAGTTGTTTGGACATTGGAGTACCTCAGAATATCTGTTCTCGCCGTCATCGACCCACCTCACCACAAAATATCCAATAATCCAGATTTCACGCGCCTTGTCCCCGGGATTCAAAGGCCCATCAACATGTCACCTGTCCTACTTCAGGACGAGCCTGACTCTGACGAAGATGTCGAGTTTGAAGACGTCCCAATCCTCCACCAAACCAGAACCCAAAGCAGCGAAAGAACCAGGAATGGAGATATCTCCATAGATCTCCCCCCAGTCCCAACCCAGCAATGGAATCCACCACTATATCTTCCGCCACAGCGGACTACACCCATCCCCTCCGGCTCAGAGGAAGAAATTCAGCTCCGAGGCCGGCTCAGCACGGGTATTGAAAAGATCACCTACCGCAAAATGAAATCCGACATGGGCATGGATGCCCCGGATACACCTGTTTCCTTACGCAGATATGAGGGATTCAAGGATCTTGTAGTTGATGTGGATAGCCTGGTTGACATGCTTTGGGTTTCGGCAACTCGTGAGTATAACCCTTCTTTCTTCTTATATTCATATCTACGATTATTTTTACATATAAAGAAACTATACAACTAACAACCTTCCAGCGGCAATTCAAACTGAAACCCTCATAACCCTAGCAGGCCTAACCCAAACCTCCTTAAAAAGCTTCCCCTTCGACCCACAACCAACACTAACAATCCTGCATAAACTGGACTCGATCTTTGCAGCATTATGTACAGGAACGCACCCACTAACGGGTGCCGCTCTTCCGGGTGCTCAGATTGGTCAGTCGCTCGCAACGGAGACGCAGAAGGTCCGCATTCGGAGTTTAGCGGAGATGACCCGGTATGAGGTTTTTTCTGCGTTGGGGGGTTCTAGTCGGGAGATTACTGGGGATGGGGATGGTGATTACGACGATGATGTTGAGGATGTTGAGGATGATGATGAGCCGTGGATGTTGGAGGCTACGCAGGTTTATGAGAAGAGTTTGATGTTGCTTGCGGAGCAGAACCCTGGTGTGGCTGGTGATGATGGTGATGTGGGTTGTGGACTTTGAATGTATGATGTTTGTATCTGGATTGGATATTTTGTTCGCATTGAGTATTGTGGGAGTTTTGTGTTTTGTGCTATAGGATAGTTAATATTGTTGCCTACACCTGTGCCTGACTCTATTTATCTGATCTGGGGCTGTATAGATTGCTGAAGAGTATATTTTTAGAAGTCGACGTAGTGCAAGAAGCTCAGGCCATTGGATGCAGACAAAAGAAGTCCCACAGGGTTAGATTCTACTGCATACTCCGTACATATATAGACGGATACGCATGTGTCTTCTAGAAAGTTCTATATTTATAAAAGAAAGAAAATCCTGAAACCCGAGACCCGAAAAAAAAAAAAAAAAAAAAGAAAAAGAAAAAGAAAAAAAAAAAAAAACAAGAAACTTAGTGGAGTCGGGCAGGTAGAATGGCAGCTCACCAGAGTCAGCTGAAGTAGTACTGTAAGACCAGTGTTTCCATACCTCGAATTCACGTAACAGTCACTCGCAGTCTTAGCCCTCTCTTTGGACAGAACAGCCCGAACTAAGTGGATATGAGCCCTGAAAGTGGGGAAAGCTAGTAGTCCTGGGGGCGATGCTCAGCCTCGGGCTGACGGTTTCTACTGTACTATACTGTGCTTTGACTCCTAACAAAGAAGATTGGGCTTACAAGTAGGTTTAGAGGTGAGGCACAGTATACGATATACGAAATATCAGGCTCTTATTTCCGATGGTGGGCACCAAAGACCTTGTTCCATGGTTCAAGGGATTAATAATCTACAGTACGTATATACAATGTTCATCTTACTGGAACTCAGGGCATGCCCTATCCCCAGACTGTATACAAACAGACACGCTAATACAGTACCGACAGTGTCTCACCATGCAAGGGCTTAGCTTATTCTACTCCCTTGCACCTTCATTGTATATAGAACCAGATCTCCGGAAATACCATACGGAAACGCGTCGCGTACCGAGTGGAAAGGTGCTTGGCACATGAAATCTCTGCGGGTAACGGGTAATTCTAATACGAGCGCCCCATGGTTTTCTTTTTATTATTCTACAGTGACGTATGGGAATCAAGTTACTTCCTTACATCCTTAAATGGATTATAGAACCTTGCTTCGAGAAGAGGGCTGCATACTTCAGGACCTGCAGGTGCAGGGGTGGGTGAAAGGGAGTACAGTACTGTAGTTCCATGGTTCGATGCTTGTGTGGCGGGGCTCATTTGCTTTGTATAATATATGTAACAACGGATTACATGTAAATGTTAAGCTACAACCTTGTTAGCTCCCAAGTACGGAGTAAGCAAGCTTAATACATAAGTTATTAGGTACCCAACTATGTCTCGTATAGGCACTTTCCCGGTACCGACTAGCGAACATTACATCAGCGTCGATGACGATAAGGCCCACGGATGTTGACAAGTCACATTGTGAGGAGGGCGACAGGTCCTTGCAGATTTCATGCATTGGTCCCCTTGTATCAGGTACTATTGGGTGTCTCTCACCGAGATTTGGCTTGGACTCAGATCTGGTACGGATCGGGCGGAAGTCTTAACAGTTGATGTGCTGTAGAATCGGGATTGTCGGAAGTCACCCGCATATGCATGGGGTTCTAATAGTGTAAGTGTTTATATAGTTAAAGTTGTAGTAGCTAGTCAGTTTAGTTATATAGTTATAGCTATAGCTCCAGTATAGATAGATACTGAGGCAAGGACAACCGAGTGTAGAACCATGGGTCCAAATACCATACCCCGTATTACAAATACCCCTGTATCAGTAATTTCGCACTTCCCCCTCCCTCCAAGATTTCGTTTCTTCATTTTCTTCTTCCCCTCTCCATCCCCCTCTTTCCTATTGTTCGAAGATCTCGTTTTTCGCGGATTTTGCTTTAGGGAGTTGTGCTTGTTGCCGATTACTTGTTTTTGCGATCGCATTTCTAGTGTTTTCGCGATCTGCTTTATATTAGGTGAGTGCAAGCCTCTTTCATCATACCCAGTCCACCTCATACTGCTCTGCCTCTGCCTCCGACCTCGACCTTGACCAGGGAAATGGCGAAGCTCCGGTCGCGCCGCGCCCTTGCGCCCATGACAAAGCACCCCGGACCGGGTCATCTGAATCCCCGTTGAGTGTGAACGGATCGGTTGCATTCGGACGTCAGACTGGATACGGAAACGGCCGGCGCATAGCCTTCGCCAGCATCAACGAATTGATGATATACCATTTTCGTCTTGCGCATCCAATTTCCTCGCTCTGCCGTTCGTCTGCGGCCGATCCACCCATCAATCCCTTCCGCGAATGCTACCCGAAGCTCTGGTCTTGGCGATTTCCGGTGCCGCTTTGAGGCTGAAGTGCTGAAAGGACTTGCGACCTTCTTCACATTTCCTTCACTGTCTTGAGTTTTCGCGTCTCTACTTTTTTTGATCTCAGCTCGACTATGATTTTTTGTCTTGTCGCATATCACTTTTTCTCGTCTTATATCACTGCTTCAGCCGGTTTTTAAATTGCAGCGAGGAAATCTAACATTCATTTCAACCCAGGACCTTTACGCCCTCCTTGCCTGGCTTATCACGAATTGATCTAACGCCGGTCTTTATTTACGACTCCACGAAGTTCTAGTCGCTTTGATATTTAACCTTCTTACGTCGACTTTCGGACTTTGATTTTTGCTACAAAATGTCGTTCAACAACTTCGAATCTTTCCCTCAGCAGGATCCCGCCGCTGCTGGCGCCCCAGCCCCCGTTGACACCACCATGACCGGTCAGGCCGATCCCTCCGCCGCTCAGTTCCAGGGCCCCGCTCCTGGTGAGCCCAACGCTGCCCCCGTTCCCCAGCAGGGCGCTGATGGCAAGACCACGCTCTGGATGGGTGAGCTTGAGCCCTGGATCGACGAGAACTTCATCCGCAACCTCTGGTTCCAGATGGGTGAGCAGGTCAACGTCAAGATGATCCGCGACAAGTTCTCTGGGTAAGACACTATATTCCTCTTATGTGTTCGAATACGTTCCTAATGTGGGTAGTAGGAGCAATGCTGGCTACTGCTTCGTCGATTTCGCCTCCCCTGCCGCCGCTGCCAAGGCCCTTTCTCTGAACGGCACTCCCATGCCCAACACCAACCGGGTCTTCAAGCTCAACTGGGCTACCGGCGGTGGCCTCGCGGACCGCAGGTAAGCACGAACCCCAAGAATTGGTATTTTCACCTGGTATTAACCTCAATTAAGCCGTGATGACCGTGGTCCTGAGTACTCCATCTTCGTTGGTGACCTCGGCCCCGAGGTTAACGAGTACGTCCTCGTTTCGCTGTTCCAGAGCCGCTTCCCCTCGTGCAAGTCCGCCAAGATCATGACCGACCCCATCAGCGGCATGTCCCGTGGCTACGGGTTCGTCCGTTTCTCCGATGAGAACGACCAGCAGCGCGCCCTTACCGAGATGCAGGGTGTCTACTGTGGCAACCGCCCCATGCGTATCTCCACCGCTACCCCTAAGAACAAGGGCCCCGGTGTTGGCAACGGTGGTGGTATGGGTATGCCCGGCCCGGCTGGCATGTACCCTCCCATGGGTGGCCCTCCCATGCCCTTCTACGGTGCTCCCCAGCCCATGAACCAGTTCACCGACCCCAACAACACCACTGTCTTCGTTGGTGGTCTCTCTGGCTACGTCACCGAGGATGAGCTCCGCTCTTTCTTCCAGGGATTCGGCGAGATTACCTACGTCAAGATCCCCCTGGAAAGGGCTGCGGTTTCGTCCAGTTCGTCCAGCGCCACGCCGCAGAGATGGCTATCAACCAGATGCAGGGATACCCCATCGGTAACTCTCGTGTCCGCCTGAGCTGGGGCCGCTCCCAGAACAACTCCGGCCCTGCCGGCAGCCCCTACCGCCCTGCTCCCCCGCCACCTCCCATGTACCCCTCCATGGGCATGCCCCCAGCCCACCAGTATGGCGGTTTTGCCCCCATGAAGGTGAGCAGTCACCCTGGCAGCCCGATCCCGGATCACTCTTGAAGCAGGCGGTCGGCTGACACAACTCTCCAGTGAGCGTTTCCTTTGATTGAAATCACCGGCAGGAGTTGTCTGCGCCATTCAAATGACGGGTCTATTGTGTCATAACAAATTCGTGATTCCCTGGTTTCTGCCTTCAAGGCTATAGCTCTTGATGAGCATCGTGTCTCCTGTGCTACGCATTTCCTTTTTACGTGAGCGCTATTACCTTAGCAAGATCTGAGCTTTGCCTTTCCCGCTGATCTGTCTTGTTCTTATGTATCTCTTTTCCCCCTCTGCGCTCTTTCGTATCTTATTCTCCTTTTTTACCTTATTTTCGATGTCTCTCTGCCCTTATGCTACTGGGGGTTCTAAACACCCCGTGGGTCTTTGTCTGCGTGTAACGGAAGTCCGAATTGTTCATGCGCTTCTTTTTCCCTATACTCCTTGGGCAGGCATTCTGCGAAAAGTTCCATTTCCCCACACTTTTTCATTTGTTCAACTTTTTTTTTTTTTTTTCTTTTTCTTTCAAGCAGCTAAATTGAATTATGTTCGCTTTGAGGAATGTCGCGTTGAGCTTTTCCCTTTTCCTTTCTATTCCTGTTAGACTGATGACGGCTTGTACAACACGCTCTATTTCGTGCGCCTCAGCGTTTGTCGATTCTAAATTTCTTGGTATGTGGTATGCAATAATGTCGTGCGCTCGTTTGATGTCTTGCATTTTATTGCTGCCGTCTCCAATCTTTCTTTGGTCTGTTTCTGTCAGCTCTTTGCTAGCAAGCTGCTGGACTACGGCCTTGTCAAGGGCTGGTCCCATGAAAAAAAGATTCAGCAATCTCGAGCATTTGCTCATGTAGTATGGAGCCTCTCTGGTTTGGCGCTTCGTTGGCCTTTTGCAGTTAGTTTTGGGTCTCTTTCATCTATCTCTCTCTCTGCTTCTTGTCCGTCTTCGATGCTGTCAGAGATCAATCTATCGGAATACTTTACGTTTATTTTCTAAGCTGCGGCTTGTAATTTCATTTATATCATGGTGAGAAGGTTGGCACTTGGTGTTAGCACGCGTTGAATTTCTGTCCTCTTTCTCTAGACTGTTTCCGTGCCTGATTGTATCTTGATTTTCCCCGTTAGGGCTTGGTTTATTCTGTGGTTGACTTGCGCTTCATAGGAGGTAATGTCTGTCTCGAATTTTCAATTTCAGAAACGCTATTGTGAATTTTGTTATGCAATTAATAGGAAGATGTCGTTTGGTCTTGGGTGGTGTAATTGCTGATGTAGAGGGCTGAGGCATCAATAGAGTTGCACCTAGGTATGGTATATTGAGGTACTTCCTCCCTCACGCCTGTCCGTTGTTTACCCATGTACCTCCAGGCCTTCTTTCTCTTCTTTCCCCAACCCTGCACAGCTTCGGTTGTCGTTGTTTCGCGCCTTCTCCCCTTCCACCCAGGCAGGTACATGCAGACAGTCATCACTGTCACCTTTTTATCTCATCCCCTTCAATTTATTAACCTCATTTCAAATCAGGTTTGCCTCCGTTTCAAGATGCGCTACGGAAACTGGGATGTGCTTCTTTTCCCGGAGCTCTCCAGGGTGCCAATCCAGGAGTTCAAGACCCAATGCTTTGTGACCAAGGATAAGGACTCGCCAAACCTGCACAGTGCCGCATACCACGGCCCTCATCCATACTATCCTGACCCGGCCCGTTGCAACCAACTCCCTGTTCTCACGACCTTCATCCCGAGTCTGCCTCAAGACAGTCGGTTCCGGGTATCGGTGCACAGCTGGGAGAAGCCACGTCCTAGTCTCTCGATCGAGTCTCACATGGAGCCAGAGGATGCCTTGCTCTTTGAAGCTCGCATCTATGTGGATGGTGCTTTCGTTGCGTGAGTATTCGATCCTTGATATTTTTCGTGGACTGAGCTGAGATCTGTCAGTGGCACTATCTTCGGGCAGAGAACTGATTGGCCGCATGTTATTGGTATGTGCTCTATACTTCATCACCATGGTATGGGATGCTAATTTTGCTCGACAGAACTCAGTGCCCGTACGATTCCTCTCAATTAAGTGGCCTTCAACTTCTAACGTTGTATAGACCTCGACCGAGATGGAAACCCTGACGCGATGCGCTTCCCTGCCTTTCATTCTGAGATTCTTGGGCAGAAGCACTGGGATATAAGCGATACTAAAGGTCGGATCAGGGTCGTCATCGCTGAAGGATTCTCTCGTCCAAACCGGTCTCCTCCGTTCGAGCGCTACAAGGATGTGATTGTCATGTCTTTTCAGCATGCACCCCGAGGCAAGTATTTTGTTTCCCATTGACAGAGGCTTTGTTGCTAATGTGGATTGCAGATATTCTGGAGTTTTCCAACATCGCCTGGCCCAACCCTAAGATGTGGCTGCCATCGGGCAATGGACCTCGGTATTTTCCAGCAAATGGGTACGGTAACACCAAGAGACCTGATGACCCCCATGGACATTCTCCGAGCAAGCCCAACGGTACTACTGTGAACTCCAGCAGCCAGTCCAGCAGCAGCAATGCCGCAACTTACAACAGCAGCCACCACCAACCTGGCAATCCATCAAGCTTTGCGTGGACTCCTCACCGAGGTTTTCCCATCCCCTCCACGCAATGGACTGATTACCCACGGGGACCTCGCTGGGAAGGACAGGATACATACATTGTCGAGCCCGCTTTGGAAGCTTTTGTCGACGACACTGCTTGGCGTCAACGCGGTGCCCGTTCTTCTCGGGAAGATGTCCCAATGCCAGACTACGCCTCTAGCTCTACCAGCAGCCGTGCCATCTCGAGCATGACTGGCATCAGCTACGAGCACAGCAAACAACCCAGCATAATCGCCGCCATGGATGATGAGCAGTACAGCGAGTTGATCCAGTCTCTCACCCCTACCAAGTTGCCAACCGTGGGCACCCGTGCACCCTCAAACACTCCCTCCGCTACACTGTCCACTGGACAGCCCTCTGCTGCCGCCAAAGCGCGCTCTGAAGGCTACGGTCGACTTACTCGTCGCACCTCTGCCCTCTGTGAAATCTCGCAGCCCAGCACCCGTGACGTCTCGGACTCAAGCATGCAGCCTGTTCACGAGAAGGATGTTGTTGACTTGCCAATCTCCAAGGTTGGGGCTAGCCCTAGTGAGAAGATCAAAAGCAAGAAGGAAGTCCTGAAGGAAGTCGTCAAGGAGGTTGTGAAGGAGGTGAAAAATGTCGACAATGTCGCCAACCAGGAAACACCCAAGGCAAAGGATATCATGAGGAAAGCCAAGCTCGCAATCGACACTGAAGATGCTCATTTAGCTGATCAGGAGAATGAGTAGCTTGTGACTTAGTTTGGAGACTATCTGCCCGTCTATGGTGACCATCCGGTCGTCTGCATATCCTTGTATTCTTAGCTGATAGTGGATTCACCAAATGCCTCTTACTATTACTTCCTCATCCCAGGTCATTGTGTTCCATGATCGTAACTTATCTACATATTCTTCAAGTAACAAATATCTGTTGACAAGATACCATCTCTACATCGCGAGGTTGACATATCGGGTATGAGCCCTTGGTCATAGAAAGCCTACATATAAATATCAGTCGCCGCACTTCAAAGTTACTCTAGCCTGACATTTCGAAAACCAGCTCTAAAGCCAGTACAAATAGTCCAAAGTTCGCCACTTTGATGGGATATTTGTCGGCAGTCAGTGTGCACCTTGACGATCAAATGTGACTGTCCCAGAGCACTTCCCAATCAGGAAAGAGCAAGACTGTTTACATCTTCCTCTTGTTTTCTTTTTTCTCTTCCTTTCTCTTCTCTCTTCCGCCATTCATTCTTTATCTCCTCCTCCCCATTCACACGTGTTTCCATCTTCTGTTTCCATCAACTTCATCAAGCTCATCATCAACACAGACTTGCCAGCCTGACCTCCTCATGGCGGATTCCGCTCCGAACTTGGACATCTCCCAGACAGACGTCACGTCTGCCTCGGACATGTCCTCACTTCTGGACTCGGGCATGGGCATTTCTGTTTCGTCTTCCTCTACTTTGGTGTCTCCCACTCATCCTGTTTCTGTTTTGGGCTCTATTGGGGCCCCATCTACTGGGACCGTCTCTCCTGAGACTGTCGCCATCAACCCTGTCTCCCTCCCCTTGACTGAGACTCAAGGTCGTCAGCCTCTTCTTCTTTCAATCCCTGTCTTCGGTCTTCCCACTCCTTGCAGCTCTGCTTTGGGCAAAGTCCAGCCTGCAGTCGCCTACTCTGAGGCACCTCTAGACAGGCCTTTTCCGTGGTCTTCTCGTGACCCAAGCCGTTTTGGCAGTTTGGGGCATGATGCGAGTGCACTTGCAAGCTCTGTTATTGAGAGTATTGAGCATCAGGACATGACCCATAAATCCCAGCAGCTGATACAGTGTGACGGCCCAGCAGATGATGGTCCTGATATGATGGACACACGTTCTGTCGGTCAACCATGTGCTGAGAATTTCGTCAGTCAGGAACGACAGGACCAGCAACAGCGTCCCCGCGCTCACTCTATGCAGCCTCTGAACTCATTCACAGTGTCCAGAGAGACACTCACTTCCGCGCCACTGCCAGGCATAGATCTGTTGCGTGATCTTTCCATGGTTGATAACCAGGGAAACGAGGTGTCTATGGCCTCGACGCAGGCTCAGATATCCCAAGTTCATTCTCTACGGGCTGAAATCCAGGACGCCGAGGCTCAAAAAGTCCAGTCACACTTGCAGCGATTTCATCGTGGATTTCAGCGAGGATTTCAGCGGTCATACAGCCAGCAGCCTGTGGTGACTCTTCCTGAGGACTTTGAGCTGGCTGTTGCCAGAATTTTTACGTCTGCTGGCCAACACCAACAACCTGCACTGGCCACAATTCCGGAGATCCCATCGCTCTTTCAGCGGGTGCTGACTGGGCTAAATGCTCGTGGTCAGCCTGCCATGAACCAGCAGCCTCCATTTGACACCAACTCTGCCGGTGGCCCTGCTTTGACTAGTGGCCATGATACAGAGATTGGTCCTGAGTACTCTCTGTCACAAAATTCTGTCCTGGGTCTTACTGCTGTTGTTTCTACTGGCTTTTCTACTGATCTTTCTAATGATATGTCTACTGGCCTTACTTCTGGTCGTCCTTTGGTCTCACCTCAAGGCCAAGGTCGTCGAGTTCTTCCTCCGAATCCCGTCGTCCACCTGCCGACTTATTGCAGCCCTACCCTGACCAAGGGATTGCCTGTAGTTGTCTTTCCTCTTCCTCCTGCTATGTCTTCCTCTACTTCCGCTGCCTTAAACATGGATGATTCGGTTCCTTCGAGCCCTGAGGACTGCAAGTGGCGCCAGGTTGACCAACATGAATACAACATGGCGTCGGGAGACTGGGACCGCATGCCAACCCAAGGCTTTTTGGGCGCCGGGATATCGATCGATTCCGGTGCTCCAAGCGTTGCCCATGACTCGAAGTTTGAACAGGTTGCTCCAGGCGACCCTTTGGCTCATTTAGAACGGCGTGACATCCTAGACATTACCAGCAGCTCCTTGAACATGAACCCCAAAGATTCGGAGTGCCGCCCTGTTCAAGTAAGTAGTATCGTTGACTGACTCTTTTCATACAAGCACTAAGCTGACAACCAATTTGAAGACTCTGGGGTCGATTGTTGTGGGCAGCTTGATGGACAACCAGGTGTTATTCGTCTTCAATATGTTTGACCTTATGGCCAATCTGCGGCCCCGGTATGAATACAAGTACGGTGGCAAAAATGGAAAGAAGATTGGCGTCAGATTGACATTGTGGGGGCACACCGTCCTGATTGCCCCGATATCTGAGTCACTCCATGAAGCCAGGGTCACTGCTTGTCGCGAAGCCCTTGAACAATTGCGTGGATTCAACATGCTGTGGCAGATCCCGCCTCAGCCAATGGATGGGCCCACGAGCCCTTCCTGGAACTGGGTTGAAGTGCTTGAAGGTAATCGTTTTTGGTCAACTTCTTTGAGCAATATCTAACAGTGGTTTCTCTCCAGTCTACCGCATAATGCAGAAGTGGCCGGAGCCTCGATATCTGCCCATCAGGGATGGCCGCGCATGGCACTGTGATGTTCACGTGGGCAGAAAGCTTTACCGCACCATGAAGCCAGTCCCAACGCTTGATGAGGCTCAAAATACTGTTGCCCATCTGGCAATACATCAGATGATGGTTGGCGGAGGTGATTATGATCATTTTTCCATCCTGCCGGCGGATAAACCGGTGACGGTGAACGTACCGACCCAGAAGCAGATAGCCACGCTTCTGTATTCGAAGAATGCCGATGCTCTAAAGAATACAGGCACCACTGTTCAATATGCGGGTGTAACGAAGTCTACTGTCTTGCCCAAGTTCAGGCGATCCAGAGGCAGGGGTTGTCGGTCTGGCTCTCAATCTCAGAATAATGCTCAACAGAATACCCAGGTTCGTTCAAATGTACCTAGAGCGGACAAGGCAAAGAACGGAAATTGCTCCGCTCTGATCCCGGCAAAAGCCAACTCAAACATGATCCCCGTGACTGGCAGTCGATATGTACCTATCAAGGTACAGGAAGAGCCCGCCAATGATCCCTTGGCAACCCTGCGATCAATTGTGAAGGCTCTCGGCGAATTGGACAAAGAGGCTTCCTTCACGAGTGTCGTGAGAAGTAAGCCCACTCAGCCCCTTCTAACCCATGACATTCACTGACATGTCTCCTTTTATGTCTAGTGATTTGTGACGCTTTGCATGCCAACGCACCCAATATGGTGGTCAACATGGTCCCAAAGAAGTTAAACAAGCTTGCCAACTCCTACGCAGTACTCGCCTCGATTCATGGTGGCAACCCATACTTGAACCGGGCTAGCCCAATTCACCTGGCCTACGTCGTGAGCAAGAATAAAGAGGCTGCCAAGGCTATCGGGGTCAAGAAGCTGATTTTGTACATCCTGAAGATGGCAAAAGAAGACGCTGGTATCGAAGACGCTGCTGAATATCCGAATGGAATGGGTGTCCTGCAAGCGCTAGAGGATGAGTGCGAGCAGTCACTGAACGCCTACAAGACCCAGGGCGAGTTCTTCCTCCTTTGAGAAAACACTACTGTTACCCTGATGCTCACCATAAGCCCGTATCATCTGTTACATGTTCTGTTCAAGACCTTTTTCGTGATATTTTCTGAGAGACTGATGGTGTCGTCACGAGTAAGATGTGTTCGATGCCCACAATCAGTGGCGCATGGCTCATGGTGCATGTTCCTTGTTTCTCCGGCGGTTTTGCTTGAAAAGAAAATTGTATGCATAACGTCGTGATAGCAAATCATTTCTCCACTTCTTTCTTTTCATACATTCGTACAGTATGTGAGTTTAAGTATACCTGAAGCCTCTTGAATTTCTGGACAGCTAGTCAGAGTACTGCTAGTGAATACCATCCTCATCCTTGCAGTTGAAAACATTATACTCGCTTCGAGGCTGCATTGCGTGTAGAGTCTTTCCAATAAAGTTACTTCAAGGGTAGCACTGTCACAACACATTCATAACCCTTGTACTCACTACAACAGGATGATTTACAACATCTCCCAAAAAGGAAATATAGGGCTAGCACAACTTACTGTACACCCACCACCTAACCTTGGAACTTACAAAATAGCCATTTACTGAGAATAAATTTGCAATAGAGACTCGTGAACATTTCTGAAAAGAAACGAAATTACCATAACGCATAACAAACTCCTAGTCTGCTGGGGAATATCCAAATCCAAGTCAATCACATCACAATTCCATCCACACACGCATACAGACATCCCCAACACCATACGAGCAACAGCTAGCATTCACATTCACACGGATCTCGGGATTCGTGATTTTTAGTTTGTCCTTTGTTTCCCATTCCAGGTTCCATTTTTCCTGGACACATCCATGTCCATCTGCTAGACGCAGAGCCATGGGGGCGATGCTGGATTGGTTCTGATTGAGAGCAAATGCAGATAATGAAAGAAAAGGGGGGGAATCACAAGGCTTAGACTTTATTTAAGCCGGGAGTAGAGTAAGTGGATTTCCACTGCCAGTTATACTGGTGACAAAAGAGAAGAAAAGGAAGAGGAACAGGAAAGGAAACATCCGGCATTGTTGGGAAGAATTTGAACCAGAAAGAGAGGGGCTGGGTGACAAGGAAAAAGGAAAGCGTTTCAAATGAAAGGATAAAAGTGCACTGGATCAGCCAAAAGGTACTGGACTTCATACTGAACTGAGTGAGAGTATCAACTTCGCCCATAGGGAGGACTCAACGAAGCAAGAATTTAAGTAACCACATCCACAAGTAATAATAATAATAATAGAAAGAAAGGAAGGAAGCCAAGAAAACTCGTAGGTCACAGTGCACTAATCTCGAATACAGAACGAGCTCCGGCCAGTCCAAGCGAGTCCCGTGGTATCGAGATGACTGGGAATTGCTGAGCTTTCCGGACAAGAGAGAGGATGGAAGAACTGCGATCAACAGGGTACGCCAACGCCAATCTCACCGAAGCACATGCGCAGAGAACACACATATCCAGGTAGTTGAGAGACAAGAAAGCAAAACAGGTCGAATATCCGCGCAAACGCACTAGAACAATGATCAAATGTACAAACAAGGGTATATCGGAGGTGAAGCACCTGAAGGACCGTTAAGACTTTTACACGTTCACAGGCTGTCGCCGGCGCCTGTCTCAACACCGTCGGCTGAGTATGATATGCTAGGATCGAAGCCAAAGCCGGTGGCATCGGCGTCGGTGTTGAGGAACGTGTCGAAGTCAAAGTTCTCCAGAATGTCTGGGTTTTCCAGTGCGCTGAAGTCAAGGTTAAATGCGTGAGCCTATGCGAGGTCAGTGTCTGTTTTCCAAGCCAGTACCTGTCAAGACTTGTAAGGGCGCATACATCAGGAATACTCAGGTCAGTGAAAGGTTGCTGGGTTTGGTCAGGCGGCGGCTGAACCATAGGCGGAGGGGCAGGTGCCGAGGGCTGTCCCTGTGCAGCCCCATTCGCTCCGTTCTTGTTGAAGGAGTTGGGATGTTGAGGTGTGACAGGAGTTGATGGAGTCGGCGTTGGCGCTGTGTCTGCGGCTTCGGTGGAAGGAGTGGCACCTGCAGCTGCAGCTGCAGCGGCAGCCTTCTTGGTGGGCCGCTTGAGTTCAAGTTAGCAAATACAGACAACTGAATAGCAAGGAGATACAAACCTTGCGGGTGTCCTTGGTGTCCTTCTTGCCCTTCGGTGCGGGCTTGTTAGACTGCTGGGGTGTAGGCGGGGCATTGCCAGCGGTCTGTGGGGATGCTGGCTGGCCACGACCAGCGTTGGGGCCTGTGACGGGTGGCGCGGAGGGCGGAGGCATTGCGCTTCGTTCCTGCGGGGTTCCAGCCTGAGGCTGGCCCGCGGGTGAATGCTGCATAGGCATCGGTTGTTGCCCTTGCGGCCATTGTCCACTAGGCATACGCTGGGCGTTAGCCGGAATGGGCTGACCCATTTGAGCTCCAGAGAAAGCAGGGTTGGAGCTGGGAGGTCGCATATTCGGCCCAGGGAAGAACTGAGCTGCCATCTCCGGTGGCATTTGACCGCCATTGAGGTTCATGGATCCGGGTGATCCACGCTGGGACATGTCGGCCGCGCTAGGCGAGCCAGGAAGTCCATTTTGAGGCATCTTGGGCGTGCCTCGTTTCATTTGGTCGCTGGGGTTAGGAGAAGTGCCCGCCCGACTGCCCGGAGAAGTGCCAGGTGGCAAACCTCCTTGACCGGGCATTGGGGGCTGGCCATCAGCACGGGCCATGCTATCCTGCTCTTGGCGAGCCATCATCAGGCGCCGCTTATTCTGCTGTTCGAGCAGCATAAGCTGCATTTGATAATCTTGGAGTGCGTGGTTACCATGCTGAGGGCCAGGTGTCTGCAAACCAGGCCGAACCTGGGGGAGTTGACCGGTGGCGCCGTAGTAATCACCATTCATCTGATATAGTGCTTGGCCATCCGGCATCCCTACCATATCGGTCTGATTTGGCATAACACCGGGATTCATCATACCACCATTTGAGATACCCTGGGAATTTGATGCTGAGCGAAAGTGATGAAAGGCCAAGTTTTGAGCATATACCTGCATATTCTTCTGCTGCGCAGCCTGTCCTTGTTGCTGATACTGCTGGAATTGCGCCTGAGTCAACCCCCGCTGCTGCATGCCATTTTGCATCATCATTGCCTGCGGATTGGGCTGCCCAGGTATTCCTTGTCCTTGTCCACGACCGTTCGGTGCGAGCTGTTGTCCGTTGACAGCGCCTTCGAGGCGGGGGCGTTTCGACGGCGAAGGAGCGTTGTCGGCAGACGCAGGTGACTGTGGTCGATGCCCAGCCAGTTCCATGTCAGATTGGTCCCGTTGCATTTGCTGCATCATTTGCATTTGCTGGGTCTTTTGGAACTGTGCCATCTGTTGTTGCTGTTGCGAGCTACAGAAGATCAAGTTAGTACGGCGTCCACCCCCAATCCGACACCTGCCGTGGGGAAAAGTAGTGAGATAGAGCATACAGGCCAGAGGTGTTGTTCTGCAGCACTGTTTTCTGCAGGTTAGGTGGCACCATGCCATTCTGTCTGCGCAGCTGGTTCATTTGAGCAGGCATCATAGGTTGCTGTCTCATAAACTGATTATGTTGTTGTTCTCGCAGACGCATAAAGTTCTGGGGAGTCGATCAGTTGGTGATGCGCACCTTTGGCAAAAAACATTCACGCACCTGGTTATGCTGAAGATACTGTCGGACGTCATTGCTGTTGCCCTTCTTTCGTTGGGCCCAGAAGAAATCCCAGAAGAGGCTGAACCAGTCTAGCAAGAATGACGAGGGGCTTTCGCTGGGGAGACTTGGACGGGGGAGATCATCCGGGATCTTGATCTTCTCACCGTCCTTTCCATCAGTCATCATGGCATCTGGATCCATGCCATTCATGTCGCCATCACGCCGATTGCCAGGGCTGGTCTTAGGGTTGTTGTCGGTGTTGAGTTTGATGGATTCATCTTGCACAAGTGCGCGAGCGCAGTCGTGGTAGCCACGCTTCAAAAAGTAATCGTAAATGTACGTGTTGAGGTTATTGATCATGATGTCGGGATTATTCATAGTGCCGTCGTTACGGGAAGCCGTGGATCCGTTGTTGATCATAGGAACTCCACCAACTGGGACCCCAGCGCCGGGATTCATTCCGACATTCATCTGGTTCATGATGGCGAACGGTGGAACTGCAGCCACCCTTGCCTGTGGTTTCGTGGAAGATCAAATCGAACGTAGGAAAGTTCCGACGCGCGACCACCGTCTCAGGCCAGTTAGCCTAACGCGGGGTTATGTAGGCGACGCGTGGGAATGGATGCGGAGGTGAAGCGGTGAACGCTTCCCAAGGACGAAGGCTCGCGGACTCAGCAACACGTATACGTGGCTGCGCAAACCGGCTGGATATAAGATCGCAAAATGGGACGGAGGGCGATAAGTTTTCCGGGTCACTGTGACGCCTTATTCCAGAGTACCCACGCGACGGGATCGAAACGAGAGTATCGAGGTTCGAAGGCGCAGACGATATGCTGGAGAAATTGATGAGCACTTGTCAGGGTATTAGAAGACTTCGAATGCCAAGGGCAGGGGCGGATGCGCGGTGTATAGGAAGTGGGCGATGACGGAGGTACAAGGAGGCGGAAACAGCGCACAGGCGAGGTGGTTGGTATGGGGGGGCGGGCGCCAGTCAAGCCCGATCGGGCAGAATCGCAGGCAGGAGAACACCAAGCCAGGTACCAGAAAAGACAAACTCCCAAGGGCAAGAAAAGAGCAGATTAGGAATAGGGGCAGTCTTAAAGAGATGTGGATCTCACAGTGGGAAGGGAACGGATTGAGAGAGAGCCGGGGGTACTGCTCTGCGTTCTGCGGGAGAATCGCTTGTTCGGAGCGGATCAACCTGTTCGGAGGTCGGGGCTGGGGATGGCGCTGTCAAGCGTATTTCTGGGAATGCACCGATCTGATAACCATTGAATGTGCAGTCTGCGCAGCTGAATGTAAATAATTAGAGAGAAAGATCAGAGCAGAGGAGAACAGTGAAGCAAAGAAATAGGAACACAGAAAAGTCAGACTGGTGATATGATACCTGTGATGGGCCCTGCGATGGATCCCAGCGGGAGTCTAAAAAGTAGAGTAAGCCACTCTACACAAAAAGGAGATGAGAAGATCGAGCGATCCAGGAGATCCGAATAATTGATAGGACAATTGAAGCGATAGCGATGGGAAGAGAAGACAATTGATCTGTAGAGAAGTTGAGGGGGCGATGGGTAATATATGACAGTACCTGACAGATACAGTGCTACTTAGTTGGATTTTGGACAATAACAGGTATATAGTATAGACTGATTCTGCAAGAATGGTAGCATGACTGGCATATATTGACATTTTATTGCATTGTACAAGTTATAATATGGTCACTTGTTAGCTATATAGGCAGAACATTGTTATATATACAAAGCTGTCTGAATTTGGCTAGTAAAGTGGTATATAGACCATTCTCCCTTACTATATATACTCCGTGATCACACTGCTAAAGGAAATAACCCAAGTCTGGATAATAGTTTTAGTATGTCTAGAAGACTTAAAAGCAGCGTTAGTAGCAAGTTATTAGAATATTGAGAGGATCATCATCAGGTCACAGTTGTAGCAGACCCCAGAATAACAATAACAATACAATACAACGTCATACATCAAGCTCGGATTGATCGACGTGGAACTTATCAAAAGATCATGCTACTACATGTACACTACATTCGACTAGCTCGACTGGTCGCAAGCCCCTGTCCTCTCTTAGGTTTAGGCCTTTTCATTATGAAGAAGTGCCCCTGCCATGCTAGTAATAAATCGCGTGGCGGGGTGTTTCAGAGATACATCATAAAGCCTAATTGCAGGTGTACAAGGAAATAGAAGCAATAGGGGCCGATGAAATCGGATCGATTCCCCCAATATGGCCAATGAAAAGAAACCCCTGGAACGCCCATGTAGGTGTTAATGCACAAGATCTCGCTTTTCACTCTTCTTCCGGCGGCATCTCATCTTCGATGTATCGTACAAGCGAGACCCGCATCTCGGTCGTCTCATCTCCGCGCAGCACGTCGCTAACAAAGTGTGCCTCGATCTGCATTTGAACCTGGATTCCGGATCAGCCATCGGGTCCAGGACAGAGGAACCTAGTCCGGTTTGAGGGTTAAATGGAGTGCTTACCATTTCCAGTGACCCTCGGAGGACACCACATAGAATATTGGAGAACCACAGCTCATCTTGGGCCCGCCCATCATCGGGAAGTTCCACAAAGTCTGCCAAGGGGTTGTCTTCGAAGATAAGAGAGAACTGGTTGTTGTCGCTTGCCCAATTCGTGACCGTCGGTGTTACGTTTAGGAAGATCTTAAAGCCAACCTGATCAGAATGTCAGCCATGTCTCTGTAACCAGCTGGTATAGTGGCACCCACTTTCGCAATCATGTCTGCTGTCTCTCTAAAGTTGGCGCATCGCCCGACACCTGACTTGGCCAGGAAGTCTTCGATCAGGCGCATTCCGATATTGTATCCCATCTTATCCAACTGCTTATTAACCTCCTGGTAGTCGCTGTCGTAGTCCTGACATAATTGTGCAACGATGGTTCCGTAGGTTAATGTGACCAGCTCTGCGTTCACTTTATCGACTCTAGTTCTGCGATGAAATAGCTGGTTAGCTTGGGTTCGAGGACGGAACGCAGTCGAGTAAATTGCGAATGGCTCCTCGGTTCTATTATAGGGATTTGTGGGTTGACGGACTTCCATATTCTGCGGGGAATCCAATAATTAGCATATATTCCAGATAAAGCATCGGAGTCTACTTACTCTTCTCCTATTCTTGAGGTTTTGTTGGCCGACATCTTGAGGGCTACGCTCCGAGGGCCTTGGCTGCTGATAGAATAGGTGAATGAGAAGCACCAATTAAGCACAGATAAATGCGACAGTCAACAACTGATCAATGGTGATTGCGGGGGAGTCGGTGATTGTTGGAGAGGCTGATGTACACAATCCGCTCACCGCCGAGAGCGGGATTATCGTTCTTCCCGCAGCTTCTCATCGCCGTGGAACTTTTGCTCTCCACTACTCTTTAGGTTGCGATTGGTCCCCGATCCTTTTTTCTTATTTCTTGCATACCCCAAGACACGCTTGCGAAAATGTCCGGCGAGAAACGTCCGGCGCCCGAGGCCTTCGGGACCTCGCACCAGCTCGTTGTCAAGAGAAACAAGGCCGACGCCGAACTCAACGCGGGAACCGCACTGGTCAAGGGCTCGTCGCAAAATGGAGCTCTGGTTCAATCTGTATGCGCCCTTGTTACACTAAAAGCTTGGAAGAAACAGTCAGCTAATCGGAGTCTGCAGGTACCTCGCACGAGCGGGTTAGATGCTCCCATTATGGAGCTCACAGGTGAGATACTTTTGCCAATTTAAGTATATACATGCGCTGATGAGAGGAATGCTAGGTCACTCCGGTGAAGTTTTCACGGCGCGATTCGACCCTACTGCTCAGCATATCGCATCCGGCTCGATGGACCGTTCCATCTGTATGTCTTGCCTTTGATCTCACATGGCTCAATTCAACCGTCAAATACATTACTGATCGAGATCTGTGAATAGTACTTTGGAACACATATGGACAATGCGAAAATTACGGCCAATTGACAGGCCACCGGGGAGCCGTGTTAGATCTCCAGTGGTCACGGGATTCCCGGTCACTGTTCTCGGCATCCGCAGATATGACTCTTGGAAGCTGGGATGTCGAGACAGGCGAGCGGGTACGTCGCCACGTGGGCCACGAGGAAATTATCAATTGCCTCGATATCAGCAAGAGAGGACAGGAGTTGCTAGTCAGTGGCAGTGACGATGGTTGCATCGGCATCTGGGATCCTCGACAGAAGGACGCTCTGGATTACCTCCAGACCGAGCTTCCCATTACCGCAGTAGCACTGTCCGAGGCAGGTAATGAGATTTACAGTGGAGGTATTGATAACACAATCCACGCCTGGGATCTTCGGAAGAAGGCTGTGGTCTACTCCATGGCTGGCCACACAGACACTATTACTTCGTTACAAATCTCGCCAGACTCGCAGACTCTATTGTCTAATTCCCACGACTCAGCGGTTCGCACATGGGACATTCGTCCCTTCGCCCCTACCAACCGGCAAGTGAAGACGTACGACGGTGCTCCTGTCGGGCTTGAGAAGAACCTCATCCGGGCCAGCTGGGACCCCAAGGGCGAGAAGATTGCTGCCGGTAGCGGTGATCGGAGTGTGGTTGTTTGGGAGGCCAAGACCGGGAAATTGCTGTACAAGCTTCCCGGTCACAAGGGCACTGTCAACGACGTGCGCTTCTCTCCCAACGACGAGCCAATTAGTGAGTTATTCCGCTCTGTGTATTTGAACAATTTCTAACATGTTGCAGTTGTTTCGTGCTCGTCCGATCGGAACCTGATGCTTGGAGAGCTGGGCAAGTGAGCATAAGTGATAATAATGTTATAATGAAGATAAGCGGGCGTCATTCATCTTTTCAAACAGCTTGACATATAAATCTTCTCGTCTAAGAGCCAGAAGACCAGCTAAGCAGGTCGATGGCTTCGATGCCCTGTGAGTATGGCAGGGAATTGCGAAAAATAGCTAGGAAGTCACTGGCTTGGGGTCCTCTATGGTCCGATGAATTGTACACTAAAATCTACTGTGACTTTGCTCCATAGTAGACAGGTAAACTAACGTTATAAGTTATGAGAAAGTAGAAGCATATTAGAGCGGAATGATGCAACAAGCGCGGCAAAAAAATTCCCCAAATTGGCTTATCTGGCCGTATCCAACGCTCCACCTCACCCTTGAGTGACCGAGTTCTCTACTCCCTCAGGTCCTTAGAAGGTCCTCTCCCATCCATGATACCAGCACTCAGATCCCCGTGAAGCGCGACGGAGCTTACAGATGTCCTCCCTCCGCTCCGCCGGGAGGGTGGTGTTCTGGGCCTTCCTCCTGTGGTTCACTGTCGCCCATGGTATGAGAGACAGCCAGGTAAAGGAACTAAGGTAAGATGCCGTTGTTTTCGACTATTCTATCGTCTAAAGGCTAGACCACTAACTCCTGTGCTTATGTAGACAAGAAACGGAGCGCATGTTCTTCCACGGCTTCGAGAACTACTTGCAATACGCGTTCCCCGAAGACGAATTGCGCGCGCTGACCTGCGGTCCTCTGTTTCGCGACGAGAAGAATCCAGAGAATAATGATGTCTTGGGGAATTACTCCTTGACTTTGATTGACAGCTTGTCGTCGCTGGCAATCATCTCGTCGAGTCCGGACAGTGGTGAGCGTGCCTTGGCGCATTTCCAAAACGGTGTTCAGGACTTCGTTAGGCTATATGGTGATGGCTCGGACGGCCCTGCTGGTCAGGGTGAAAGGTCGAGAGGCTTTGATCTGGACAGTAAGGTGCAGTTATTTGAGACTGTGATTCGAGGGCTGGGTATGTTTCCCTCTACTATATAGCGGCCAGTATTGGCTGCAAGTCTTGTACTATCTTATACTAACATTTATGCAGGTGGTTTGCTCAGCGCTCATCTTTTTGCCGTTGGCGAGCTGCCCATTACTGGATACGAACCCTCAGCACAGGAAGCCGCCTTCGCAAGCGCATGGGATAAAAGCGACTTTGGGAAGAAAGACCACGGCATTCGATGGGGAAATGGCTTTGTTTATGATGGTCAACTACTTCGGCTTGCTGTGGATTTGGCCCACCGTCTGCTCCCTGCGTTTTACACAGAGACCGGTCTCCCCTATCCCAGAGTCAATCTCCGACACGGAATACCGTTCTACGAAAATGCGCCTCTTAACTTGAATGGCCAGAGCAGCTCACGCAAACGAAAACCTAAGTATGCAGCAACGTCAGAGCCCGCTGAGACTTGTAGTGCTGGTGCGGGTAGTTTAGTCCTCGAACTTACCGTCCTGAGCCGCCTCACTGGTGATGGTCGGTACGAGGATCTGGGGAAAAGAGCATTCTGGGCGGTTTGGAGCCGCCGGAGTGATATTGGACTGCTTGGATTTGGCATTGATGTGGAGTCGGGAAAGTGGGTGGGACCATGGGCTGGTGTAAGGACTTCTATTCCTTCAAATGACAGACACGTACTGATTTTGGTAGATTGGTGCAGGTATTGACAGTTTCTATGAATATGCCGTCAAGGCTTATGTTCTCCTATCAGAGGGTCACCGTTTGCCATTCGATTCTGGAAGCCCCTGGGCAGCATTGGACTCATACTATGATCCTTTGACGGACTATCAACACACGGCGGAAGCCTTCCGGCAGGTATGGGAAGAATCCCACACATCGATCAACCGCCATTTGTTCCGAGGCGAAGGATATCAACATCCCCATCTTATTGTAGGGGATGTGATCACTGGTGCCACACGAGCTTTCTGGATTGATAGCCTGAGCGCTTTCTATCCAGGAGTTCTCGCTCTGGATGGAAAGTTGGATGAAGCAATTCAGATTCACCTCCTGACCACCGCGATCTGGACTCGCTACTCGGGTATTCCTGAGCGGTGGAACGTGGCCACGGGTGACATTGACAACGGCATGCCGTGGTATGGAGGTCGGCCAGAGTTCATCGAATCTAACTATTACATTTACCGGGCAACTCAAGATCCCTGGTATTTGCATGTTGGCGAGATGGTCCTCAGCGACCTTAAGCGGCGATGCTGGACCAAGTGTGGCTGGGCTGGCATCCGAAACGTTCTGACTGGTGAACTTATTGATCGAATGGAGAGTTTTTTCATTGGTGAAACCGCCAAGTACCTCTTCCTGCTGTTTGACCAGGACCATCCGTTGAACAGGATTGATGCACCCTGGGTCTTCAATACTGAAGGACATCCTCTCATCATTCCTAAAAAGAAGGCATCGCAACCTCGCCAAGCTTCGCCGCCACCAGCAGGACAGGAGCTCGCAGAGGGAACATGTCAAATCATCCCTTCTCCTTTCTTTGGTGTATCATCCACTGCATCCCGCTCGGATATCTTCCACGCTGCCACTTTGGCTCGCTTGGATCTGATGCCCAATCGTGGCGGCGCCCAGGGTCCTATCTTGGAAGACTCATCCGAGCATCAAAGTGTATTTACGTCCGATCTCTCCTCACCAACCAACTATACATTCTACCCATGGACACTTCCCCCTCAGCTGGTCCCCTTTGATGCCACTAGCGCCCCCATGGCCGTTCGACCCACACTCGACATCTCATTCCCATCGCTTCCAGGTGGCGTAAACCTAGGATCTGGAGCACTGGAACGTGTCCGCGACGGGGTTCTCGTCAAAACAATCGGAGGGCTGCGTCTGAGTATGGTTCAGGATGTACCGCTAGAAGACCCAACGCCCACTGGACAAGACGCGGACGGGTACCGGGTGCAGGTGATCAATAATGTGCCACTAGGCAAAGATGAGAAGGTATATCTATCTCGCCAGATCACCTTTGATGTCGTCGATCCCTATGATCCGAACTTCACCCGGGTCCGCGACAACGCCATGCTAGACCTTGTCATTGACGTTCTTCCAGAGCCCGCTCGCCGACGCAATGATTCGACTCATCCGCGAGATGAGTATTCTGCGTCAGAACATCCACAGCCGCCAGAGTCCCACCTCGGAGCCCACAGAGCCGCCTCTTCTGTCGACGATGGCGCCATCGTCGACTCCCCAGACTCAACTGTAAAGGCCATGCTATCATCTCTGGTGAACTCGGTTTCTTCGTTGCTTCGTGACGAGCCGACTGAGGCTGCACCGCTTCGATTGAGTCTTCCTGCTTCTATTGCTACGGGGGTTGGTTCAGGCCCGCTCCCGGACACTGAAGATGCCGTCGTCATGTCATTACTTGGCAACCCATCTACCAGCCGTCTAACATGGTCAAGTATATACTTTGTTGATGAAATCTGTGACGAAAAGGTTCTGCGTGAGGTCGTTCAGAACCACGAGGTACTTGTTATCAAGCGTGGCGGTTGCACTTTTTCAGAAAAGCTACGCAACATCGCCGCATACCGGCCAACACGGTCTGCACTGAAGCTCATTGTTGTTGTCTCATACGATGACATCCCACCAGAAAGCGAGGAGAAGAAAGGGTCAAAATATCAATCTGACTTCTCCATCGCCGCTGTTCGTGCCGAGTCAACTCTCATCCGCCCACACCTCGACGAGGCCCAATTGACAGCCAGCGGTATTCCACGCAACCACCTCATCAGCATGGTTATGGTGGGCGGTGGAGATGAAACCTACCAACTTCTTCGCCATGCAGGCGGTATCGGCGTCAAGAGACGATACACCATGCGTTCTCAGGGCGTCCCAATCACGAATTTATATATTGTTTGAATGTACACAAATATACCCTCTGAATAAAAGATGACACTCGAGTTATTGTGCATTTGCTTGGATGTACGTAGGCTAAAAATCCGATTTAGCCAAGCTCGAACTCAGAAGAATGCATCTACCTCAAAATCAACAAATTAACCACCAACTCTTCCCTTCCACCCAACAGTTCAAAGCCTCGACTTCTCCTCCATCTCAGCCTGAACCTTCCTCCAAGACTCAACCCCCCTCCTCGCAGCAGTTTCAACACTAACACTCCCATCCCTCAACCTCCGATCAAAAACCTCCATAGAAACCCACCCCTTGAACCCCATCTCAACAATCCAAGCCCTCGCAATCTCCCCAATAGGCAAATAACCCCCAAACTCGCTCTCAAACGGAAACGGGCGTGCGTGTCTCGACCAGGTAAACTCCTTCGCCTCACCAGGCACAGCCCACGGATGGGTAACAGAATAAGGCGGATCGAAGCGCTCACCATCAGAGAGCTGAACGTAGAATAGCTTCTCGAGGGGACAGTCCCGAACAAACCGACGCAATGAATCACGCAACCGTTCTTCCGCATACATCTGTTTTCCAGATGGAGAGGAAGGGTCACCCCATATCTTTGTTGCTTCATGGAAGGTATCCATGCACAGGCCGAAATTGGGTCTGTTGACGCTGTTTACTAGATCTAGTGCCGATTCCCAGGTTGAGTGGTTCGTTCCCCAGGAGAGGGCTTCGTAGGCGATTGATACTGTTGGTTTGGTGGCGCTAGCTAGGTCGGCTAGGGCTCGCATTTCTGTGGTTATTACTGCTGCGTCACGGCTGCAGTCGTTTGTGAAGATCGAGGGGACTTGGAGGTACGGTGCTTTGAGGAGCCGGGCGATTTCGAGCCAGTGCTTTGCGAGTTGGAGTCTCGTTTCCAGGGGGGAGTTGGCGCCTTCGAAGTTCTCGAATGGGGCGAGGGAGAGGGCCGTAATGTTGTTTTTGTTGCAGATTTGGTTGATCTTTTGGGCTGCTGTATGGATGGGGATGTTTTGGGATTTGCTGTATGTTTCTAGGTCTGAGTAGACGATCTCAATACCGGAGTAGCCATGTTGGGCTGCGGTGCGGATTTTCTCGTCTAGTAGATGGCCCGCGTAAAGGCTAAGGGAGACGCTGGCAATTGCTAGTTTATTGAGTGCCATTGTAGAGGTTGGAGATATCTTGGTAGGATACAAGTGTTGAGATTGAGTTGATATACTAAAATGAAGCGGAACTCGGTTTCCGAATAGTTCACAGCCCCGCAACTAAGTAGATCTCCAGTCTGTTCATATGCAATCTTCAATTGGCTGTAGGTCTCGGTGATCGATGACCGAATGTGTTCAAGCCTGGTGATCAGTGATCGTCATTGGAGAAGTATGAGTCCGGGGTTTCTTGGCTTCGGTTGTAACTATAGCCCTCTGGTATTCTTTCTTTTCTTCACTCCTTTTTTTAAATGTTCATTGGCAGAAAGTGGCACATTTGTAATTCGTTTCGTAGGACAGTTAGCAAGTATGATACTCTGATATCAATCTTCACAGTTGTTTTACAAGAAATGCCTCAGCAAGTCCCATTAGCAAAACTACTGCTTTTCGTTCTACAAGTTCAATAGCAAAGGGCATCCCATAGCCGATCCGGCCATTCAGCCTCTCCTAGGTCACGAGTAATTGTCACTACGAGTTTATCGGCTATTTTCACACATGTGACGCTGGCATTTGGAGAAGATGGGAGCCCCTGCCATGTTTTCCCAGGCCAGAATGAAAACTTCATCAAAATATTGCTTTTATCCATAGAAGGGGATCAGTGCCTAGGTACTCATCCTCCAGACTGACACTATACTTATTCCGCACGCGGAGGGACGAATTCTCAACAAAGAGTGTATTGACAATATCCAAGTTAGGCTCTTCTCGGGAATCAGGTAGGTACTCTTGAAGACTTGCTTTGTCATAAATTGTCTTAAGTCATCGTAGGGAGATGATCTGAAAGCCATAAAGCCGTATTCGTCTTCGTCCTCGGTGTTTTCGAGGCATTGGAGCTCTTCAATGTATTCTACAACTCATTTCGGTCACGAAAGCTGATACTGAGATGAGGGTCAATGTCGACAAGTCCTGCATATGGCATGCAGACTGTTCCATGTGGCATGCACCAGGGATGTGCGAACCAACTATAAAAGACCTGACGTCTGGTCTTCAGGGATGAGTGCAAATGGTCGTAGAGATCCTTGCAGGTCAGCGCGAGGCATATTTCATCAACTTTACTGGTGGGCTTGGTGATAATGTCCAATAATTCCCATGGGAATTTGGCAGCTGATTTAGATTTCATATAGAGAATAGGGGAAAGCTGAAGTTGGGAAATTGGAAACTTGGTTCTCATCTTTATAGTTGTGGTCACATCCAACGCTTAGTTTCATGATATTACTATGATATGAGTATTATGCATGTATATTTACTCTCAATTTGCTGCACCTCCAAGGAACATCGTGGGCCTTCATATCCCCGCAATTGGAGTCCAAATCACCTCATACTTCACCCACTTTGCCTATTTCTCCCCTCCAACCTTCCGAATGCCACCAAAATAACCAGAACATCATCCCCCAAATCCGAAACAATGCCCTCCAACTCATTCCAAACAAACCCACCCCCAACAGAAGCACACACATCAACAGCCCAAATCCCAACCCCAACCCTCCGCAAACAAATACACCAAAAACCAAAATACCTCTACTTCGCCTACGGCTCAAACCTCTCCCCAACACAGATGAGATCCCGCTGCCAGATAGACCCAGAAACGTCCTCAACCCCGCTAGCAATAGCAACTCTTCCACACTGGCGCTGGCTCATCTGTGAAGCAGGATACGCAAACGTCCTCCCACCACGTGGACTGCGCGTCCCGAGTCAGGATACCGATATCACGCATGGAATCCCTGTTTCGAGCAGTGAGGATTTGGTTTATGGGGTTCTTTACGCTATGGATATCGGGGATGAGGGGATTTTGGATATGTATGAGGGGGTTGATTCCTCTGCTGGGGATTCGGAGGGGGATTGGGTTGGGGTTGATGTGAGGCCGAGGGAGCAGGCAGATGGGTCTTATAATAAGTGGTTTGTTGAGGCGGAGGTTGTTAGGTGGTTAGATGGGGATGGGCATGGGCATGGGCATGGGCGTGGGACGGGAAAGGTGCCCGTTTTGGTATATGTGGATGAGAAGTGTGTTCGGGTTGCTAAGCCTAAGTTTGAATACATTGCTAGGATGAATAGGGCTATTCGGGAGTCGGTGGAGTTGGGAGTTCCACAGCGGTGGGTGGATGAGGTTATGAGGAAGTTCATTCCTAGAAGTGACAGTGGATTGGATATTTAAATATCAAGTGGATAGATGTTACATAGACCAGACATGATGTCTGTACACATATCAAGTTGCATTCATGCTATTCTATATGGTATCCGATATGCGGTGCTCCAACGTCGACCAGCGAAAGGAGGCTCCGAGCATCGCCTGATCTCCAGACTCGAATACCTGTGGTTGGTTGGCCCGTAGCGGGGGACGCGCCGTTCACCGCAAGATCGGGTGCGGTCGGGCTTTTGGAGGGGTCATTATTGTCGGCAATTGCGGTCGTCAAATAAAGATTTTGGAGGGTTGAGGGGGCGTTAAAGATTAAGCCTGGCCAGAGAGGAGAGTGTACACAGGCGCGGGGAGCTTGTCACGGCCGTGGAGGAACTCGAGCTCGAGGAGGAAGATGAAGCCGAGGAGGTCTCCTCCCATCTTCTTGATCAGCTCACCACCGGCGTAGGCGGAACCACCTGTGGATCCATTAGTATGCTGTACAATAGGTATAGCGCGTATCACGTACCGGTAGCGATAATGTCATCAATCACAAGAACCTTCTGGCCGGGCTTGATGGAGTCGGCCTGCATCTGGAAGAAATCCTGACCATACTCCTTCTCGTAGCCCTGGGTCTCGCAAGGACCGGGGAGCTTGCCCTGCTTGCGCACGGGGACGAAGCTGGCACCGAGGCGCAGCGCCAGGCTGGGGCCCATGAGGAAGCCGCGGGCCTCAAGACCGACGATGACATCGGGCTTCTGGTCGTAATTGGCGCGAATGTGAAGTTCCAGGGAGCGGATGAGGGCCTCGTGGAGAGAAGGATCGGCGAAGATAGGCAGGATATCCTCGAACAGAATGCCCGGAGAAGGGAAGTCCGGGAACTGGCGCAGGGCACCGCGCAGTCTTACCTTAAGACTGGCGAGTTCGGCGGCGCTGGAGGCATCGGAGGCGGGGAGTCCGACTTGGGAGGCATTAGGGAGAGTAGAGGACATGATGAAAGGAAGAGAAGAAGGGGGGAAGACGTGATTGGGGGGTAGAGGTAAAAAAGGGAAAAAAAAAATGGAGGGGAAAAATAGAATGGCAAAATGGGCAATTTGATAAGCAGATGCCCCTCTGATCTTCGGTCTAGACTACCTTAACTCTTGTGTTACTCTTTCTCTTTCTCTTTCTACTGTTAGCTGTCTATTTTATATTTATACTTTATCCTTGTATTCATATCCTCTCTTACCCCCTTTTACTCTCACTATATCCAGTTATACTGTTACTGTACGCCTTATCAACTCCCCGCTGCGGGCCTTGATCTGCGATGGCTCTCATGCACGCCTCGGCACTAGTGCTCAGTCCTCTCGAATCGTCAGGGCCAAACGAATCAGGGTGTGTTGTAACCTGATAATCCTTTCCTCCTCAGTGTTCCAGGTCTAGACATCTGGCTTCTTTGTGGCACCCAGGCATGCGTAAAATGACTCACAACCCCCAGTCAAGTGGCTTGTCTAGATCAGACGAATCTTCGCACATGTTGGATCAGACCATCTTGACCGTTTTGGATGTGCTGCAGCCTTCGCCAATATAGTTCAAGCCAATCGCATGGCCCGTGCTACTACGTGATCTGAAACTCGTCACAGTGGCTTTTACTAGAAAGAGGTGTGCGTACATGCATACCCGGATATCTGTTGTGCAGCAAATATCCGACGTAGCCACCCGACAGGGTCAGCTAAATAGAAGTGTTCTGTACCGTGGGTTCACATACAAATCGAAAAGTCAAATCCCTCGACCCTCCAAAATAAATTCGATGGGTACCAAAAAAAAATAAAAATAAAAAGAAACGCTCACTCGTGGACGGTGTTTAGGAATAGCCGAACGCGGGGGTCGAACCCGCAGCCTTAAGATTAAGAGTCTTACGCTCTACCGATTGAGCTAGCCCGGCCGGGCTGTTGATGGGGTCTTCAATTATGACTACATAAGCCAGCAATATCTTAACTTGCTTTTAGTCCTGGTCCCATGTCGAAGTCTACTCACCTTGTAACTTCCCTATCCTCCACTCTCCCTATTTCTACATGGTGGGTATAATACAACTGTGTCTGGGTATTTGATGTTTTCTTCATTTGGTTGGTTATATTTTCCGGCTCATTGATTTCTTTCTTTGCTGAAAAAGGTTGCAGTGCGTAAATCATACAAAGATATATATATCCTCGAGGTTAATGAGATTTGCAAACATTTGACACACGCACTCGCTTATACCTATGCTTGCACCTTCACCATATTGTAATGGATGTCTCAATATTGTTACTGTCTTCATAGATAATTAGATGTAGATCCTATGTAACTTACCATGGGCATGTACATGTACAGTATCTCACCCGTAGTACCGTTCCCAGAACAGGCTAGCCCCTCACATGACCCAAACGCACAGGCCATCTCGCTTCACGTTTTTCCGGAGTCAGCCCATCCGCTATAAAGCTGCTTCTTTTCCTTTTTCCATCTCTCATGCTTTTGAAGTCGGCGCTGCATCTAGCAAGCCACTTCCTCAGATGAATTTCTTCTGATTGTAATATCTTCAGCATGTCACCTGCTGCACTTGCCGAGATGCAGCCGGATCTGCAATATGATCAGCTCCAGGCCGTTGGCAAGGCCTTCGATGCCCTACTGCTAACTGTTTTTCGACTTACCCACAGACAAAATGAACTGTTCCAGCACATGGACAATGTCTTCAAGGAGGTAAATACACGCTTTTCCCCTCTTATTCTCCCTGCGTTTGCTTTGTCTCAAGTGATGAGAAATTTTGATTAGCTCTAGATCAGTAGTCACAATATTGTGGCGGTGACGGATTAACATGTATTATCTGATGAGACTTTTATTGCTTTGCTTGTTTTCATGTGGTTCGAGACCATCGCTAACTCGCAAATAGTACTCCGATGTGATAGAAACACTGCCGCCTCAAGATAGACCTCGTGCACTGGACGTTCATACCAAACTGCTCGCGCAGCAAGAAGAATACCGTCAGGGCCTCGTACACAGCAAGCTTCAGGTGGAGGAACAGCCGTTGAATTTCAAGGATGTAATCAAGACCCTCGTTGCACACCAAAATGTAGACGAAAATACCACTGCGGCCATCAAGGACGGGGTCAAAGGCTGCAAGTCTCTGCTCCGTTCTCAGGATGGCGTCTCCCAAATATCCAATTCCTGCATCCTCGCGCGAGTTCCCTCCCCACCACCCGCGCTGGAGAAGGACTTCACCACCAATGGTACCCAGGGGGATCTGCATTGCCCATTCTCAAAACCGACTAAGATGCAGAATGGAAGTGAAGTCCCTAGCGGGAGAAACTCTGCACCAAAGATCCAGATCGACTCCACCTGCGGGCATGAGCATCTCGATCCTATCAAAGCCGAGCTGGAGGAACGACGCTCCAGTCATACTCCATCCGCTCCATCATCAAAAGGAGCATGCCCTGTCTCTCGATGCCCGATCCGATTCCTAGACCAACACTCACCAGAAGAAATCGCTGAATATGTTGAACGACACAAACATGAAATTCCTCGGAGTCATGCAATCTGCGTCAACCGATACCAACGCAATCCACAGGACATGCGACACCTGGACGCTAAATACGGTGGGCTCACCAGCATGATCGCTGGCCTGGGAGTCAAACACCAGGCCTTCTTACCGGAACGCCAGGACGGCGAGGGCAAGTCCGCAACCTCGGCGTCGACCCAGCGTGTCGAGAAATGGGCCGAGAACGTGGACCCAGAGGCGCCTGGAGCTCCAAACAACGAGGATGATAATCGCCAGAGTCACTTTGACCGTCCACTCCGCGAAGTCCGCGTGGGGGAATCCCCGAGCAGGCCTTGGGGTATCTCAGTGCCCGTCACACATCTCCCTCCAGCCTCAGTGCCGACCTCCGTTCCGCCGCCTGTCCCCACCCCAGCCGACCGATCCAATATTTCATCCGAGAAGCCTGCGGACGACGCTGATGCCGGCGTTGATGCCCCTGCCGAACCTGCCGGCCGTTGTCCTTTCGGCCATGGCGCCCCGAAGCCAGCCGCTGAAGTCCCCAAGCCTGAGACCGAAGAACCCTGGAAAGCCCGGGCAAAGGAATGGCCAAAGGATAAGAAAGGCCTGGCTACAGAAGAGATACCTGCGCCTCCTATTCCTGCTGCTGCGAGTGAAGACTCGACTACCCAACCCGGTATTCCTTCAACCACCTCCAATCCCTCCCACATCACCTTCAATGGCCCCGTTTTCTTCGGGTACTCCGCCGAGCAGACAGCCAGCCTAATGCAGCAGCTTGGCAGCCTGGCAAAACCATGACCCGAAGAATTGTACAGTATGTTCCTAGAAGGCGCAGGGCAAGTAATGCGAACACGACGATACGACTTAATATTCTAGCATTGTATTAGCCGAATTGATTGTTATCCTAGTAATTATCCAATCCAAATATATCTATGGTATAGGTAAAGAGATAATAAGCAAGATGACTTCATCGGGGAGCTTCGATGCTCTCCGAGGGAAACTCTCAGAGCGGGGCACTTACCATCTTCCCTACTTCTTCCTCATGCTGCGCCCAACTTCTCGTCTCTTGTCTCTTTCTCAAACTATCACTCCTCGACCTTCTATCCTTTCCAGACCTCAATTCCTCCCTCGCACCATGTCTATGTCTACCATCTCCGCTAAGGACGCCTGCCCTCGTAAGTCCCACCTTCATCTATCTTCGGAGCGGATAGAACACTCAATTCCAGCCCCCCTGGAATACAATCACCTTGAATCAACTCACTAACATATACATTCAACAGCTGCTGGCCCCTACGTACGTTTTCCCTCATCCCAGGTGTTCACCTATCTACCTTGCGAGCTACCCCTCTATAACTTACCCGAAATCAAACAATCGAACCCAACCACTCGAAAACAACAACATCTATACATACCCCCAAGCACATAGATCCTAACACACCTTTTACAGTCCCAGGCCATCCGTGCCAACGGCCAGATCTTTGTCTCCGGCCAGATCCCCGCCGACGCCTCCGCCAACCTGGTCGAGGGTAACATCGGCCAGAAGACCCAGGTCTGCTGCGACAACATCAAGGCTATCCTGACCGCTGCCGGCTCCGACGTCTCCAAGATCGTTAAGGTTAACGTGGGTTTTCCCCTACTCCCGCGGAGACACCTCGGTTTATTTTCCAAAGAACCTTGCTAATCGAAATGAATATATAGGTCTTCTTGACTGATATGGCCAACTTCGCCGAAATGAACGCCACCTACGAGAAATTCTTCGTTCACAAGCCTGCCCGTAGCTGTGTTGCTGTTCACCAGCTGCCGAAGGGTGTCCCCGTTGAGATTGAGTGCATTGCTCTGGAGTAAATTTGAGGGTTTGTTCTTTGGAATGAATACTTTTCACCAGATACAATGGAAACTTCAGATCAAAATGAATTCATTGTAGATGTAAATATAGATATAAACGTGGAATAAAAGGGTGAATCCAATTGAATTACGTTTACCTGTGGAATTGCCTCGACCTGGTATCTGGTATCTGGTACTGGTCCATCGTGATTATTTCCATTTCCATTCCATCTGAAGTAATATGAGCGGGCACAAGTAGACGCCAATGGGAATCATAAGGTCAAGGGTTCATGCGTAATGAGACAGAATGCAGAAAACACGAAGAGGCAGAAAATGGGAAGCATTGCTGGCTGATGCATAAAGCAATAACGAACATACAAGACAGGAGCCAATTCCATGTTCACCTTGCCCGGGGCATTATGCCACTCATGCGACTCCCAGCACCAGCCATTAGACTCTGCTTCACGATGGCATCGGCAGCTGCAGCTGCAGCTAGTCTTTCCTTCTGACGGCTACGGTCACGCAGGTAGCCTGCGGCTTCAGGGCGCATACGGAGAATACGCAGGATCATGTCGTCGTTTGGATCGGCCTGCGCTTCTTTGCGCTTCTCTTCTTTGGCTTTCTTCATGGTTCCTAGGTTGCGGGAGAGCATGATACTCTTCGCACGACGAGCAGCGGGAAGTCCTAAGCCGCCATGGCCAGCGCCTGTGGCGCCGAGGTGTGCAGGTGCGGAGGTTCGGTTGCGGTTCGCTTGTTGGCGGTTGACTGTTGCCGAGGCCATGCGCTCAGAGGTGCGGATGAGGTTCTCTGTTGGTTCGAAGTAAAAGAAGTTCAGACTTTGGATTTCGTGATACTTGGGCGATTTCAAGATGTCGATTGGAACACCGCCTGCCTCGCCTGTTTCTTCGTCGATGGCATGGAAGAAGTTCAACAGCAGCACGAGCCAGCGTGATACGATGTCGACCTCTTGGATGGTTAGGGGTTTCTGGTGGGATGGCTTGTCGGATAGAGGTGGCACTAGCAGACTCTCGATGGTTGCCAGCACTTCCTTCCACAAGCGGGCCATCACCATCTTCATGGCTTCGGGTGTGAGTGTCTTGTTCATGATGGCGAAGTTGTCATTGAAGTAGTTGAAAAGAGGAGTCAAGGCGTTCTCGACGTCGGCTGGCGTTGGGCCGGAAGCAGCTGGTTGTGCTCGGTTGCGGTTCAGGAAGCTCGACACACTGGAGATGCTAATACCACGAGAGAGCAGAGATTTCAAAGTCCGACGGGAGAGACAGTGGCTGATATATGCAGAAAGCTTCTCTGTGATCTTCCGAGTCATGTCCCTTTCGGTACGTTTTAGTGTACGGAAAGCCTTGCCAAAGTAGAACTGGATATCGTCGCGCTCGCCTTCCATACTGACTCGGAGCAAAAGCCGACCCTGAGTATCAAGATCGAGCCAATACTCTCTTGGCAAGAAGTCACTGAAGTGCACTGGATCCAGCTTGATTGACGTGCGGCCGACATAGTCGTGGTCGCCCACTGCATCCCAGTCCCAGATAGTAGCAATCATGTTAAGAGGACCTTGAGTTGTCAGATCAACAGTGTCCTCCCAGCGGGGATTAAGATTATTGTAAATGGTGCGGGTCTTTGCAATCCGTTTCTGATATTCGTCCGTCAAGACGACATAGGGGTCACTGCCACCACCGATATCGCACGCCTTCAGATCTTCTGCTTCCACAACCTTGATTGTGAAGACATAAGTGGTAGATTTGCGGACCTTTTTGAGCTGCGGAGGGGTGTTTCTCGCGATGACCTCGGCGCACCCATCGACATTGATGTCGTTCTCGAGCTTGTCAAGTTGGGCGAGTGCATACTCGATGTTGTTCAGTTTCACCAGGGACTATAGAAAAGGTTAGGCGCCATATTCACGAAGCTGAAAGTGCACACGTACTTCCGAGTAAAATTGGAATGGTTCGATCTTATCCTTGTTTGTCCATGTGTCCTTGGCAAATTGCATCAGCTTCTCCTGTGTGGTTTGGTTCAATGCGGCCTCTTGTTCAGGCGTGAGACGATCCAACTCCCGCGCAAACATCTTCTCCAAGGAGTCACAATATGTCGCCACACCCTTGCCAATTGAGTTGGAAAGATGCGTCATGAATTTCGCATATTGAAGGTCGTCATCCCATTCCAGCTGCACAAGGTTCTCAACCACTTGGTTGAAAGAGCGAAAGATATCAATCACTGACACACTGTGTCGATCATCTTCAGGTGCGAGATCGGTCACTCCTTCGGCACGAACAGTGAATGCGTCTTGTCTCGTAGCTTGACTGACCCAATCCATGATCTTTTGGTCTGTGAGACGAAGCCATCTCCAGACAAATTCCTGAAGAAGGGTCTCCACATGGAATGGGAAAGTTGCGCTGAATTGGGTCAGCTACAAATACTCGTAAAGTAGAAAAGGCCGGTCTTACTCGGGATGGGTTTGTGTGAACAAGTGTCTGACAGCAGCAAGTCCCTTGTATAAGTCGAAACCATCTTCGATGGCGATCTCCTCGCCCCTATCTTTGGCTTGTTCGAGAATCCTGATGACCATTTCATGAGCATCCTCGGCAAACATTGGTAATACATTGAAGCATAGAGTGGTATAAGGATTAACCCTGTTGTTGGTTAGCGATGGGTCAATTAGACAAGATGTGAGACGTACCCCATAATCTCTGGATTATTGCGGTAGCGTTTCTGGATTTTGGTTGCAAGCTTTGTGATTGCATCTCCAAGTTCGATGACATGCTGGGGGTCCCAAGCCTCTTGCTCCACTGGAATGAGTTGGCTAAGGAGGCTCTGGTATTTCGCTGTGGCCTTCTGGGCCAGCCCATCTTGCACATACGAACAGAATCGATCGATGTCCTCCGGGTCCTCGATGTAATTTGGATCCGTTTGGATGTGTGTTTCGAGAAGGTACATCACTGGACCGATTGGGCGTGGCTTTGCCTCAAAACAGTTCATCATGACCTCGTAAAGCTCTCTCAACAAGGCCTCATGGAGCTTGGACAGAAGTACTTGCATCATATGAAGGTCGTGAACAGTCCATCGTCGCCGGTCGAAGATCGCGGAAGCCACAAAACTACTGCGTTTGCGGTTCTCTCCTGCAGGCATTTCCTTCACAAACGTAAATGCCGAGTCAAGAGTATCGAGATCGATTTCATTATCGACAAATTTAGCCTGAGCCACATCAAGGAATAACACGACCCGGGAGAAGTTGGGAATCCGCCAGCGGAGACATAATTCATTAAGCATCTCCGTAGACTGCTTTGAAAACAATTTCATTGAAGGCACATCAGATGTGGCTTGGGAAGCTTCGAGTTCCCGGTCTCGTAGATCGTGACTCAAAGTCTGGGCTAAAATGTATCTGTACACAGCCCTAGGGTCGGATGGGATGAATACGTAAGTATCAGATTCATCTGTGTCGTCCAAAGATAGTCCACTGAGATCAAGGGGTTGATCGATGACATAGGATGTCCTGTCAGTCCGGCCAGAGGACGTTCTGGACAAATCAGGATGTTCGCTGGAATTAGGGTTGAATTGAGGAAGAGATCCAGGAGTGCTTTTGGCCAACTCTGGGTTGGATTGCACAATTGCAAGCATCATCTGTGAGAGATCAGGGCCTTCACTTTTCTTCCAATTTTCGTAACCCTCGTCTGTCTCAAAATCATCTCTTGATAGTGTTTTGTGGGTTTGAAGATTCAGGTGTGCCTGATAGGTCTTAAGGTCCTGTAGAGCGGCCTTTTCAGTCCAAATGGACTTGTGTTTATCGATCTCAGACTGCGCTTGGGCTGTTGTCATCCCAAAGATCTTGGTAACATGCTGCACCAGGGGCATGTCTTTCACATTATAACTTAATGAACCAGGGGCTTCTGTCGCTGACGCAGGCCCATTTCCATCCATGAGATCCTGATCTTGCAAAAGAAGCTTGTTCTCGAGTACCGATAAGCGATTTGCCAGCTCTGGACGGTCCTTGGACCAGTCGTGATCTTTCAATATGAGCCCGAAGAGCCGGACGAAAAGAGCAACGTGCCGATCCACCATCAGTTTCCAGCTGTCATCGTCGTGATCCTTGCCCTTGCCCAACTCCTTGATCGCATTGGAGTAGAAGATAAGGACCAGATCTTCAGCTCGCCGGTCCTTCTCCATGCGCTTTCGGAACGAGTCTTCTTTCAAGGTGTTGAGAAAAGCGGCGAAAGTGCGTACGACCAGGTGATCTTGGTATTCCTTCCGTTTCTCCTTTCCCATCAACACGCCCGTTAAGCGCTTCTCCAGCTCGGACACGAACCCATGGGGAATCCTTGTGCTCTTGGAGTCCCTGACCAGCGAGAAGTCACTCATCAAATCATGAATTGAGGTCGACGATCGCTTTGGCCGCGCCGGCGCGGCTGGGGCATTTTGGATGCGACGGGAGCGAGGGTGGAGGAGGTAGGCAAGATAGGCGACTCGAACGGCATGGCTGTATGCCACGTTGGCATTCAAAGGGCGTCGCCGCGACAAAGAGGAGTTGCGCGAATGGCGACCCTCATTTTGGAGGCTGTTAATCCGTCGGTTGACTCCTCGGGATTGGCTAGATGCTGTCGACATGGGGTGGTGCTCAACTAAATTCGTGCAACGTTGCAAGGTAAAAGACACTGGAATGCGGGACCATGGAGTGGAAGACCACACCGGGAGATAGAGGCTTTTCAGGACACTTTTCTCAAAGAACCCGAGGTGAAAAGCTGTCGCAAAACCAGAGGGGATAATTGTTTGAAGGGGAGAGAGGGGCGGAGGTGAAACAAAAAGCTCCCGAACCAACTGACGTAGGCGCCCAAAACAATACTATCTACCTGATAACTGTTGGTGTTTACTTCCCCTATAGTTCAAAGGGGATGTCCTTGTTCTCCTTCGACTACACAGGGATCGTCAATTTAAAGCAAGGGTGTAAGGTTATTCGACATATACCATTACCATCCCCAGTATGCCATGCCGTTGCGCAAAGGAGTGATACTGCGACAGGTGTGCCTCTTTGTCTCTTTGACCCTCTACAGACACCAGTCTCTCCAGATGCGTGCCTACAAAGATCAAAGTAGTTTTATCCAAATTCATTCCGAACATGCAATCGGGCTTTTCGGGGTTTGAAACATGGGACTGTCGGCCAACCGACCATCAGTCCCTCAAGTGACGCCGAATATAAAAAATCGTACTGGTATTTACACAAAAATAAAAAGAGACCAGATGCCAATCACCACTTGTCTTCACCGGACTTGCGAGCCTAGATAGAAGTATTAGCTCGTCTGCTCAAAAGGGTTCCACAGAGGGGATATGTATGGTCACGTACAGGCAGAGCCTTGGGCCCTCCCAGCTCCTTCTCCAGACCATCGGCATAGGTCTTGGGGGCACTGGGCTTGTCGGGGTAATACATGCTGACAACACCGCACACGCTAAGGAACGCGACAACGAAGCATCCGAGGTGGAAGAAGCCCTTGCCGGCGGAGACGTGGGTGTATTGCTCGGGACTGAACACACCGAGGATTTCGTTGTCCTCATGCACAGGTTCACCGAAGTTGCGCTTCTCCTGGGCGTCCCACCAGCCACCGTAGGGATCTCTGAAGGCCCGCTTCACACGGGGAGGGTTAGGGTAGTTGTTGTTCTGTCTCGGTGTTAGATGCCGTCGCTACCAGGCGGGGAAGACCGTATAGGCCCATATAAGGTATATACCTGGAAAGGGTCCTCGACTTCAGCAGCACGGAGGGCTGGGACCTGGGAGAAGGCTGCGCGGGGAGCAATGGCGCGGGCGGCAACCTGGGGGAGGCGCCGGGCTAGGATCCGTTGAGACAGCATCTGAGAGGAATTGAACGTCAGAGAAGGTACGGGGAAGGATAAAAGACGGCGTATGAGCTAGACAAAGAACTCACTGCTATGCTGAAAGACCGGAAGCAAATGAGTGTCAGAGGGAGGCAAGAGAGCCAATTGAGTAGAGGGGGTTGAATATCGATGATGAACGGATGGAGGTTTGCGGAATGTGGCCTGAGGCCACCAGTCACAGGACTCAGGCCGACAGGCAGCCACGCGCGGCGCGACCAGGTAATCGCTCCAACGAAAAAACCACTCTCCACGTATTCCCATTCATCTTCCATCCTTTTCCGTCCCCATCAATGCTACGGTGCCGATAAGCATGCCAAACTTCGTGTGGCATATATACTCGATCATACCTACTCGCTAATGCCAAAATATTTCACTCTGACCGCGCCATTATTGGGATAACTGGGGTCACCTGCCACAAACGGCCCCTGTCGTCTGCGACTATAAGTCATGCAAAACGGCAGCCCCGACGACCCATCAACTCAAGATGAACGCGTAACTCCTGTGCCTGATCTCATACCTCTCAACGGGTCTGAAATCGAAAATACAACGGTTTCTGCCCCCCACGAATCGATCCCTTCCGAGCCGAAAGATGTCGAAGCTGTCCCGCAACCCGAAGAGCCCCCATCCAAGAAACGCAGGCTTACAGATTCTACCTCATCGCCACGTTCAACCCCACGGCCACCATCTCCGCCCTGGAAGAAAGCTGGTTTCGATGGCCCGACGTCGTTCTTGCTTGAAGGGAAGCGCAGGTCTTCGCGGACCAACGCGGTACCTGTCGAACCCCAACCTCCATCAGATAAGAGACACACGCGGGGATCGCAGAAGCAGCATGGCAGGTCCGCTCGCGATAGCACAAAACCGGTCACTTCCTCGCCATTATCCGTGACGCAGTCACGCGCCGAACTCAATGGAAAGCTAGGTGGCAAGCCGACTGCCAATGTATCGCCCAGAACCCCATCGTCGCGCACGGTGGCTACCAAGCCCCAACGAGTCTCACAGACGTCGGCTTCTAAAGCAAGTCATTCGCGCACACGATCTCGAAGTTCCGCTACACTTCCTCGTCCCTCCGGTGTCAACGTGAACGGGACCAGTTCCCGTTCACTCCGCGATCGACATTCACTTTCCAACTTAGCGCAAAAGGTCAATGGAGGCCCAGATGATGTTAAGGTGGATGGCGGTGAGCAAGACCAGAGCTCACAAAAAGTTCCACGATTACGGCTTAAGGTTGGCAAGCCTGTCCTTCCGATTCGACATCCCGGCCATATTCCACAGAAAAAATACGCATCATTCCGGGAATGGATAGACCAAGAAGACCGCTCGAACACACTGTCAAATGATGAGGCCATAATAGAAGCGCACAAGCGGCGTGAGGTCATGGATGCTGCGGAGTCTGGTGGACCGCTAAGCTCTGAAGTTTGCTCGGCATACCTCACTGAGCAGCAGGAGGAGCCCCCACCACAGTACTCACATCAGGATCATTTGGTTTCCCATGCGCTTTATTTCCAGAAGCTCCTCGACAAGGAACACAAACGTCACCGACAGACCGCCAAACTCTTCGCGCAATGGTGTGCAGATGCCTATCGGAAACGCCATAAAAACCCTGAGGATATTCTCCGCGAACAACAAGAGGAAATGCGCGGGAAACGCAAGCAGCTAGCCAAGGATCTCCAGAAGATGTTCGACTTAACCCGTGCCGAAATTGACCGGGTCCGTTTAGCACGCTGGGAAGAAGAGCGCAAAGTACAAGACCAGCAAGCTCTTGATCGTGCGATCCAAAAGTCCACAGCGCTGTTTGAGAAACGGCGAGCCGAGATTCTAGGCGAAGCTCCTAGTGATGCCCCCGCGACGAGTGATGAGGACCTCGAGTCTGGCTCCGAATCTGGCTCAGGTGAAGACGATGAGAGCAACATGTCGGGTTCTGAATCCGCAACCGATGACGAAGCAAATGTAGATGACGATGCTGCATTAACGGCTGAAGAACTCCGATTGAAATACGCCAACCTACCTGATGATCAGACCGACCGAATGTCCATAGTCTCTGGAACTACTGCGATGACAAACCCCAACGAATCCATGGACCCTGAAGCTGCCCTAGAAGATGTCGATTCACAAGTTACTCCCGGAGATACCAATCTTGATGACGTGGACTCGGTGCTCATGGACGACAGCGATGCCTCCACCGATATGGATGACGATATGGGTGATAGTGACGAGAAAGAAGATGACTCGGGTGAAGAGGATGATTCAGACGAAGATGGCGATGACAGATTTGGTCTGATGGGCTTCTTTTCCAAGAAGGAGATCTCTGCGCCGAAGGATGGTGAGGGAGAAGCTGAAGATGCGGATCCTGAGCCAGTTGATGTCTCGGACGACGAGCAATCAGATGAAGATGAAGATGATAGATCTGGTTTGCTTGGTTTCTTTTCCAAGAAAGACATATCCGCAATCAAGTATGACCAGGACGTCAAGGAAGCAGGCACAGACCTTGAGCAAGACGACGAGGAGCTCGACTTCGAGGATCAGGATGAAGTCTCTCTTGTTCCAAACGGGCCAACAGCCAGTGAAGGCAACTCGCCAGAAGGAACGCCCTCATATATTGTCAATGCCTCCGAAGCTTCTCCTGCTACTGGTGGAGAAACACCTGCCATGGATACCCCGATGGAAGACGGACCCACTGATACAGAAGTCGAAGAAGCCACCCCTGTTGGTGCCACAGATGACACTGATCAAGACCAGCCTATGGAGGTAGATACCGTCTATAACGGTCAACCCAGCGGCGAACTGTCCAGCGAGGCTTCGCCGGGAACATTTGCAACCAAGCCATCTGAACCCGAGTCCGTGTCTTCGGTAGAGCCTGCCATGGAGAAGGCATTGCAAACAGCCCACTCACCTGCTCCTGGTATGCAAACGCCTATTCCATCACTCCTCCGCGGCACGCTACGTGAATACCAGCACTACGGTTTGGACTGGCTTGCAGGCCTCTACAACAACCACATCAACGGTATTCTAGCAGACGAAATGGGTCTGGGTAAAACGATTCAAACAATTGCCCTGCTCGCCCACCTTGCCGTGGACCATGGTGTCTGGGGCCCACATCTGGTAGTTGTTCCCACCAGCGTGATGCTCAACTGGGAAATGGAGTTCAAGAAATGGTGTCCAGGTTTCAAGATCATGACATACTACGGTAACCAAGAAGAGCGCAAGCAGAAGCGCCGCGGCTGGACAGACGATAACGCCTGGAACGTGTTGATTACATCATATCAACTCGTCTTGCAAGACCAGCAGTCTCTCAAGCGAAGGAACTGGCACTACATGATTCTTGATGAAGCGCACAACATCAAGAACTTCCGATCGCAGAGATGGCAGGCCCTTCTCACGTTCAAGTCTCGCGCCAGGCTTCTCCTAACTGGTACGCCGCTACAGAATAATCTAACTGAGCTGTGGTCCCTACTATTTTTCTTGATGCCCTCAGACGGTTCAAGTGGTGGCGTTGAAGGGTTTGCAGACCTTAAGGATTTCTCTGAATGGTTCCGCCGTCCAGTAGAACAAATTTTGGAGCATGGTAGGGATACCATGGACGAAGAAGCCAAGGGTGTGATCACCAAACTTCACACCGTTCTTCGTCCGTATATCCTGCGTCGACTCAAGGCCGATGTCGAGAAACAAATGCCCGGCAAGTATGAGCATGTAGTCTACTGCCGGCTCTCCAAGCGTCAGCGCTATCTCTACGATGGCTTCATGTCGATGGCGCAGACCAAGGAGACGCTCGCATCCGGAAATTTCCTCTCCATCATCCACTGTCTCATGCAGCTCCGTAAAGTCTGCAATCACCCGGATCTCTTCGAAACTCGCCCCATCTCCACCTCCTTTGCCATGCCGCGATCTGTGGTAACAGATTTCAATGTCAAGGAATCTCTTGTTCGGCGAAGGCTCCTTTTTGAACACCCTCTCACCAAGATTGACTTGGATTTCCTCAACCTCGCCCCCGTGTCTCGCGAAGATATCTCGCGACGGTTGGCCGACGACAGTATCAGGCTCATGGCTATTGGTCCTTTCAAAACTCTTCGAGAACGCCAATACAATCGAACCAATTGGGAAATGGGCTTCGATGGCTCCAACATGCAAACCATTTTGGAATCTCTCGAGAACGCGTGCCGCAAGAGGCGAATGGCCGAGTTAGAGCGATGTCTCTACTTTGAAACCAAGCGCCACGGCCGTCGTCCTATCTATGGTAGCAGCCTCATTGAGTTCCTCAGGGCTGGCACCATGGAACATGCTCTGTCCAATGCACCATTACGGAAACGCTCGATGGCCGACTGGCTGTCGAGCCGATCCTCGGTGCTCGCCTCGATGATACTGACTGTCGAAGAGCGAGCTCTGGAAATGGATGGCTATGTTCAGAGATTCGCCTGTGTCACCCCTGCTGCCGTCGCTGCTGGCATGAACGAAGCCGCCTTGACTCCTGTTGAGACGCGGCTTTTGACGAATACCCGCAAAGACCAGCCCTACGATCCGTTCCATGAAGCACGGATGCGCCTCTCTATTGCGTTCCCAGATAAGAGACTTCTCCAATATGATTGTGGCAAGCTGCAGCGCCTAGACAAGTTGTTGCGCGACCTCAAAGCCGGGGGCCATCGAGCCTTGATCTTCACCCAGATGACCAAGATGCTCGATATTCTGGAACAGTTCCTCAACATCCATGGCCATCGCTACCTCCGGCTCGACGGAACTACAAAGGTCGAATCGCGACAGATGCTCACGGAACGATTCAATAGCGATCCTCGTATCCTGGCTTTCATTCTGTCGAGTCGATCCGGTGGTCTTGGTATCAACCTGACGGGCGCTGACACGGTTATCTTCTACGATCTAGACTGGAACCCGGCCATGGACAAGCAATGTCAAGACCGTTGCCACCGTATCGGTCAAACTCGGGACGTCCACATCTACCGCTTCGTGTCTGAGTACACTATTGAATCCAACATCCTCCGGAAAGCCAACCAGAAGCGTATGCTGGATGACGTGATCATCCAAGAAGGCGAATTCACGACGGACTACTTCACCAAACTGGATACCCAGGGTCTGGCCGAGAGCGACGAGCGCGACGGCCAGGACGAGGCCAGTGCCGCCATGGACCGTGTCTTGGGCAATCGCGTCGCGGGCACTCGCGTCTTCGAGCACGCAGAGGACAAGGAGGATCTAGATGCGGCCAAGAACGCGCAGAAAGAACAGGAGCATGCAGACGACGGCGACTTCGAGGAGCCCAGTGCTTCACATGGGACGCCTGCGCTGGTCGGCACGCCCCTGGACGATGGCTCTGGAACCCCTACACAGTCCGTACCCACCGAGGACCCAGACTTAGAGGTGCAGCCTGGTCACATCGATGACTATTTGTTACGCTTCATGGAGTGGAACATGAAGGATGAGCCCCTGGTTCTGCCTCCAGATAAGAGCAAGAAGAAATCCAAAAAGGGCAAGGAGCATCATCTCAAGAGGCGACGCTAGGAAGTCGTCGCGAGAGCGCATTTCTCGCACCAATGGCTTATTGTTTTCTCCACCTCAACCGTTTCACAATTCAATAGCTCGGAGCGCCCTGCCTGTTTGGCGATAGTTGCCTCCTCCCCGGTTGGAGGCAAACTTTGTGTATTAGTCTGTATAATGGCGTGGTTTTCTTTCTGAGCTTGTCTTTACTATTATTTTACTACTTACTATTGTCTCTTCTATTTGACCATCTCTATATCTCCTGGCTTTCCCTTTCTTGTTACGGTTAATCTGCGGTTAACCTACAGTAGACCTCCTTAACTACTAGTTAATTGCACAGTGGAGAAGAACTAGAAATAGACTTTATAGTGCGTCCGAAATAGCATCCGAAGTCGGAACCATCTAAATAAACCCGGAGCTGCTACCCAACTCGTTAAGTGGATCGGGGCACATCTGCAACCCAGTGCCTTGGGTCTCGTTGGGGTAGATCATGTTGCAACCGCCGGAAATATAGACCCTGGGCTTGGACCTGCAAGACTATAACGTTTAGCCCTGGAGTTTATTGTGGACGGCGTGGATCGCGGGGGAATTGCCTACTGTGCACTCCAGGTAGTTGGCCAGGCATATATTAAATAGATTGGTATGAGATCATGGCTGTTCCAGTATAACTGCTAGTGCAACTTTTAGTGTTGGTGAGTTCTTGGTACCGAGTTTATCGAGAGGAAAAAGTTGGACAGAGTTAGATGCAGGTACGTTTGGCGCACCGCAATTGGAGTCCAGTCGAAGCCATGTATGTCGTGTATCAGATAGAATGGTTCCAGTCGAACAGACAACGCAACGTGACGGAGAAGATGACGGCAGATCTGCTCGGGAGGCTTTCTCCCCTATTCTTCTGCCTGTACTCCAATGGAGAGCGGTGGGCCCGGTCGATCTTCCCCAAAGGCCAATTCCCACTGCCTCGGCAGGTTCTCTCCGAGCAGCCATTGAGCGGTAATATGAAGTGGGAAGAGTGGATATGGTACACTTGGACCTCGGATACGATGATTATACGAGCGGTGCGAAAGCATATGATTGTGACTTTAGGATTAGCGGAAATAATACCCAGGTGTGGTTCGTCGTTTCTTTTTGCATGATGGGGTCATGTTGGAGAAGATTCAAGACAATCGTTGCCCGAGCATTCCACGGGGCGAAAGATGTTTGGCTCTTGGAGATTAATCCCCACATGATCGCCACCAGTCGCCACCAAAACTGGGATAGTGTAGGGCTCTCGCAACGAGGATACTCAATTGAGTGAAAGACCCGCGATCCAAGCTTCGAAGCTTTTTCTCGGGCAACCTCCATGTGTTGCAGTAGACCCACGGTGATCTGGAGATCCCTCCAGCCCATTAATATCCCGGCGTGAACCCGGCTTGTGGCAGCCAGGGATTAGCGCGGACCGCTGGTGGCGCTGATTGACCAGGTCAAGCCCGTCAAATATAGTAGATAAAAACAATATTTGAGCATGGCCCTGTGAGAAAGGCGTGAAACGAAAGAGGAAAGTGCGGAATATGCGGAAATAAAATGCTAACAATAATAATACACTCGGAGTTTTTGCTTTTTTTCTCTGCTTTCTTTTTGCTTTTTCTCGACAAGTCCAGAACTGCTCCTGACATGCGTTAGTATTTGATTTTCTTTGTATGTCCCAAAGTGGATATGGTAGGATAGTTGCCTTGGAGTAACTCCGTAGTTTGATTGGAGATCCGCGCGGATGGAAAGCCCGGCGCGGGCCCTGTTACTATCCTTGTCCATCTGAGACGGTCTCTAACAAAGAGAGGCATTAGGTTTGGTCCATGGAGACCAATGCAAGGCGGCATTTCTCCAGATCCTCTGTCCCGACGTTGGAGCTTTAATCCATGGATTCGTGATCAGTTGAAGATATTGAACCACACTTCAACACCCGAAGGGTCGGTGAAGAATGTGACATATGCACGGAGAACAGTGATTGGCAGCGGGGAAGCAGATGCAGTGGCAACCCCTGCCGGGACCGTGCAGGTTCTGATTCTCCTCCATCAAGTAAAACGTTCTGTGTCTCAAGACTAACCTGGATTGTATATTATTTTGAGCCTGGGTGGTCTCCCATTGGGTGATTTTCCGGACAGGCAAAACGTGGAGCTTGCCAACATCCACTATTGAGGACCCGGGCAGATCGTTGACGATCAATTTGCCAGATCGATTGGCGTTCGCACGAACCGGTACTCCACGGGTGCCCTAGCCATTGGTCCGAGTCATGAGGGGCTGGACACTAGTCCAGACACCATCCGTCTTAGCGTATTCAGTTCAGAGGCGCCGGGACCAAGTTGAGTCCGGAGAAGCGTTCCCGGTAAGATGGATGGGGTCGATAGTGTTGGATCCCAGTTGGGTCCCAGGCACATGATGTGATGATCCTCCGAAGCTCACATGGGATGTCCAATATTCCAGGACGGAGTCAGGGTAAGGTTTCGAATCTCCAACGGCTTCCTTTCACTTTGGGAAGATTCACCGGGAGCCAGAACCACCAAGTGTCTTGTGTGGGAATCCCGAAATGATCGGCGACCACGAGGAGGGATCTAAGGCCAACTCCGCGGGTGAGAGAAGCTAGACACGGGGCTTATCAAGGCTAGGCGGAGACGCGCAGTAAATCACGATGTCTCCCATCTGACCGTTCTGGGTCTCTGGATCTCGGCTTCTTTCCGGCTCTTGATGCCGGTGAATCCATACCGGAATGGAATAGGTCGAACTGTAGAGAGAGAGAGAGAGAGAGAGAGATAATTTGTTGTCAGAGATGATCCATCCATTTCGGATGCTGGTATTGCTTTGTTAAGATGCGCCAAGCACTCGACTGGGCATAGTGAAGCAGATGTCAGTGAATGCCCTCAAGGGATCGTCGTAGATCCACATTAATAACCACGTCAAGGATGAGCTTCATATCGTCATGCAAATCTGGATGATCGACGGGGGGTTTGACAAGGCAATAGAGACTGGCTCGAACAAACACCTCTATATTTGCTCCTCCCCGGCTCTCTCCACTCTCTTATTTCCTCCCCCCCATACTTATATATTCCTGTCTCGCCCGTTTCCTGTCTCTCTTTTTTTTTTTTTGCTTTCGCTGATCATTGATCTTCTTCTAATTCTTATTCTTACTCTGCTTTCGTACCCTTCCCCTCCCCTAACCCCCTTTCCTTGGACAGTGAGTTTCTGTCCTCTGAGGATGAAGACTTCGATTTCATCGGATGTATGGGAGAAGAAAAAAGCGTTGATTGCAAAGTTGTATATGGAAGAGGAATGGCCGTTGAAGCAGGTCATCAAGCAGATCCGGTCCGATGATTTCAATCCAAGGTGCGTTTGATACATTCGTCCTCACCTGGCAGGATTCTCCTAACATCTTCTCTCAGTGAAACCCAACTACGAAGCAGACTGAAGAAATGGCGAGTCACCAAGCCGTCTCGTCAAACTCGCAAGAAGACTCAGGCCTCCAGTTCAAGCGCCGAGCCAGACTCAGACAGAGACGTGACCCGGAAGCCGTCTATTCAACGACCACTACCAAGAGATCCCCCAAGAGCTCGCCATGACTGGCCTGGAGCTCAGTCTATCTACACCCCCGTCTCAGAGGACGCCCCTCACAGCAAATGGAACTCGCCTCTCGCTCAGCAGCTCACCCCAAGCCCGTCGGGCGAACATGCCCTTGTCTCGGACCGCTCGGCAGTCCACTCCCACTCCTACCCAGACCTCAGCCCAACCACAACATCCTTTGAAAACGCTCACGCCTCCCCAGTGGGCGAGGCTCTCATGGTCAACACCACTTCCGCCGTGGCCCCGTCTTACCCTGCCTACCCTCTGTCTCCGGAATCATGTCTGCCCAGCCCTGGTGGCACTGCAAATACTACTTCCGGTGGCGTTGCCTGGCCTCCTCGTGCTGCCTCTGCCGATTACGGCCTCAACCCAGCTCAGTGGTACCAACTGCCCTTTGAGGCCATCACTCCCCCCAACGGCGTCGCCCAGTCCACTGCCCCCATGGCTCCTTCATTAGCTGGGTACCTCCCGCCTATCTCGGGTCATGCCTACCACCCCCAGTACTCCCATTACCAGGGCGAGACATCTGAGTACCACCATGGCTATGGCGACAAGAATTGGAAACGTGCCATGTCGTTGCAGTATGACATGGGTGGACATCCAGCCCTTGGGCGGGCTGAGCATCTAGAGAGGAAGCAGATTCATAATGGTCAGCCTCAGACAGTGATGTCTCCTTCTCATACGCAGTCTGGTCCGCAGTCCGTGATGTGTGCTCCCATGCCTTATATGGGTCAAGATCACTACCAGAAGCCTCCTGGCATTGGCTATTAGGGGTTCGCCTTGACTTTTCCTTTCTTATATTATTAAATACCTGTGATACCTTTTGATTTGAATATGTGAAATATGGGTGGTTGTTTTGTTTTGTCATACCCGGTATTGTGCTTTTGGGTGTTTATTTGTTTAATAGTCTGGGGGGCGTTGAACAGGAACTGTATATATTGATACCTCTGAATCCAATATTCTGTACTCTACATATACAGTGTCTGAGTATCTGAGTATTTTATGTTATCGGCGTTCTCTCCTTAGCCGCCAAGCGCCTCAGTTATCCGAGAAGCAACCTCGGCATCTTTCACGCGGGGAAAACCCAAGCTCTTTTCTGCAGCTCTTCTTCTCAATTATATCTGAATTTGTTCTTTCTTCAACCATTCCATCATAAAATTTAAAGATATCAATCTCAAGTCTCCATCAATACTAAGAACTGACTCAAAATGCGTGCCGTCCAAGTCAGCGAATACGTCAAGGTACCTACTAACTTAGCAACCATCTACAACCAACAAACCAAACTAACCTGTCTACAGGGCCCCCTAGACCTAAAAGTAACCGATGTCCCAACCCCAATCCCAGCAACAGACAAATACCTAATCGAAATCCACTCGGCGGGCACAAACTTCTTCGATATCCTCCAAATCCAAGGCAAATACCAACACCAACCACCACTCCCGTGGATCGGCGGCGCCGAATTCGCCGGCACAATCACCGCCATCCCAACCTCCTCCAAGAACCCGCGTTTCAAAGTCGGCGACCGCGTCTTCGGCGCCACACAGGGCGCCTACGCAACCCACGTTCTCGCACCCGAGCACACCCTCCTCCCCGTCCCAGCCGGATGGAGTTTCGAAGATGCGGCCGGCTTGTTCGTTACGGCGCCTACTTCCTATGGAGGTCTTGTTCACCGGGCTGGGGTGAAGGCTGGTGATTGGGTTCTTGTTCATGCCGCTGCTGGTGGTGTGGGACTTGCTGCTGTGCAGATTGCCAAGGCTATGGGCGCGACTGTTGTTGCTACTGCTGGGACGGAGAGGAAGAGGCAGATTGCGCGGGAGTTTGGGGCTGATTACGTGGTTGATTATGGGAATAGGGATTGGCCGGAGGAGGTGAAGAAGTTGTGTAAGGAGAAGAGGAGTGGCAATGGAGCTGCGGGTGTGGATATTGTTTATGATCCTGTTGGGATGATCGAGGCCAGTTTGAAGTGCGTGGCTTGGAATGCGCGGTTGTTGGTTATTGGGTTTGCGGCTGGGAAGATTGAGAAGGTTGCGTTGAACCGGGTGCTGTTGAAGAATGTTAGCTTGGTTGGCCTGCATTGGGGGCAGTATGCCAAGTTTGAGACTGGCACTGTTGGTGACGTTTGGAATGGGATCTTTGATCTTGTTGCTCAGGGGAAGTTTAGGGGCACTGCGTTCAAGGATGAGAGCTTTGTTGGGCTGGAGAGTGTGCCCAAGGCCTTGCAGGCGCTTGGCGGTCGGGAGACTTGGGGTAAGGTTGTTGTCAATATCGTTGGCAATGAGAAGGCAAAGAGCAGACTATGAGGTCTGCATTATGGGCTGAAGATGTACTGAGAAGAAATAGATTTCATTTCATGGTATATGAATGTAGTGCGCAAGGAGTCATGCTCTCGTAGACAAAGTTAACCCAGAAGGGAAGACTCGAGCAAGTATAACATGAACTATGAAGGCCCTTTATTGCTCTGGCAACTGATGAATTTCAAGTGAGCGCGAGATCCTCGAAAGAAACCCGGCTCGCAATCCAGCTCCAGTCGGTCGCGGTCACAAGACGTGACGCTGCGGTGACTGTCCTCCAGAGAGGGTCCTTGAATATATCCGGGTATGGACTGGGACAGCTGGATTGAGAAGTTGCGAATGGCAGATCTTGTCTGACGTGGATGTGAGACGGCGTATTGGAGGTCATTGAAAGGTTAACTGTGTTATCTGGAGCTGTTAGTGTTGAATAGGGTTATTGTTCGACAGACGCCATCAGAATACACATTAGATTCCGTAGAGACATTGTCTTACGCGGAAGAAGATTGGATGAGTGAAGAAGGAAGGTAAAAAAAAAGAAAATAGAATAGCGCGGGCTGTCAGCCTGCTGAGTCAGCCCAGCCACTTTCCCAATTGTCGGATTGGATCCAAAGGACTGTGCTAGAGCATGCATCAATTTCCAGTCAACGGCATGATCATTCGGTTTACATGAATCTTATAGCATATCCATATATCAATTAATCTACAGAAGATTCCGGGTCGAAACATGGGCTGATACCACAATTATGAAAGATCCAGATGTCCCTAACATGAAACAAATAAGAGATAGAAAGTAACCGTAACATCATGACTCAATCATATCGTAAGTTAATAGCTCATCATCCATATATCGTGATAGGCATAGCAGATCAATCACTCGTGGACCCTCAATGATGACGCTCACGCATCTCGACAACAGTAGTCCATCCCTCACAGCAAGATCGGCTCATGTTGTGGCCACACCAACAGCAAGTAACCTTGTGAGGCAAGAGAGGAGCTGGGCGTAAATCAGGCATACCCTGGGAGCTATGGGAGATAGAAAGGTTGCCGAATTGTCGCGAGCCGGAGAGTCGCCGGCTACCAGTGTGGTCTGGGATGAGGACATTGGGTTTCTTTGAACGGGATCGACCAAGCTTTGACTCTGTGCCGAGGCGTTCTGGACAGGCAAGTCGGGCATAGACCTCGGAAGGCATATCTTGCCAGTACTTGCAGCGGCAGCAGATTACGAAGATTTTGGCGATGGTTTGGGGTTTCCGTGGGCTTTTGTTCTTTTGGGATCTTCTTTTAAGAATACTTATAGGGCCGTTTCGGAGTGGAGGAGTATCAGGTTGGCTGCCAGGTTGGGGCATTCGACTAGCAGGAAGGTCTTGGGTAGTTGCCTCCGCAGTGGCCTCAGGCTTAGTGTCCACACGAGTCAGCGAGTTAAGGTGTAATTCAGGAGACTCAGGTGCATCTTCGTCCGCAGTATCATAATTCGAATGTTCATCATGGGAAGAAGTGTAGGACGGTGTGCGGTTGTGCCCTGGAATGAATCCTCCGGGTCCCCTGTGCTTATCCTGGTTCCCTGAGGTATCATTCGAATTATAAGAGGTTCGACGGGGAGACCTCGCAGGAACAGAGTACGACCCATCTGCCAAGTTTGTCGATGTTCGTCTGTTCTCCTTGTCGGTGGATGAATGAGATTGCTCATCAGGCGAAGAATTTCCCGCGTGGAAAGGAGATCGGACAGCCACATTAAAAGGAGCTGAATCGTCTCTCGGTGTATGTGGTAAAACATTATCGGTTGAAGCAGTTGATTGTCTCCAGCTGTCTTGGCTTCGCCTTTCACTTTTGATAGGTATCTGTGGCGGTTCAGGTGAATTTGGGCCCTCGTGAAAGTTTTCCTTGAATCGACTCTGCTGAATAGGACCAGAAGACGTAGGCAAGCGACTTCTCCCTCGAGCGTCATCAGGCTGAAGTCGCTGAAGAGGATGTCGAGCTAGCTGCGATGCGTTCGCATGGAGACTTGGCATTGTCGATGCCTTCGGGATCCTAGAATTTCTCTGGGCCACGTCATCTGTGTTTGCAGGGTTCAAAGCAAGAGGAGAAGATTTGTAGATCTTTGGTTGGGTATGCGAGTTAGGTTCCAATCGACCTGGTTTGACAAGATCCCCTGTAGAGTTTGCGTGCGCCAGTTGGAGGGGATGATAGGTTGATGCAGCAGGTGAACTCGATGCACTCTCTAGAGTTTCTGGAGGGGGTATTGCTTGCAGCTGCCGCGCTGTGGAAACTTTGAGAGTAGGCAACCCATGCTGAAGAAGATCAGCTTGCGTTGAGATTTTTGATGTTGGCATGGTGGCAGCCCTGTATGAGCCATCGTTCCGTGTGAGACGCTCAAGGGAGTAGTCCGTCACTGGTACACTCTTCCGATCATGTTTAAGCGCCGCAGAGAACTGCTCACGATCTAAATCACGCGGGAGAGTATTTGTCTCGCTGCCTTGAGCACCGTGTGCGGATTTAGGCAAGCCACTGACATTGCCCTTTGTCTGCTCAGGCATTAGCGGGTCTGGGACATTCTCATCATTCTTTGTCTTCCATGCCTCGGCCATTTTCCAACTCTCGCGAAGATCATCAGACTTGGTTGCCGAATGCAAGGCCAACCGGCGTTGCATTGAATTTGTCGAGTTCATTGGGTTCTGCTTTTGCTGGTTGGTGGAGAGATTCAGTGAAGTGCCGTGTTTAGAAGCCAGCTCTCGTGTAATGGCTGTACCAAATCTTTCTGGCAGAGTCAGAGGGAGAGATGGGGGGTTAGTATCTGTCCGAAGCTGGCTGATATCGACAGACTGGAAGTCGGCGTCACTCGCATTGGAGTTTGAACGAGAACGTCTAAACAGCGAAGAGAAGCCGCTGGAAGATCGGGGCCGTTCCCTGTTTGCGCTGGAAGATCTGCTCGAGGTGCTGACGGGTTGCTTCTTGGTCAGTCGACGGGAGTTTCTGTCGTAGATTCCGTGGTCTGCATTGAGTTGGGCTTCCTCAAGGGCTTGCAAACGCTTCTCAAGTTCCTTTCTCTCAGCCTCCAATCTCCTCGTGACACGCTTTTCCCTTTTGCTTGTATCCCAAGTTGGAGATTTACAGATCTTGTCTCCGTCGTTGGGATTGTTAATGGCCAGCGGTGTCATTGGCTGGGTTGGGGTGTCATCCTCAGGGGCTCCAACCGGTGCGACTGATGGGCTAGAGCCAGGTGTGCCAGTAGAGGGCAAACGAGAGTGCATGGAAGAGTAGGAAACTGAACTTGGTACAGTTTCATCCTTCAAAGAGCGCCTGGTCCAGGAATGGTCGCTTGCTGCCTTGTTGTGCGTAGCCGCTTCGCGGCGCGCAGCTGGAGGCACTAGGTCGCCATGAGAACTGTATCGTTTCTTGGGGGTGTCAAATCATGCTCTCAATATTTGCTCTGCTGTGCTTACCTCCTGGGACTTGTTAAACACACGGTTGAGATGCCCAGTAATTGATGATCGACGCGACCTACGGGGCTGCTCCGACATTCTGGCTTGACGCGACCGAGTGGTTAATGAAAGAAAGCAAAGGACATTGAATCGCTGATAGAGCGGCTCAAGGAGAGGCAAACCGCGGGGATTTTGCGGGGACCGGTGAGCAGAGAAGTGAAAGGTCATGCGATATGCGAAAAAGAACGAGAGACAAAGACCCGAAGGCCATACGAGCAGAGAAAGAGAAAAAGAAAAAGAGACACGCTGAGTCTTGGATCGAGAGAAATTCTAAAATCCGCCACTATGTTGCATTGGTCACAGCATCTGAAACCTGCAGGCCTATTCTTAGCTTCAGATTTGATATCTCACACAGGCACACAGTGTATACAGTATATTGACGCTGGTACACTGTTGGTTTCTATCTACATGCTACCTAAGGAGGTATACAAAGGTCATTAAGCATGTCAAAATCCAGGATTTTACAATGTTTGTAATCTACACCGCACACTCGGACAAAGAAGAGGCAGTCAAGTTGGAAACGCATCAGTCTATCTAAGATTCAAAGAAAACTTGGATCAAATATCGGACGTCCAACGGTAAAACTCTTGGGCACTGCTCTTCACCTCCGCCCCCAAGCTTGGCATTCTCACCTCTCACCTTCCAAAGCCAACTGAGCTTTGTACTCCCCCCAGACGAAAATCAAGATCTCAAGATCTCCCCACAAAACAAGGCTACCAGCCACATCTGCAGTCATGAACCCCTTCAGAAGAAAGACTGATCTACCGCCAAGCTATGATGTATCACAGTCGATCTCCGGCCAGCCACAGTTCCAGCCGCAGTCTCAGTATCAGATGCAGGCAGAGGTCAACCCACCACCCTACCACAACTGGCAAGACGCAGTCCCAGACACCGCCACATTCCCACCACCACCAATAACAGGCTACCTCATCTCAGGCACCGGCAACGCCTCAGAAGACGACGCCCAAAGAGCCCATGACTTCTGCGACAACGTGCCTCTTTGGTTGCCTACCCAGCCTTCAAATGCTGTCTACAATGATGTCCAAGCACACGATCTGAGACCAGTTCATCCACGCGAACTGCGCGGCCAGGTTACTGCCACCGCGCGCGGACGCTGGAGCGGCCAGAGTGCGGACCGGAATGGGGATTGTGTGATTATGACGCAGTTACCGATGTACTTTCCTACCATGGATTCCCCGTTTGTGCGGGAGCAGAGAAAAACGATTTACTTTGAGGTTAGGGTGTTGGCGTTTAGGGCTGGGCCTGCCGGTAATGGTGATGATAGTGGGATTTCAATTGGGTTTGCGGCTCAGCCTTATCCTTCTTGGAGATCACCTGGTTGGGAACGAGGTGGATTGGGAGTGTTCTCTGACGATGGATGTCGGTTTGTTAATGATTCGTTTGGGGGTCGGGATTTCACCACTGCGTTTAGGGTTGGTGAGACTGTTGGGATTGGGATGGTGTTTTCTCTTCCAGATGACCTGAATATCGAGGCAGGTGACAAAAAGAAGACTTGCAAGGTGGAGATCTTCTTTACTCGAAATGGGCAGAGGGCCGGGGACTGGAATCTACATGAAGAGGTTGACGCAGATTCTGGGGGCGTCGAAGGTCTGGAAGGCGATTATGACCTGTACGGAGCGATTGGGTTGTTCGGTGGCGTCGATTTCGAATCTTGTTTTGACCCTGCAGGTTGGCTATACAAACCAGCCGAGTAAACAGTTGCTAGATGCAGGTTTAGTCCAGATCGCTCATCTTGCCAAGCTCAGTTAAAAGGCCACGATCCGATCCGGTAGGGCTGAAACTGGCATTTTACATGGGATATTGCTATTTTTGCTGAGTATCAATCTATCAGAAACACAGCCCAAGAACCATCCGTTATGAGTATCACCATGATTCTATGAAAAGAAACAAGACAGACGTCCAAAGCCCAGAACAGCAAAATGGATTGCCTGATTGAAGTCTAGGGCTAAGACATTGCACAGCCTATTTCAACGGCCAACGCCGAGTCTCCAGACGCACCTGCATATGGCGTAAACGAGTTCTGCACGAGCATGGGTTCTAGAACGGTATTTTTTTCTTTTCTTTTCTCGGCCAACACATCAGGATTCCTGGTCGCCACGCGCATTAGTGCCGGGGGGAAGCACGAGGTGCATGCCGCTACGACTATGACCATCGCTACGCTTAGGGCAATGGGAAGAAGCCTGCATCTCCTGCCGCTTTTCCGTAGGCCCCAGTCACTTCGTGCATCGATGCATGAACGAGCCGGAATTGTGGCTTGACGTCATGAGATGCGTGCCGAGCGCATTGCGATCTTTGGCGTTATGCATATTTTGTAGTCAATTAGGAGGTGCATGTATACGAGGTGTTGCGCGGAGGGCTTGAACTTGGATGGTATCGTTAGGGCTATATACCCTCCTCCTCAATGTACTGTGCAGGAGAACCATCTTGAATTTTGGGTCTAGAGGCTGAGCTACTACAGTAGATTAATGTAAGATAGATTATAGTTATATATTATATTATATTATATTATATCTTTTCTATTTTACTAATTCGTTTGCCTCGGGATGAAGGATGGAGGTCGGAGCGCGCACAGATAAGCGTAAGCGATAGTACGCGTACCTCAGAGCCGCAACATCGGGTCCAAGTTCGCTACATGACTCAGGACAAAATTAGTTACGGCTGACATGATTATTGAGACTGGTTAAACATACGTTAACGTGTAAAAAGTAAAAGTTAGTAAGTGAAGTGTAGGGTAGTGGTGTGGTGTGTGTAGTGTACCGGACATAAGTGTCCCTTGTTCTCCGGATGAATACAGTAATTTAGTTACCGGTGGAGCCAAAGTCGGTGATTATCCCGAGGCTAAAGCAATGGTTGCAGTAGGATGGAGCCACTGCAGCCATAGCTGCAGCTAAACCCGCCAGACTGCGAGTGGCCAGAATGGCTCGGATGATTGTACCTTCGAATGAACCAACCAGTCTGATCCTAGAACTATTCTTGGCGTCCTATTTGGTCAAGTGGAAAGTACTTCCTTGGGTAGTACTATGCATGTACTTGAGTGGTTCCCTACATAGTCGTTGCCACAAGATCTATATTCGAATCGAATTCGCAAGTTGAAAGTGGATAACGCTGACTCGAGCTCTGCCCGCTGTGGATGCGCGGAGTCTCCAGTTTATACACTTGGCTGAGGGGTAATGGGCCTACTGGAACAGAAAATCTCGAGAACAGACAATGCGGTTGTGTACTTTACCTACGAGAGAGGAAGTTGGGGCCAAGAGAGGGGAAAGTCTGATCGTCCTGCAAGTCATCGCCCCTTTTTCCCGTGACATCTGTATTGTATTTGGCGTTCACTCCCGTTTATATTATTATACTTTTAATACGCGGCACAGTTCACAGTTCGCACTATATTCTTACATGTTACATACTACATACATAGAATATATAAAATCTAATATCTAATATATTATATACATGTATTATATATTACTATTCCTATTTAATGTACTATATTCTGCCCAAGTCCGGCCATTCCCGAGGTGGGGATGTCCGTGCAGCCGAGATACGCGTTTGTTTCACTCCACGTCCTGGCGAATCGGCCTAACACCGTGGCTAATTATTCCAGTCAGTCCCCGGTTCGGCCGGAACTTATATGCAGAGTTGATCCAAGAAGGAAATTCTGCAGCTTGGAATCATACCGGGGTTTGGGAAAAGCCCGCGGAACTGCGGCCTGTGCTGGAGGGGCCTTAGCGGAGAGTTTCAATACAGACAGCGATTGCGTAGCCAGAGTTTTCGACGATCATTGTGGTCATATCCACATCGGGCCTTTTGCAGCAGGTGGGATCCTCCGTGCTCCATTCCGCTAAGGCTGGCCTTAGGTATGCCTCTCATTAGACGCCAAAGCGATACTGGCGCGAGTCTGCGGTTGTCTAAGACCGTGCTTGACTAGAGAGGAAGGAGTCGACCGTTTGTGGATGCCAATCATCAAATGTCAAAGTTGCCAGGTTGCCAACCCTGGAGGTTGCCTTGATATATTACTAAGTTGAGCACGGCCTTGTACTCGTGACTTGCCCTTTACACTTCACGCCACCAAGGCATTTGCTAACCTTTGCCTTTGCTAATTCTTGTTATCAGGCCACCTGCGCACTTTGCCTTGAAAAGTACTGTTTTTAGGCGAGTGGCTCCACTCGAGCTTGTGTACGAACTAGGTCGCACGGGCAATTTGGCGATCGCCACTAGGATTACCGTTTTACCAGTTCAGCCCAAGTCTAAGCATTTGGCACAGGTTGTGACATCCGACCATTTGGCATGCACGTTAAAATTAAAGAATCCATCTTGGGGGCACGCCCAGCGTTTAACTATGCCCGATACTACAGCTCGTGCGGTCGATCTATGGAGCTTTGACGATTCGGCCGTGTTGTAGTACTTTTGATCTTCGACAAGGCGCTAAAAGTATTGTCAGAAAGTGGTTATGGAGTATAGACCGTCGGGGTTGTTCCACAAATCATAGCACCCCCAAAGATAAAGATCAAACACTGTACATTTACAGTGTATCCTTCGGATTTGTTCTCCTGAAGCACAAGTACGTGGTTGCCTTTACATAGATCGACATCCTAATACAGCCCAATCAAATATACTTCCCCACAGCGTTTACATACTCCGTGTAGAACATAATTTATGATCTGACTGTAACATACCATGCATGGGCCATCCTCTCCACCCTTCATCTAGATCCAGGGTCTCTGACGCACGAGGCAAAACTACACCTGCAGCACACTCAAAACGACAACGGAGACTGGGGCATAGCTTTTTTAGTCTTTTCTCTTTTGGGGGTTCCCGTTTTATTTTTAATTTGTTGTTTTATTGTTCGCATGTGCTTTTTCTACTTTTAATCGGCTTTCCCCAAAGTACTTCATTTTTCCTTTTCCCCTTTCTTTTTCTCTGGAAGCTTTGTCTCCCTGACATTCGTTTTTGCCTGGCATATTGGGTGAAGCGAATTGCCCCTGGTATCGAGTTTGGAACATGGCATTTCCGTTTCTGCGAGCCTTTGTCGCGCTATTGTGAGTATCTTCCTGTATGGGTTGGAAACTAGGCTAACGGACCAAGCATCTATCGATACACCCGCCTCGTGCTGAACCTCTTCTCCTTCTGGACCTTTAAGCCAATTCCACCACCGGAGAACCCCAAATTGACCTCCCAAGATGTGACGGTCATTATTCCAACATTGGAGGGCTGTGGCGATGAATTGGTGGAGACAATACGGACAATTCTCGACAATCAGCCCTTTGAATTGCTCCTGGTGACCATCGAGGCCAATCGCAAAAAGGCTGAAAGAATGTTGAGCGCAATGCCGGCGTCCAAGTCACGCATTCGCTTGTTCACGGTCATGCACCCTAATAAGCGGCGTCAGATGACCCGGGCTATCCCCGAAGTCCGAACTGCCATTACTCTCCTTGCGGATGACGATGTGAGCTGGCCCCGTACCCTACTCCCCTGGATCTTGGCGCCCTTTGAAAAGGATGAGAAGTACGGTGGTGTGGTGACCTGTCAGCGGTTGCGCCGCGCCATTGAACCGAGCCTCTCACAGCGAGTCTGGGGCTTCCTAGGCGCGTTGTACCTGGAACGACGCAACTTTGACTGCGGCGCGACAACCCACGTGGACGGTGGCCTTCCCTGCATGTCGGGACGGACGGTTGCGTATCGGACGCGAATCCTGCAGAATGAGGGCTTCACTTATGCCTTTACGAATGAAGAATGGTGGTGGGGGAAGTACCAACTCAACGCCGACGATGATAACTTTATCACCCGTTGGATGGTCTCGCATGGATGGGAAACTTATATGCAGTACCACCCGGAGGCCGAGGTGCTTACTACTCTGGAGGACAATCCTCGTTTTTTGAAGCAATGCGCCCGCTGGTCTCGAAGTAATTGGCGGAGCAATCTGACGTCCATGTTTCACGAGAAGCACATTTGGTAGTAAGTTGCACACTCCGATTAGCCTCGGTGTCTATCGAGAATAAAGCGTTGAAAGAATGCTAATCACTTTATAGTCGTCAACCTTGGAGCGCCTATGCTGTTCACTTGACAACCTTGTCGCCGCCTGCCCTGATCGGAGACCTGTTACTTGTTTGGCTGTGCCACAAGGCCACTGGATCGTGGGGAGAGGTGTTCCATGATCGCTCCATGACTGCTCTGTATATGTGGATTTTCACTAGCAAATGGATCAAGCTACTTGGTCACTATCTTCGTTATCCCGTCGACGTCTTCTTGCTGCCAGTTTCTATCCTCTTCGGCTATTTCCACGGCGCAATCAAGATGTATGCAGTGATGACACTCAATGTGGTATGTACAGTCCAAGCGCGGCCCCCTCTCGTATTCTTCCTATTATATCTCGGCATCACAACGCTTTGATCCTCCTTCTTGCATCCTCTGCACATTGATACTGACTATTCCCTTTCTAGACTACTTGGGGTAGCCGTGACGGCGCTGATGATTACGACGCCGAGCGTATGAAGAAGCGAACGGACGCTGATCGAACCAAGCAGCCCTATTATCCGCAATATCTCATCAAATGAGTAGCCACTTGGGCTTATGACGAAATGCCGTGACGACCAATTTTCTAGATGTGCAACCTTTCGTCGCACAGAGGCCTCGAAACGTCCTTTTCCCCCATGTTCTTCTTTGCACACGTTTTTTTTTTTTTTCTTTTCTGTAAATTACAAAAGCATGGGCGGATGTCGTTTTGCATGACTCTTTCTTCCATCTTTGATTCCCCTGAGCGTTGATCTTTTCTTAGATGCACGGGCGGTCTTTTCGAGTCTTCTCTTGGTTTTTGCTTCACTGGTAATCTCTAATAGGGAAAAAAACAACGCAATTCGTTATGATCTTGTGTCACAGTACCTGGCTCTGATGCAATATTGCAGAAGACCTAGATCTAGAACCGACTAATAGAGGTTCAGAGTAGAAAGAAAACAGGGTGAGATCGACATAATCACAAGAATACAGACGCATATTATTATGCGAGACAGATGGAAGCTGTGGCGTGTGTGGCGGGCCAAGACCTCGAAAAGTTCACTCCGAACGTCAATTTTGGATTCAGGAACCACCTTCTACTCTACTTTATTGCTCGACTCCTTCCAATACATCATGATTCTTCCTCGCGCTGCGCTCCCATCGCAGCTGTCGGCTGTCGCTAGGCACCCCGTGACGCTATGCCGGCGCATCCATTCATCTCCCTTTAGATCGGCTGTCGCACACCCAGTCACAGCTCACGGTCCTCCCCCTAAAGCTCCTGATGCCTCGCCAGAATTCAAGGGACCCTCAGAGTCAAATGCTCAAGTTGCACCCGAGGTCGAATTAAAGCGGACCCCCAAGCTTACTGCCGCGCTCAAGAAGCGGTTTTGGAAGGACGTCCATGTAAACGGAAAGTCAGGTACGGATAATTGAAGCAGTTGTCCTTGCTAGTCTTACTCGCTAACGCGTTCGTTCTGCTGTTCAGATGAATACGAAGTCCTGCTTGACAAGCGACCCGTGAGAACACCCACGAAAGAAGTGCTCTCAATTCCTCCTACGAAGCCTCACCTCGCCCATGCCATTGCCCTTGAGTGGGATGTGATGACCTCCGCCCAACAAGCCCTTAAGAGCCATCTCATCCCCATGACATCCCTCGCAGCCCGTGCCACCGATATCGCCCGTGAAGATGCCCAGGGCGTGGATACCACCCGAAGCCAAATCATCACAACTGCTATGCGCTATCTAGACACCGATACCCTGCTCTGCTGGGAACCCGAGCGGGAAACTCACTTGTTGGAGCGCAAATCAGGCGAGGGCGATGGGCCTACCGAGAGCCTACGGGATATTCAAATGCGCGTTGCTAAGGATATCATGGCCTTCTTGTCTACGAAGGTCTGGCCCGGTCTGGAAATTGTTCCTATTCTCGACTCCGAGAGCATCCTCCCGCTCTCCCAGCCTAAGGCTACGAAGGAGAGTATTTGCACTTGGGTTTCGGAGCTGTCTGCCCATGACCTGGCTGGTCTTGAGCGTGGTATCCTTGCATCGAAGAGTCTTCTCATTGCGGTTCGTCTACTGACGGAGTGGAGTGAGAACTTCCGCCATCTTCAGCGCCACGACGCGAACAAGTTCGGCATTGAGGAGGCAGCTGAGGCAGCAAATTTGGAGGTAAAGTGGCAGACCGATATGTGGGGTGAGGTTGAGGATACCCACGATGTCGGAAGGGAGGACCTGAAGCGACAATTGGGCAGTGTTATTGTTTTGGTCAGCGGAGAGACTCGATAAGCATGAGGATTATACTGTACGATAGATCTAGACCGCGGGCCTTGCTTTATGCAAGTGTGTATACAATGAATATACTCCCTTGGGAGACAATGTTAGGCGGATCCTAATTATATATTCGCGATCGCGATCGCGATTGAGGGCATCCTCATGTTGCCAAGGCGGAGATTAGCGTCATTTGCCCCCAAAAACAAAGCCCAAAGCGCCCCCGAATTTCCTCCCAAACCCATTCCCTTCAAGATACACGCTGATGTACTGGGAATAGTTCAACATGTCTGACCGACCCGAAGGGTGAGTTCCCATGCCTGATCCATGGTAATCCATGGTGACTGTGGCAGAAACGATGTCATCAGTGGCTTTCCATGTCTTCACCTGGGCCTCTGGGAATCCTCGAGCCCCTGCCCTGTTGCATCATACCTTTACATGTGATAACTAATTATGCCACCTTCCTTCAGGCACAAGCGCTCTCGAAGTGCCATAGCACTTGCCCTCCTTCACCGCGATAAATCCAAAGGTGAAGACAAGGAGATGGACGACGATAACAACTCGGTTACTTCTGCCTCATCGAATGGCCCCTCCTTGAAACACACCCGCAGTAGCAGCCGTCGCAAACAAGTCCAAGACCCGAGTCCTCCCCCGCCCATTCAAGAATCCACCGAGGATATGGACACAGTGGAAGGTCTACCTTCCTTGACCCAGATGGAAAGTGGCAGCATGTCTCTCGAGCAGTCTGTTCGCACCTTTCGTCTCTTCGAGATCCTGCGCAGCGGGGATACCACTGCTATCTCCAAGGCTATCAACGATACTAAGGACCCGCAGGGCGTGAATGGTCTAAACGGAACCACCGTCCTCCACCTGGCTTTGCAATGCGCCGAGCCACAGGTCGTGGAATATGTGCTGTCCGCCGCGGAGGGTTTGGATATCAACTCGCGAGACCGCGAGGGAAACACCCCACTCCACATTGCCGCCCAACTGGGCCGGGGCCCTCTGGTTCGCGAATTGCTGAATAGGCCGCTCATCAATGATTCCATTGTCAACTATCGGGGTCAGACGGCGCTGGATATGGCTCGTACCCCTGAAATCTTCCAGCAGCTTCAGCTTGCCCGGTCTCTCTTCATCGATAGCAAGAACCAGGAAATTCAGTCCTTGATTGCGAACGCTGATTACAAGAATCTGGAAGCTCTACTGGAGGAACCCCGCGTCGAGGGTATTATGGATGTGAACAGCCAAGAGCTGGTTACCGATCGAACCACTGCTCAGTCTGGTGGTACGCTACTGCATGAGGGTGCTAGGAATAAGGATGCGCAGCTTATTGAGATTCTTCTGACGCATGGCGCTGATCCTTTCCGCCGTGATAAGAAGGGGAAGCTTCCACAGGATGTCACTAAAGACGATAAGACTCGCGCGCTCTTGAAGAGATCCCCGGCTGCTGTTATTGCTCAGCGCGGTATCCAAGAGAAGGCTATTCTTGGAAATAGCAATGCCCAGGGACTTGCCGGCCGTGCCTCTATTGCCGATGCGCCATTGGCAGGCAAGGACGCCCGCGAGATGAGAGGATATCTTAAAAAATGGACCAATTATACTACTGGGTACAAGTTACGCTGGTTTGTTCTTGAAGATGGAGTTTTGAGTTATTACAAGCACCAAGGTAAGTTGCTAGGTTTATTGGCTTGAATTTTTTTTTTTTTTTTTTTTTTTATGCGAATCATACTGATTTGCTTGAAAACAGATGACGCAGGATCTGCCTGTCGCGGTGCGATCAATATGAAGATTGCCAGACTTAATATGGATGCACAAGACAAGACGCGCTTTGAGATTCACGGCAAATCGTCAGTCAAATATCATCTCAAGGCCAACCATGTTGTCGAGGCAAAACGCTGGTTCTGGTCTCTCAACAATGCCATCCAGTGGGCTAAGGATGAGGCCAAAGAGGAAGAGCGACAGCGGTCGAAGAATGCAGATCTCCTTCGCCAAGCCAAAATTGACCAGACTGAAGGACGTGTTGCAGACACACCATCTGAATCTGGCCTCTCTCACAAGCCTAGCACCAAGGGTCTCGCTCCACCATCTCTGGGAGGTGCTAGCAGCAGTGGCACGAGGTTGAGCACATATGCCTCTCGCACCACGCTTGACATTCCGGGTGGAGACGAAGATGGTTCCGTCTATGGCGGCTCTTACGACCAGAGCGCCCCCAATGACATGAACAGATCCATCAGCCATGTAACGACTGCACCTGAAGGAGACGACGACGAAGAATTTGTTGACTACGCTTCAAGCCACGACAATGAGATGCCTGCCACTGATAAGGATGCTCTCAATATCACCGCACAGTCCGCGAAACTGCAATTGGATCTACTTGCAAATGTGGCTGCTTCTTTGCAGTCTGAAAAGGCGAAGAACCCGGAAATGACCATTGCGGATCCTGCCCTCGAGCAGGCTCTCGGTGCCTATGAAGCTGCAGTCAGCAGCCTCAAGGGCTTGGTGCAGAACCTTCTCAAAATCTCACGGGACCGAGACTCATACTGGCAATCTCGTCTCAGCAGAGAGGAGTCCATTCGTCAGATGTGGGAAGAGAGCATGGCTCGTGTAGCTCGCGAACATGAGGAGCTCCAATCCAAAATGGGCGAATCAGAAGAGAAGCGAAAGCGGACCAAGCGAGCTCTGAAGGAGGCCCTGGAGAGCGCACCGGGCAGCAGTCGTTCCATCAGTGGGCCTTCCCGTGTTCCAACAGAAGGCCCGAGTCTGGAGGCAAGCCAAATCGAGGCCGGTGTTCCAGAAAAGGCTGAAGAAGAACGAACTGCTGAGCAGTTACAAACCAAGCCCACCCTCAGTAGGAAGCCATCCAAGCTTAGCAGTCTTTACGATTCAGAGTCGGATGGCGAAGAATTCTTCGATGCTATCGATGCTGGTGAGATTGAGGTAGAGGATTTTAGCAAGACCGAGGACCACAAGGTGGAAGAGCCCAAAGATGAGAGCGCCGAGCTTCGGGCTGTCAAGTCTTCTATCATCAAATCTTCCTTCAGGGGTTATGAAGAACCCGTGAGAGAGCGTCTCAAGATGGATGCCGACGACCGGCCAAAGATTTCTCTGTGGGTAAGTATAGACTGCTATCCCTTGGTTACATAGCATGCTTACCATTCATTGTCTAGGGTATCTTGAAATCCATGATTGGAAAGGACATGACGAAGATGACTCTTCCGGTGTCTTTCAACGAACCAACCTCTCTGCTCCAGCGTGTGGCTGAGGATCTCGAGTACACTGACCTTCTCGATATTGCTGCTGATCGGACCGACTCCATGGAACGTCTGGTCTATGTTGCCTCGTATGCCGCCAGTGAGTATGCCTCCACCATTGGTCGTGTGGCGAAGCCCTTCAACCCTCTGCTTGGTGAAACTTTTGAGTATGTTCGCCCGGACAAGGGTTATCGATTCTTCGTGGAGCAGGTTAGCCACCACCCACCGATTGGTGCTGCGTGGGCTGAGTCGCCCAAATGGGACTACTGGGTAAGCGTGCTCCTATATACACGTATCACGGAAACTTACTAACCACATGTATAGGGTGAATCTTCACTCAAGTCCAAGTTCTACGGTAAATCCTTTGATATCAACCTGCTTGGTACATGGTTCTTGAAGCTGCGACCTTCCTCCGGCGGAGAAGAACTCTACACTTGGAAGAAGGTGACTTCATCAGTCATCGGTATTATCACGGGCAACCCTACAGTTGACAACTACGGTCTGATGGAGATCAAGAACTGGACCACCGGCGAGGTCTGCTATCTCGACTTCAAACCCCGCGGCTGGAAGGCTTCATCGGCCTACCAGGTCACGGGTAAGGTTGTCGACAGTGAGGGCTCCCCCAAGTGGAGTATCGGCGGTCGCTGGAATGACAAGATATACGCTCGCCACACTCCAGGCTTTGAAGCTCCGGTCTCCGGCCAGGATCCCGAGTCTGCTAAGACTTTCTTGGTTTGGCAGGCTCATGCTCGTCCCACGGGCGTGCCTTTCAACTTGACTCCATTCGTCATCACTCTCAACGCTCTTCCTGAGGGTCTGAAGGATTGGCTCCCCCCTACGGATACCAGACTGCGTCCTGATCAGCGTGCCATGGAGGATGGTGAATATACACTGGCTGCTGATGAGAAGCATCGTGTTGAGGAGAAGCAGCGAGCTAGGCGCAGGGATCGCGAGACCAAGGGTGAAATCTACTCGCCACAATGGTTCACCCGTGACCGGTGTCCTGTCACTGGTGAAGAATTCTGGGCTCACAATGGGAAGTATTGGGAGTCCAGGGATGCCCAGGATTGGAGTAGATCCGAGGATATTTTCTGAAGAGCGGTCAAGCAATGACGGATGCTTGGGACATTTTTGCTTCTGTTTTTATTTGGGAATAGGTTTCTCTAAGTGGTTGCTAAAACCATTCGCCTCGTCCCTTTGTTTTGTACAAGAGTTTCAGTTGCCATGAATCAATGCATAAGTTCTCTATCTCTTAATCGTATGATTGGGTGGTTGTAGGATTACAGCCATTGCTCTCGCTAGGAGCTTGTAGTTGCCTCATGAAACTAGTACTAAATATTACACACAGTTCGCTGTTCGATTATCTACAAATGGACCGTATTTCATCAGAACTTTTTATCTAAATAATGTTTCTGGAGTGAGCCATCGTCTATCAATTGTTATCAGTCACGTGGCACCTAAAAACATCCCCAGGCAATCCGGGTGGCCTCACTCGTTCCCCTCTACACTCAATTGACATCACAATGGCAGGATACACTTGTATCCAGTGCCTCCAGGTCCTCCGTCAAGGAGCCCGGGCATCATCCTCTCAGGCTCGCCTCCAGAGCCTCGCTACTCCACGGCGGAGAAGCGCAGTCTCCCCATCTCTGATCCGAAGCTTCGGTTCGCATCGTAATGGCCGATCGCTAGGCACCAACCCAGCAGAGCAGACCAAGCCCGTATCTGGGCAGCCCTGCTGCGCTCCTAGGCCATCACCTTCGACTATCACGCAGAGGGGTGTCGCAAGCAGGTCCTCCGTGAACGCCTTGACCCGGGATAATCTGTTCCACTCCTTCTCGAACTCGCCCTCGGATGCCATCCGCAAACGCGCCGAGTTCATCAAGCAGAATGCCTTCTGCCCGCACCCAAGTCACCAGCAGACCCGCGCCCCCGTCTCTCCGCACGACCCAGAAGCGAGGAAGGACACCAGCGAATCAAACCTCCCACCGGCCCATTCGCATTTCGAGTGCCCCGACTGCGGCGTGCCTGTCTACTGTTCCGAGGGTCACTGGATGGATGACTTTGAAGCTCATCTCGAGATCTGTGATACCCTCCGCCAGATCAATGAGGATGACCACGACCTGCGCTCCGGCCGCCTCTTCCCTGAATTCAATTACCCCGGTCCCCAGGATGATAACTTCGTTATCAACATGACTAACTGGGATACTTACCTTTACACCCGCGAATTCCCGGCTATCAACGATGACCGCTCTATGCGCCAGGTGACTCGCATGCTCACCTACCCGCAGACCATTGGTAGTGTCTTGCACGAGCTTAGTCCCTACGGCGTTCGTTCCGGTGGACGGCTTACGCCCGAGGGTCTGAAGAGTGTCAGTGGTAAGTTTGACATTGAGTGCTATCCAAGTTTCGATATTGTAGTAATACTAACCACAACCGTCCAGCCCTCCGCTACTCCCTGCACCCTCCAAAGGCGGGTGAAAGTACCGATATCAAAGGTCTCCGCCTAAAGGCACCCCCAGTACGAATCTTCATCCTGGGTGCCCGCGCCGAATCCTCCTTGCCCCGTGACGTGTGGCTGCAGCTGCAGTACATGTACCCGCGTGCTCTGCTGCATCTCATCTTCATTGGACCCGAGAGCATGGCAAACCGGGACGGCGAGTTCCCGCTGCCCGAGCGCACTCCCGAGAACCCCTTTGGCGGAATCGTCGAGGACAGACTGGGTGGCCAGATGAAGATCACCACTTACGTCGACTACTTCCACACCATGAACAAGGCACAGTACTTTGGTCCCTTCGATCCTTACCTTGATTGCTTTATGCTCTTCCATCCTGGTCTGGGTCACCCTGCTAGCTCGCATGAGTGGGAGGAGACTCTGCCTCAGCTTCTTGAGACCAAGGTCCCTATTCTCTGCACTGGGTACACGCAGTGGGATATGGAGCGCGATATCAATTGGGTTAGTGAGAAGTGCCGGGGTGAGTTTGATGTGCTGCTTGAGCCTGGTGAGAACATCTTCCGCAGTCTGCGCTGGGATTTGAATGACCAGGATCCTCATGATGTCTCGTGTGGTAATTGGGGATTGTGGGCCTTCCGAGGCAAGAGGTATGTGTTGCCATTATGGGTTATATTTGTATTGGATTTTGGCTGACTTTTGCTGCAGATACGAGGCTACCTTCAAGCAGGAGGACTAAGCCGTTATAGCTTTCTGTACGATATTTTCAGGATCATGATTTGGGACTGTTGTAGTAGACAAGATCAATTCCAATCCTCTCCAAGTTATTCTCCAAGTTATCACGACTAAGCTTAGCTCCGAGAACATCCAATGTTTGGAGTTATCTGGGTAGGAGTTTTGTAACACCGCATCCAATCCATGAATGTAATCTACACGAAGATATTGATTTAAGTTGATATTACAGTTCAAATTCACACTGCCGAATGAATTGCCAAATCAAAAGTAAGACTCGTGAATCTTACGCTCGTTCAATTGACAAGGTTATAAAATTCAAGGGCACAGATGCAAGCATCAACGCCAAGAAGAGAAAAAAAGGGGATCCAAGGTCAACCAAGACGAAAATAAGTATTAAAAGCGAAATGCTTGGATGACATCAGGAAGCGAAAATCAAGAATGTAAAGAAGGGTATAAATGTCAGAAAATCGGAAAGCACGTCAAAGTCACCGCAACCAAGTAGAAATAAAGGTTAAAGGTGGTATGTCGGTGGAAAAAAATATATAGAGAAGAAAAGATCCAGAATAGAGACATGCGAAATGTCAGGTGGAACCATTGTCGAATGGTTGGCAGTCCAGCCACCGAGGCTAAGGCTGACTAGAAGCGACAAATGTCGAGATCATCAAGATCTGGGAGCCAGGAAAATTCGCGATTCAAATTGGCCATTGGCTGTACATTTAAACCAGAAGAAGACCGGCGATGGCGGCGGCACCGGCGGCCATGGCACCAGAGAACTGGAGCGAGGTCGCACCGCTGACCGGAGTGGAAGGGGCCGGGGTGGCGGAGCCGGAGACCACACCAGTGGCCTTGACCAACGGAGTGGAGGAGCTAGGGATCCGGGTGAGAGAGGCAGCGCTCGAGGGGACGGGAGTGCTAGTGGACATGATCGGGGTCCAGGTCGACGAAAGGGTCGGAGTCGAAGTTGGAGTCGGGGTGGATGACGGAGGAGGAGTGTACCCAGAGGGCACCAGGGTGAGAGTCTTAGTGCTAGCAGGAGCTGAGGCAGCTTCAGCCGCGAAAGCGACAGGCGCAATGGCCGAGAGGAAAACAAGAGCCTTGGTGAAGTGCATCGCGGGTATGTGATGTTATGATGTTGATACAGGATATGTAGATCAACGGAATCAGAAAAAGAATGAGTGAATGGAGCTGGAAAAGAATGAGACAGCCCGTGTCTGGGATAAAAGAGTGACGCTGTTTACACAGGAAGTTGGGATGAAGAAGAAGCGAAGAAGTGAGGAAGTGAGGAAATGAGGAAATGAGTTAATCTAAGGAGAGTCGCGCTTAGCCCGTTGCGCACTAGGGAGATATGTAACATCTCCCCTCGGCCGCCCCGGGGCGACCACTGGAATGTTGATCTTCACTGCATCTTCACTTTATCTTCTACATACTATGCAGTGAACATTGCTCATTTTCTGCTGGTTCTCTTCGAAGCAAAATTTACAATTTACCCATGACAGTTTACATTTCACACCTGTCCGGCCTCTTTTGCCAATTTCGGTAATGAAGCCTAGTTCAGTTTCATCAAGTAGATTAGCAAATCAGCTAGGTGATCCGACGGGAACATAACATAACTCTATTGTACAGAGTGCAAAGCAAGGACAAATGCCCAAGTCGGGGTATCAAAAGCAAAGCAGACCTCCCAATCATCTCTTTTCATAGCATATCAAAACTCATTAGCCAGGTTGGACATTGCCCGCTCAAAAATCAAGTCATCTCAATGGTTTAGAAGGACCATACAGCCGTCACAACCAGAGCCACAGTCACCCAATATCCGCTGGCATGCAGCAGGGTCGTCATCATAGGGCTAGCGGCCGAGGTGTTCAAACTGCTATCGGCCTTGGTGGTGCCGTTGGGCAGAGTGCCGTTGATATAGATGGTCTCGGTGCCGTTCACCTTCACCACACGCACAACACTGGAGTTCTTGGGCACGGTGCCGTTGAAGAGCGACTCGTAGTAGGTGCTATTGTTGTTGTTGTCGCATCCACACTCCGAGTACTCCTGGCACACACAGACGACCGGCAGAGACTCGTTCTTGTGAGTGTTCTGGTTCATGTAGTGATAGTTGTGGCTGTAGGGGTAGGCGTAGGCGCTGTATAGCCAGAGGCCCGGGAAGAAGCCTAGGGCTGCACCGCCGAGGACGTAGGGGGCAATGCCGCCAGCGGAGCGTGAGCCAGATCGGTAAGGAGTTGTGGCACCGCCGGCATAGTAGCTGCCTCCGCCGTAGGAAGCCCGAGTGCCGGAACCAGAGGACGTTGTGCCGCCAACGTTGCTAGACGAGCCACTTCGACTACTGGAGCTACCGCTGGAACCACTGGAACCGCTGCTGCCACTGCTGCCACTTGAACTACCCGAAGAGCTGCCAGACGAGCTGCCGGAACGGCCACCACTGCTACCTCCGCTAGAGCCTCCACCACGGCTGCCACCTCCGCCGCGTCGTTTCTCGAGATCCACAAACTCGGAGATATCTTGGGTGGTATCTACCGAGTCCAGGCGCTCAAGGAGATCAGTTGAAGGGATTGTCAAGGAGGTGACCCTGGTCGAGAGCAGGAGAAGGGATGTTGCCCACGTCAGCTTCATGGTGATAAACAGTCGTGAGTTTGTGAGTTTGCGTGTTTCTGGGGGTATAAATAGGGGGTGAAGTTGTGGAAGAAGAGAGCGTCATATATAAAAGTTGCCAGAGATGACGAAATGCTGATAGAAGTGCCTGTTAAGAGCAAATCAAGACTTTGCAGTTCAGTTCCACAAAGGAAACTGATGAAAGGACTCAGCCTCGGACCCTGAGCGGGTCAATACGAAGACTATCTTATATACTCCCAAGTACGGAGAAGACACTGCCACAATCCACTTGGGGCAACTTTCCAGAATCTTTATTAATCTGAGTTTGCACTGCCATGTCTCTTGAGCCTTGGGCCTAAGCCACATGGTGTTCATTGAATGCTTGAATGAGCCCAAGGGTTGGTCTGATATGCTGTTTTAGTCGCCCAATTCCGGTGTTGGGTCAGACGTTAGATAAATTAATTGTGTTAAGAGTAGACCCGACCGGTATCGGGCACCTACGGCTTTCCCCTTTGATCTTCACCTTCCCCCATCCACATTTCAGGCCTCTCGGCCATGGCACGTCAACGGGGTCTTTCAAATGCATCCTCCGTATCATCAGCCCCAGACCAAGTATGAGCCCCTCCTGAGCCGATGAGGCTGGTCTAACGGTGCTTTAGGAGCTGGGGAGTATGTATGATTACCTCGCCAAGATCATCCTCCTGGGACCAAGCGGTGCTGGCAAGTGAGTAACACGTGGATCCTGCTGTGGTATGTGAGTCATTGACGCCTCTGTTACAGGTCCTGTGTATTACATCGATTCGTGAAGGATGAGTGTACGCCAAACCCCCCCCCGATTCTGGGCCGAGTGATAGGCTAACATGTGGACAGGGCGAGTACTCTCATCACAAACCATCGGCGTCGAGTTCGCGTCCCGCATTGTGAAACTGGGTACGGGCTCGCGACGGATACGAATCAAGCTTCAACTCTGGGATACCGCCGGCACCGAACGCTTTCGATCGGTCTCCAGATCATACTATCGTGGCGCGGCGGGTGCTATTCTCATCTACGATGTCGCTTCCTACACCTCCTTCGCCTCCCTTCCGACCTTCCTCATGGACGCGCGCGCCCTCGCCTCCCCGAACTTGTCGGTCATCCTAGCTGGAAATAAGGCCGACCTCGCATCTGATGCCCAATCGGAGTTGGAGGATAATACACGCCCTCCCCCGACGCCGTCCAGTACATCGAGCAGAATGTCGTCTCTGCCGTGGGATGCGAATGGCTCCATTCGCTCGAGTCATCTGGGCCCAGGGACCAGATTGACAGCCACTCTCGCATCTGAAGGTCGTGAGGTGAGCTCGGAAGAGACGTCTCGCTGGGCCGCAAAGTCAAATATCCCCGTTGCGGTTGAGATATCCGCCTTGACTGGGGATGGCGTTGAGGAGGTTTTCAACCGGCTAGCGCGCATCATCTTGACCAAGATTGAGCTCGGAGAAATTGACCCTGATGACCCGCAGAGTGGCATCCAGTACGGTGATGGCGGTCTATACGGTCATGGCAGTGATGCCTCGAGTATCAGAAGTCGAGCCACATTGGACGAGAATTCCATGCCCCTGCAGCGCAGGGCTCCCAGGCGAAAAAGCAGAGCTGGCACTGGGAATGGCTGGAAGGGTGGAATGAGAGAATGGGAGGATGTATTCCGCTTGGGTGGCTCTGGTAGCCGCAGGAACCAAGGGTGTTGTTGATTTCCAACTGCATTATGCTGATTTTAGGCGATGTTTTGACACTTGGTCTTTCTTTTACCAGCTGCACGATACCCCTATTGACATTCCTTCGTGTTCCTTTATACGGATGTCACATTATTCAAGAGCTCGAAATTCACGAGTCCAGAGTACTTAATCATTTCTTGACTCTCAGGAGTCATTTCATTGCTCACAACTTTTGGGTCATCTCTCATCAAAATCCTGCTACATGACAACTCCCCGTTTGCCCCAATGAATCCCGAGATTCGGACATTTACTCATCAATTCCAGCAATCAAAGTCTTAATACCCTTACCAGCCTTGACCTCCGTAAAGGCTTGCTCGGCCTGCTCGAACTTGACCGTGCCGGTAATTAGCTTCTTGACGTCCACCTTGCCGCTCGAGATTAGGCCGACTGCAAGCTTGTAGTCTCCGCTGCCATAGCGGAAGCTACCCTTGATGTTGAGCTCCTTGGAGCAGGCCGCCATGATGGGGAATTGGATCTCGCTGCGCCCCATGCCACCCTGCACGTACGTACCACCGTTGCGCAGGACGTGGATGCCGGTGTGAACAGAGGGTTCAGCTCCAGAGGCATCAATTGCCACGTCGGCACCAGCTCCGAGGTCGTTCTCCTGCCGCAGACGCTCTGCGTTCTCAGTGGCCGGGACCTGGCTGGGCGTAAAGGTCGACGTCACGCCGTACTGTTGCGCAAAGTCCAGACGGGCCTGCTGGATATCCACGGCAACCACCTTGGAGGCACCAAAGGCAGTCGCCACGGCGCAGCACAGCAGGCCCACGGGGCCAGCTCCGAACACGATGACCGATTGGCCTGGGCTGACACCAGCTTGGCGCACAATGTGGACCGCGACACTGAGGGGTTCCACGAGGGCACCCTCCTGGAGGGACATCTGCTCAGGAAGCTTGTAGCAGAAGTCCTCGGGGAGGACATAGTACTTGGCGAGGGTTCCGTCATATGGCGGGGTAGCAGCAAAGGCCATATTCTCGCACAGGTTGTACTTTCCGGCCTTGCAGGGCTCGCACCGGCGGCACGAGATACCAGGTTCCATAGCGACCCGGTCGCCTACCTTCAAGGCCTTGACTGCCGATCCGACCTTGCTGATGACACCTGCCGACTCGTGTCCGAGGACCATCGGATCTTTGACGACAAACGAACCGATCGCTCCGTGCTCCCAGTAGTGTACCTGTTTCCGGGATGTCAGTCTGCTGTCATGTTGTGATTCGTAGAAGACATACGTCACTGCCACAGATACCAGTGTACTTTACATTGATCATCACATCGTGGGGGTCCTTCAATTCCGGGATCGGTCGGTCTTCGAACTTGACCTTGTGAATGCCCTCGAGGACGAAGGAGAGATTCTACCCTTTGTTAGGCTGGTTCCAATCATTGAATAGAACTAACTCCTACCTGAGCTGTAGCCATTGTGAATGTATGTCGGTTGGGGGTGGACGGGGAGAGTAAGGTGTTAATTCCGGGGGAAGCAATGTGGGGGCGGGAGACAAAAGAGAAAGAAAGATGGTATAAAAAGAAATGTCCAGGTGACCCAGAATATAATATATAGTTCTCGAGGGCCGGGAGAATGAAATCGAATCGAATTAAACCGACAGCTCCCCCAGAAGAGGTGGATACAGGATATCTCTTTTAGCCGCGAGAATTAACCGGTGAGGTCTCGCGGGGATACCTTTCCCAATGATGTCCAGAAGAGGCAATACATATGACCTCAGGGTGACTTGTTATACCAAGTTAAGTTAACTACCCCGTGGTCTTTTCACCTCTTGTGTCTGCCTCTGTAATATTATAATAAGTTTTTCAGATATTGTATATGTCTATTCGCTGTACTCTTATATATCATATCCCCTGTGGACTATCCAACACAATACTCGCAATAACGTGATCTCAAATAATTACTTAATGTTATGATACCCTAAGTTAATACCTAGGTACACGTAGGTACACATAGGTAGAAGCTGGAATCTGCTTACGTCTACGGGAGTACTGGCCCGCCAAGACTCGGGACTCGGTCCGGAGACACCTCCACTTCACCTGCAAAGGTCCGCTCCTTCACGTCAACCTCACCAACATCATGGTCCGATATAATGCTCTCGCCCTGCAGGGGGGATGCGCAGTCTCCGGGCCCGACCTGCTCCCGCTCGCTTCCTGCAACAGCGCCAGCGCCAGTTCGGAGCATCGGCTAAGCAGGCCAAGGAAAACCAATCGTTCAAAAGTCAATTGTACGAAAGCACACAGCAGCGTCTTAAGCGCGAGCGTGCAGAGCAAGAACGCTTCGCCCAGTATCAGCAGACTCAATCCCCAGCTGGCCGCTCGGCAGCGCTGGTCTTTGGTATGCGAAGAACTGACATTTTCTTGCCTCGGGTTTCTTGCTAACGGTGTTATAGCTTTGATCTTCTTTTCGACCGGTGCTTATTACCTAGGATCCATCAAGCCCGCTGCCCTCCCTATCTCGTCTACCACCTCTCTATCCGAGATTGAGGCGCCGAAACACAACGTCTCGAAATCCAATCTTCAAGCCGCCTGGGCCGATTTCGTGGACATTTTGGGAAAGGAGAATGTCTCGACTGCAGATGGTGATTTGGCCTCGCATTCCGGGTCGGATTGGTCGTCTTACTCGCCCAAGGAGGGTGAGAAACCCTTCTTGATTCTCTACCCGTCCAGTACCGAGGAGGTCTCGAAGATCATGAAGATCTGCCACCAGCGCGTGATCCCCGTAACCCCTTATTCCGGTGGCACAAGCTTGGAGGGCCACTATGCGTCCACGAGAGGTGGAGTCTGCATTGACTTCCGTCGCATGGACCGCATCTTGCAGCTACACAAACGTGATTTAGATGTCGTGGTGCAGCCTGCGCTCGGATGGGAGGAGTTGAACGAGGAAATCGCCAAGGATGGACTGTTCTTTCCCCCAGACCCTGGCCCAGGTGCTATGATTGGAGGCATGGTGGGAACCGGCTGCTCGGGAACTAATGCATACAGATACGGCACTATGCGCGAATGGGTACTTTCGCTGACTGTCGTCCTTGCTGATGGAACCGTCATTAAGACTCGGCAGCGACCCCGCAAGTCCAGTGCTGGTTATGACCTGACTAAGCTCTTCATTGGAAGTGAAGGCACTCTTGGCTTGGTCACAGAGGCGACACTGAAGCTGACGGTCAAGCCCAAGAGCCAGAGTGTGGCAGTCGCAAGCTTTGGCTCCATTCAGAATGCTGCTGAGTGTGTGACAAATGTGGTGGAGGCGGGTATTCCCGTGGCCGGTGTTGAGATTTTGGATGATATCCAGATGAAGTGCATCAATGCCAGCAAGACGACCAGCCGCCAGTGGAAGGAGTCTCCAACTCTCTTCTTCAAGTTCACTGGAACCCCGGCAGCGGTCAAGGAGCAGATCAGTATGGTGCAGAAGATTGTAACTGGTGCCTCGGGCAAGTCCTTTGAGTTCGCCCGTGGTGAGGAAGAGATGCAAGAACTTTGGAGCGCCCGCAAGGAGGCCTTGTGGAGTGTCATGGCAATGAAGAGAACCCCCGATGACCACGTCTGGACGACAGATGTCGCGGTTCCAATGAGCAGGTTGCCCGATATCATCGAGGCTACCAAGGAGGACATGACCAAGAGTGGCCTGTTGGCTGGAATCTGTGGTCACGTCGGAGATGGCAATTTCCACGGTAAGCTCCCCAGAATGATATACATTGGTGGTATGGTTTGATCTAACACCCCTTAGCCATCATTTTGTTCAATAATAGCGAAAAGAAGACAGCCGAGGGTGTTGTTCACCGGATGGTGAAGCGTGCCGTGGAGATGGAAGGTACCGTCACTGGTGAACATGGCGTCGGTCTCGTCAAGCGAGACTACCTCGAACACGAATTGGGTGAATCTACAGTGGATGCCATGCGCCGAGTAAGTCTACTCCGTTCCTATAGCCTTGTCTACTACTCCTATCAACCATGACCGCTAACATCCATGTTCTCATTCTAGCTGAAATTGGCTCTTGACCCGCTTCGCCTGCTCAACTGCGACAAGGTTGTTCGCACCGAGCAGCCGGTAGCCGGAGAAGTTAAGGAATGGTAGATGTCTTCATCAGTCCATCCGTCGCGATTTCACTAGCCCAAAGTACACCAGAGCAGCAATGTCGTAACCCCTAATCCGAAGAATCCGAACCAGACCGTTCATGGTGGTGGTGGTGGTGGTGATGGTGTCGACGAGAACGCTTTTCATCATCGCTACCACTCCGAGAGCCCGAACCGTAGTGGCGGCGCTCTTCATGCTCATAATGGGGCTCGATGCGATACTCATCGCCGCCACCATCGAACCGCTGGCCATAACCTTCTTCCTGTCTATAGCCAGGATTCTCCGACTCGTTATAGCCAGGCTGTGGTCTACCATAGCCGGAAGAGGTCTCTCTGTACATATTTGATCAATATGGGATAATTTAACCAGATAATTCAAACAAACTCACCTTGCAAATCCTCCACCGTAGGCTGGGCGTTCCATACCTCCAAAAGCAGGAGTTTGGCCTTCCCCATACTCGTATCGCGAGGTTTGCTTAATCGTCTCTTTCCTTTCCTCTTGGTAGTAGCCATGGCTTTCCGACTGATATTGGTAGTGCTCCTCGCGGCGGTAGTCAGCCGATGGGGGTGCATAACCGCCGAAGTCTTCGCGACGCGTCGGGGGTTCTCCATAGACCGTATCACTTTGATATTCATATCCACTGGGACGAGGACGGAACTCTTCGTGGTGAACTGGAGGCTTTCCGTAGCCTGTGTCACTGGGATACCCATAACCACTGGGACCAGAAGGCGGCGCTTGACCGTACGAGTTCTCTCCATATTGCTCGTGGCTTTCATGGTGAGATGGACGCTCATAGTCATCCCCACTGTCATACTTTAGAGACCCAGGTCTCTCCCGCCCCGGTTTGGAGTCACCACCATTGAGGATCATTGAGCTCATGCCTCCCACAAGTCCACCAACTAAACCACCCAGGGCTCCTCCTCCAATGGCCTGAGAGGCAAGGCCCTCAAGACCAGAGCTACCGGACTGCTGGCCTCCACCAGAGCCTTGGCCTTGGCCTTGATGAAGGGCTAGCGGCTTGCCACACCCGTGGCCGCAATCTTGTACGCCATCTTTGTGGTTCCTACCTTCGTAGACACCATCACGGCTCAGCTGGTCACGGAGGACATCACGTTCCTCGTCCCCTTTCTCACTCCACCACTTCTCAACCGTCGAAAACATGGTCTGGCGAATGTCACGAGCTCCATCGTTTCCGTACTCGCGTAGAGCGGGATGATGGAAAACACCGGAGATTATTCGGTCAAGAGTTCGGTCAATATCAGCGTCTTCGTCATCCCAGCATTGCATGAGCTGAGGAACCGACCACTCGACAACAGCTGACGCAATGCGACCAGCTGGCTCATTCAGGATGTTCGAGAAGTGGTCCTTGGAGAGCATCGAGTGAGTCGGATTTGAGCAGTCGTCGTCGTTAAACACAATGTGTTGCTGCTCTCGGCTGCTCTGGATGACTTCAGAAGAACCAGTCTCCAGCTCCGACTTGACCTGCTTGATGATGGGCAGAACGTAGGGGGCCAAAATGGAAAAGACAAAAACAGTGATTTGATCCTGGATTTGCTCGATCAGATCTGGCAACACTGGAATTTTTTCGATGGCCTCGTTGATCTGTTTCAAAAGTTGGTCATGCCATTCAAGGACCGGATAAATCTGTTTGTGGACATTGCTCAAGTAAAGCGCCCACTCTTCAGGTTCCCGAGGACTGATGTTCTGGCTGTCGTGTCTGGCATCATCTGCCTTGGATTTGAAATCATCCATCTGATCAGCCTGGTCGTTGCTGCTGCCAATGAGACCTTCGGGAATTTTGCTCAGCAAATCTTGCAGGAAGCTTTCAGAGGGACTCTGATTCTCAGATTCAGTGATAACACCTTCCAGGGACTGCAGTTCGGACTGCATTGTTTTATCAGACAGCTCCCCAAGAACCGAATGAAAGAAGTCGACACCACCAAATGTACCAGTTACTATTGGATAGACATAGTCACTGGCACCTTCAACTTCCAATTTAGTGTTACGTCCGACATGAGGGAATACCTCCGTCTCTCCCAGTTCGATCAGACTAAGTTCTGTATAGTTTGAGTGAGCGGCATAATCTTCCAGGCAATGAAGACCAGTGCCAAGCAGTCGCAGAGCTTCGTAGAGATCGTCCTTGTTCCCAGATCGACCATAGCGACGGCCAAGCTGCATTGAGCGACCGAGCACGCGGCGAATCAGAGCGGCTGAAGTGTCAATCCCCATGTCCTCTGTCGCGATATAATGCTTCAAGCCTGTTCCGGGTGTTAAGTTAGTTCGATTTTCATAATAGCAGCGTGATCGACCTCCATACCGGTTCGGGGGTCAATTGAAAGCTCTCGATTTTCGTCAACAGGACCGCGCAGGCGTCGATCGTAGGAACGCGCATCTTCTCCCTCAGCGTACCCCAAAGGGTTATCGATGTGTTCTGTGGGTTGATAACATCCTAGTCGCTCGGTGGTAACCTCAAACTCCGCAGTTCCGTAGCTAGCAAGACAGTTAAGCAAATGTGGCAGTTAATGCCTCATATAAGTGCTTACCCGAAGCTCATAAACCCCAGCACCCAGATAAGGATGCGGATTGCCTCAGCACTGACATACTTGACAGTGCCCACATCGACTGCCTGGCTGTAATCACGCAGCCAGTTGCCGAAGTACACCCGTTTCACATCAAGCTTGCCAAATTTCTTACCACCGGCCACTCGAGCCAGGAAGAGAGTTAGAAGTGTATCCTCGATGTCTCCATGACGCCAATTCTGGCCTTCGAGACGGGAAAGAGACGCAATGTTGCCAGCGCCAAAGGCATAAGCTTGGCTGGAGAAGGCGACCAAGATCAACAGGGACAACCCCAGGTTCTGCAGTGACAACAGACCCATGATTGAAAACGAACAAGGGAGCCTCGACAGTTTGATAATAACAAGGAAAATGGAAGAGAAGAAAGGGGAAGATGTCAAATTTCAACCCCACCTGTACGGAGCGTGTCAAACATGGTGGGGTGATCATTTGATACGGCTTCTTGGCTGCAGCCGGTGTCTCCCACTAGTCCCCGGGGCTTTCTTGGCGTCTTGGCGACTGCATTGCTCATGTCTGTGACAAGGACATGCATGAAAAAGGCGATGTTGCAATCGGCCCAATAATCTTGCTTCTTTCCCGTTCTAAAGGGGACGCGGATTTATGGGATTGTGGGCAGAGAAGAAGATAGTTGGAATAAAGAAATGGTTTCAATAGACCGAGGGATAGCAAACAATAAAACAATAAAGGAACAGTATACCTCTGTAGAGAGTGTTATAAAGAAGATAGTAAGATTACGAAGGGGAGAGGAGTTATAGAGAGTGGTGAACAGAGTACGGAGTATGGACAAAGTACGAAGTCCGCATGCGGTCTGGATCCGTCTGTCTCCGGCTTTCACCGCCGTCCCCTTTTCTTTTCTCTCTTTACATCTTACATATCCCCGGACTTCATTCTGTTCTAGTCTCTGGTTTCTATCTCTCTATGATGTGCTCGGCTTGATCTATCTTTGCGATATCACCCCCCCGCTTATCTTTCCCCGCTGATGGTCTCACCCACTTCTTTCAATACTTGTTCCTCTAGCACCGGGTCTCAGGCGCCATTCTGCATACTCTGCTCTTGATCTGGTTTACCTTCCAGTCAAACTGATTGCGACAATCATGCGTCGCGCGATTCAGCACTAAAGCATCGTTCGCTGCGCTTAGTCTGAGGAGAGGTGTGGTCGCTTTTCTCACCATGGCCCGAACCGACATGCAATATGTCCAAGACTCGGCTTTTCCGGTCTCAACAACTCGACCTTCAGGAGAGTCTGGGTCGCTCAAGCGTCCTTCCAGACCTGCAAGAAGACCTGGTGTTGAAGGTGGACGCGCCGCATCCTATCATATCTTCCCACCTCAAGATCCAGACAGCTCGCAAGACCGGATTCCCGTGCCTGATGTATTCGACAATTCGTATTCACCTGTCGACCTCAAAAAGCGCGGCTCCATGGCTTCGAGCATGGCCATACAGGGTACCACACCCACAGAACAACCGTGGACCTCAGAAGCACATTTGATGAACTCTTCGGAACCCAACACTTCTTATGAAGGTGTTGAATATCTGTCCAGCAAGAGCAAATCAGTGAAACCCAAAGTGCACATTAAACCCATCTTGCGCAAAATGTCCCGAGATGATCAGCCATCCACCTCGATCGACTTGTCTCGATCTTCTACCGAACAAGAAGGCTTAGGCATTTACATGAACTTCGAGCGGGATCGACGACGCAGCGAATCAGTGACAGGCGTCTCTTACAGGAGAACACCATCCGTTCTTCACAATCGATCTACCAGTGGGACATCTCAATTTTCGACCGGGTCGGGCTCGAGTGTTGGTAAGCCGGGTACACAGTACGTGCATCCCATGCGGCAAATGCCGCGGGCATACACTCCGCCGCTGGGTCAATCATGCCAGGCATCGACTCATGACAGCGAAGAGCTTGAGGGAGAAGCCGAAGCCGAAGATGAGCCTGATCCTGTGGCTTTATTAGAGAAGCGTGCTCCCTCATGCCCAGCCCCATCACGGCTATCGCTACATATCCAAGACGATTCCTTCACACGTCTCCCGGGAATTTCGCAAACCAACGTCGCTAGCCGACCGTCCTTTGGATACTCACGGGATGAAACTGCATCCCCGATGTCTAGGACCTCTCTCGACTTCGTGTTCCGATCCCGAACTCGGACAAGCACTGATCCGATCTCCCGCGCAGCTACGGTACAAGCTGCTCGTCAGGCATTCGAGGATAAAGAAGCCGCCAAGAGCCGTCGGCTTGAAAAACAACAGGTCAAAGCCGAAGAGAGACATTCACGACGCCGTTTGAAGCGCAACCCGTCTGATGACCTCACTTCTCCCGTTGCACAGTCTACTGAGGAGATTTCTGAAAAGCCTCGGTGGTCCACTGTTCACGAGAGGGACGAGCCGTCAGCTTCCTGGAAATCCCAATCTAAGAGCACATGGGTGCTTTTCATGACATGGTTACGAACTCGGGTTTTCAAATTCCGACGCAAGGTCCGGAAGCTTCGTTAGCTTTGAGCCGTTCATTAGTCACATTTTCTCCTTTTTCCCTCATCCGGTCTATAGTTTCAATGAGCGAGCGATTTGATACTTTTTCTTATCTTTGATCTGGGAGTTTCTTGCAAATTTATGGGAACTCTTGATGTGAGCTGGCGAAACGGCGTTTGACTTTCTACTTTCGCGCATATGTTTGATTACCATAGGAACTCGCTGGACGACTATCCTAGAGCAATTCCCAGGAGCATGTTATGGAAATGAGAGATGTAGCTGGACGCAGTGCCAAAAGAAGATCCATACAGTTTATTGAATTCCTCGACTGTAGACCGGTCACATGACCCCCAAACTGCACAACTGAGGGTCTTCCGCGCCCGTTTCCCTTTCCCCAGCGACTACGGCGTACAGCAGCGACAACAAACGCCTGATAAGCTCCACATCTTTGGGGCTCTTATATTTCTCCAGACGCGCCTCCCCGGGAGGAGCGCCTCCGCCATGGTGTACGATTGGGCTGGGAAGCGGGAGATCTGCTTCCAGATGTACATTCAGGAAAAGAAGGCGTTAGAGGAGATTATGGAGTATATGAGAACTGCCTATCAGTTTGCGCCAAGGTAAGTCGCTTCCATACTTACTGGGGCTTTATTGCATCGGACACTATTTAACAAGGTTCAATCCTTTAGTAAACGTGCTTTTCAGACCCAATTCAAGCGATGGGGATTTCCATCTAAACAAAACCCGGCGCACAAGAACGTCGAGCTTGTCGCACGTGTCAAACAGCTTTGGGAAAGCAATACAAGCCAGCGTGATATGCTCCGCATTTTGAATGAAGAAGGCTTCGAGATCAAGGAGAGAGAGTTGATGCGAGTACGCGCAAAGAATCGCTGGCTGCTGCGAGTACCCAACGGAATGAAATCCCACACAAACATCGAGGCACAAGCTGTCCACCCGGAGGATGAGGGATTATTTGCCTTGCAGCAGGAGGTTTACAAGGTCGAGAGCGCACTTGACGACCCGAGCTCTCTCACAGCAGAGCCAGATGCTGAGCGCCGAACGACTGAGTCACCTGGACTGTCCCCAGAGGTCATCGCAAAACGCCAGGAGCGGCTGGATCGCCTGAAGGCAGAAAGTGCAGAGCGTTGGGCCTCCCGTAAACGTCGACGTCGTACCCGAGGATGGGCAGGATTACCAGCTGACCCTCCGGGTCCTCCACGCTTCCCCTCGGAGACGACCATTGATGAAAGCAAGCAGTATCTCAACTTGGACAACACCATGTACCGACAGACGAGAGATCACTTCCAGCGAATCTGTGAGGAAGCAGGCTTCATCAAAAAAACGGCAGCTGGCCCGGAAAGATGGCAGGCAGCAAAAGACAAATTAATACAAGAATCCCCTCATCTCCAGCAGGTGTTCAGCACAGATCCTAGTCAACGCGACGCAAAGGTTCTTGCGCTCGATGTTGTGTGTACCGATGTCACTAAGCGGATGCGGACTCTCGAGAGGCGAATGACTATCGCCGAGGCGAAGAATGCCTTGGGCATTAACCCGGAGGAAAGCCGACAGATCCGGAACGCTTTTTATGACACTCTGAAGGTAGATCATTTTACGAGCAAGTTTGAGGCTGGCGACGAACATTGGAGAGAGCTGAAAGAGCAATGGGTCGGGAACTCTGAGCTGCTCCGACGAATCCTCGCGCCTGGGCCAGCTGACCCAGATCACGGCAATAAGCTGAAGGCACTGGAAGTGCTTTGTCGCGACGTCATGAAAAGACTTCGCGATGACCAGACGAAGCGAGATCCGGGGCGTAAGAGATCCTCGGCACGCGCCGAGTCTCGAAACTCGACACCTACACACACATCGATGGGCAATATATTGGGCAATGAGATTAGCAATGGGATCAGTACCTTGGCCTCTCAGGCACTAGCAAGTGCACCCATCACGGCCACGGATATCGGTGACATGCAGATCGACCCTTCTCTGCTCCAGGCTGCTAACGACCCATCCTTTTCTACCAATTCACAGCATGACACGGGAAATGCCTTTGAATATGTGGATCCTATGCTCAGTTCAGCTTTGCTACAAACCCCGGTGTATTTCCAGATTGGCCCTGATAGCCAAGCTCAGGAGACGACTGCAAAGTCCTGGCCCGAAAAACTAGCCACGCGCACGGTGGATGAGCTGCGGCAATTATTTGCTGCCAGGTATCCCTATTCCATCATCTCCCGGATTGAGGGCTTTGACAGGGATGAGGATGGAAATGAGATTCCTTTCCCGATTGACGAAGACCACGAATTGGATGCTTACTTGACCCATGTCCACGGACGAAAGGCGCTTCTTGTGTTCACCTTGGGCCAGATGTGATTAACTGGCAAGGTTTGAAACAATGGTATTTCTTTGGTGGAATTTAATATCAATTAAAGGCTTTGTTGAAACAACTGTCTTCGCATCCATGGATGTAGCCCCTAAGGCGAGTTACGAGATGGCATAACTAGCCTGGGAATGGCCATTAATAGTACAGATAAATCATGAAGTTTTTTAAAAAGGTTCAAGACCAAATACATATACATTGTTCGCTCTTCACAATTCCAATGTTCACAAATGAGAAAATCCCCGGCCAACCGCTACACCTGTGCACCGAAAAAGAGACTGCAAATTGTTTCGATCTTCAGGTAGAGCCCAAAGTTTGAACCACATTCCTGAAAAGAACACCAATAGCAGGCAAAGAGTAAGCAGGAGTATCACCGAAGACACTGGCCAATCCCTTGGCTTGAGCAGACGAATCGGTGTCTTCGTCATTCTGAGCAGGAAGCCTCTCTTGTCCCCGAGTGAAGAGACTCGCAAGCCCACTGTCAATTTGTCCGGTCACATCGCGAGACTGGTTGTTCTGGCTCTTCTGGGATGACTTGTCCATACAGCCAAGTCGTTGCACACCCACTGCGCTGTCAATGACAATATAGTCACCTGAATAAGAATCCGAGAGTAGCGCAACTGGGGAGATCTTGAGGGTCTCTTGGAAGACAACTTCGAATGACGGGACATCATAAATATTGATTTGGAATCGGTTCTTGCCACGTTTTGAGCCACGTGTGGCAATTGCCAATGACTTGGTTCTGGCATTCACAGCAATCAGCTGTGAGTTGCCCGCGCCCGGCAAATCAACAGAGCCTGAGGACTGGATGGTCTTGACAATGTCGTCAACGGTATCCCAAACGGCAACCGAATGGGTGGAAGCAACAAATAAATGGCTTCCCAGGAAGCTTGTCGAGCAAGGATTGCCCAGAAAAACACCTGTTCGTCGGTAGTGCACAGCACAGTTCCGTGCGTCGATCAAAAGAACAAGGCCATCGTTGGCAGCCGAGGTCGATGGCAGGCAGACAGCCAGGACTGAGCCATCCTCGGAGAAGCTCATGCTAGCTGTGTCCAGAGGCGAAGCTTGGGCGTTGTCTAAACATCCCTTCAGGTCAACAAGACCTCGACACTTCCAAGTACTCTGCTCCGGTTGATCTTTAGCCTTCAGACCGCTGCGATACTTAGCAGTTGGACACCAGAAACGAAGAACAGAGTCCGATCCTAGGGTTGCAAACTCGTGAGCACTGGGGCGGGATACCAAACCAAGGACGGTCGATTGGTGGTTCTCGGCGAAATGAGGACTGTCAATACGTGTAACAAGTTCCCATGTATCAGATGAAGCATCCCACTTCCAAAACTTCAAGAAAATCTCCGGACGAAGAGCAGCAATCGATTTCGGGGAGCTGCGGTCAAGCGCCTCCACATCTTTAGCGTGTGGGACCCAAGAGTCAACGGTAGCCAGCCATTTTGCATCATGCACAATATCCAAATGTTTGACATCGGGTGCGACAATCTGGGACCCCTCTGGGCTGACGCTCAAAGTGGTCGCATTGGTTCGTGCAAGAGCTTGACGGGAGATGTGGGAGTTGGCACGGATGTCATATGTCTGAAGCACAGCCGCGTTTGCAGGCTGAGAGCCATGTTGATTTTGAGTAAGCTGGTGGGAAGCTGGTACAGCCACAATTAGTCGCTCTGGTTGCTGCGGGTGCAACTTCGCCACAACAGAGCTCTTTGGGGGTTCCGCACGGCCTCCCATGTCTGGGCATAGCTGCAATCCGGTGATAGTGGCGAGGGGCTGCAGTTCTCTCGTCGACATAACCATGACCGAGTTATCGGCCAGTTTAATCACATAAGAGCTACCACTAGTAGAGACGACAATGTTGCAGATAGGTGAAGAAAGATGAGGGAGGAATTGCTTCCGGCCTGTGTCTAATTGCCAAAGGACCATGACTGATTCTTGGCCACCCGAGATAATATAATTACCTGTGAAAGAACGAGGTAAGTACTATCGCTCGAATGCTCGAATCCAGGCACTAGGGGGGTTACATACCATCTTTGGACCAACGTACAGTGTTGACAGATCCTCGGTGCCAGTGCAACTTCCTGGGGGAAGACTTCTTATCGCTAGTTTCTTTGCCAAAGAGGGTGTTCAAAACATTCTGGTAGATCAGAATGGAACCACCACTCTCTCCTACTGCCAGGTCGATCGAGTCTGAGCCTCGGATATCAAAGCAAGTAGCATTGACGGGAAGGGTGGCCTCGCGCCAGCTGTACTGAACAGTCTCAAGATTTCTGAGCTCTGCGCTGGTTGTGGTACCCATGAACAGGCGCTGTCCATCACTGGCAACGATAACACGGCCGTCATGAATGACCTTGATGGTATTGAGCCTCTGGCTAGTTTCGAGGACGTTGGTGCCTTGGATCTTCTTGTCTCCCAGCGTACTGATAGAAATCTGCCTTTTTCCATCCTTTTGCGATGTGATAGAAAAGGAGATAGTAGTTTTGTTTCCTTCCTTTTCAATGGAAGCCAAGCTCGTTGAAACGGTTGTCGAGGTGGTTTCCCAGCGAGAAATGCGTTTCCCGGAGCTCCAGTTCCACTTGCTGATAGAACCTGAAGATGTGAAAACAAATAAGTTTTCTTGGTCTTCTGGGCAGATGCTAAACCCAATGATCCTTTGGCCAGCTTCCATTTGCAAAGTGCGCGACAGGCGCGAGGTAGCGGTTGCGAACACTTGAATGGCAGTGTCGAGACAGACTAGGAGATATCTGCGAGTGAAACAGGTCAGGATGAGTTTTATAAGATTTCAGGAAGGCGATTCTTACGCCTCATCGTCAGTCAAGATTGGATCCAAGTTGTTGTATCTCCCGCCAACAGGACGAGAGAATGACCACGGCGCGGGCCTTTTTTGCATGTCCACGTCTTGTGTCTGGGCATTGCTATTGGAAGCGTCCTCCGCCCCGTCAATTGGCTCTTCCGTATTAAAGTTCGGGCTTCCATTGCCCCCAGAGACTCTGCGTCTTTTGGAACGCTCTTCGTTGGGCCGAGCAGGCTTCTCGGAGGCCGCATCACTGAGCCGGGATCGTTTTTGGTGTCGTGCTGACTGGTTGGCTGGCATTTTGCAGATAAATTAGCATCAAATCAATATTAAAATCTGGGCGAGAAACAATGCGACTCAGATAGTCATAGCTCTCACAAATCGGAGCAGAGTTGCAGCGACTCGAGTCTGTTGATCTTCATGGCAGATCGGACTACTTTTTTTCCAAAGATAAAACAAGGCGGGGAATATCGGCAGAAAAGCGCAGTCATCCTCATTGGGTTAGCCTCGACTTCTGTGATCTTCCGGGAAAAAAGTCTGGTTCACAGCGACATCATTCTTTTTGACTGACTTCGCCCATCTCTCACCTTGAATCGCCGAAATGATTATCCCTGTTCGCTGTTTCTCCTGCGGAAAGGTAGACAACCCTCATTAAATCCGCGTATTATCATTTACTGAACTGTCATTGTAGGTTGTTGGTGACCTTTGGGAGCGTTACTTGCAGCTCCTGGACGATGGTGTTCCCGATGGGTAAGCCAGTCTCATTTTGTTTCGGTTGTTTCTAGCTGATAATCCGGGTTTGTAGTGACGCTATGGACCAACTTGGCTGTAAAAGGTACTGCTGCCGACGAATGATCATGACTCACGTGGATCTGATCGAGAAGCTCCTTCGGTGCGTCAAAAGAGGGAAATCCATGTCTTCAGTTGGAAAGTGTTACTCATTATGCACAGTTACAACTCCGCCGAGAAGGACCGCTCCAAGGCTCAAGTATAAAGCCAATTAGTTCACCAGTCGAGACTTCAACCTGTCGTCCTCATGCCGAAACTTCCCCGCCAAAGAATGCACAATCGTCACGTCTCTCCTTTCTGCTCGACCATTAAACCTCCCACCATCCACCACTGTGCTTTTCCTCGGTCAGAAGAAAGTGAGCGCAGTTTGACAATGGTCATTCACAAAGCGTGCGAGCTTGATAGTGGCTCTCGATCTCAGTCAGTTTTCACCATTGACCATTACCAATTCGAGAATGTGCCATGTCCAGTGAGGTGGTTTTGGATATGAGTGGACCAAGCCCCGGGGATGAGAGAAGTCCCCCGCTGTTGATTCTTCTGGTTTTTGCATTTAGGGTGGCGTTGCACACTACACAGTGGGATATGGCGTAAAGGAAGGCATTTGCGTTTTAATTTGTCGTTATCTTCAATGAAGCTTACAGCTCAGCGAGTTGCAGTCTGTAGTCTGACCTAGGGTACGAGTATAATCAATATACTTCCAGTCCGGGAGAGAGAGATAATGCATCATGGTCTTTGGCTATAAAGAATGGGGGATGTCTTCCATCTGTACACTCAATAAGAGTTGAACTATCGGGGAGATTCCAACTGTTAAAGGTGACAGCTAGAGCTCACAGCTCCCTTATATTTACAAGCCAAGAGCGCGTATACTTTGAGCCCAGGTCAACCAATCACGGTTTTTGCCGTATATTCCCAACCGATAACCGACAGTTAGGCGCCGTGATGAACATGCATCAGGACCTCCACCGGCCACTCATATCACGCGGGGCTGCATCCGACTATACTCCATAGAGGACAAAAGCGCTTACCACATTTTACGGCCAATTGAGAGCCACAGTGTATTGATACAATTGGTTATACTGTATTCAATATCATTGTTCTCGTATTGGCAATGGGGTGAAACCCGCATAGAATACACAGCACTTCATCTGAGCTCCTTGAAGTCCATCACGTGTATATAGTACCAGGTAAGCGATAACCAGGCTCAGCTCCTCCCCTCTTCTTTCATTGTTCCCCGAGGATTCTTTTCGAACCAACTGTTCATACTCTTGGCCATGATGGCCGTCAGGTCGCCGCTATCTGTCCTACCCTATCGCGACGCTGCAAGCCCGGCCTACTACTCTCCAACGTCGGCCCCTATGTAAGGTCAATGTTTGCGTAGAGACTGCAGGGCACTGATGTGTGAACAGGTCTATCGATGGCGTTTCCTTCGAAGGCACTGAGAGTTCCCACTCCTCGCCCGATCTGATACACCGAGACATCTTATCAGGGGCCTCTGCTCCCAATGAGGACAAAACAACTGGAGGTAGCCCTGCAATACCAATACGTGGATCGGAGACATCCCCTCAGTCTGGGCTCACAGTATGTACCAGCGGCAGCAGATTGGAAACGACTGCCTGGGGTGGGCTCTTTTCTCATACTTGAACAGGTCCAAACCGGGTATACAAATCACGGCCTCAGCACAAGATCGGATGAGGACGAACCCCCACAATCAGTCATACATGCTCCACCTGGGTTCGGAGACTTTGTAGGAATTCCATCATAGGCTACGCAGCCTATAACGTACCGTTTTGATATGTTGGCTAACAGTGAACCTACGCAAAGGCATCAATGCAACCCACGCTCGAAGGTCCTGACGAGTCGCAATCATCATCCGGCTCAGATGAACATAATGTTTTAATAAGTGTACCAACAAGGACCAAAAAAGTGATTTAGTCCCAGAGCCTCATTGTGTAAGTTGCTAATAGCCCGATCTATACAGGGCAACAGTCCAATCTCACCCCCTCCATTGACAACTACCGTCGACCCAACAATCGATTGCTCTGAGCGAGCAACACCCCGTGCACAGACGAGACATGAGTTTGATGAATTTGATCGACGTACTCGTTCAAGCAGTTTAGAAGGTATTGTACCCTACCTCTTCAATATTTCTCCTCAATAGGCATTTGGCTGACATTTGATAAGATATCCCGGAAGGTACAAAGACAATGATAAATTTCATACTACCCCAGACGACGCAAGGTACTGACTTCGCTGCAGGACTAACCAGCAAAGAGGCCGAAATCAATGCTCTGAGAGATGCTCTCGCTGAATGTTGGACACTATGTAATACACTGGCTAATCTCAGTTATATCCATCGCGAACGTCTCTTGAAATCCTACAGCGATGATATGCAGGAGGATGCCTGGAGGTCATGTTGGAGACTTTGCCAGAAACTCTATGACACGCAAGACGACGACTATGCATCCCAAATTCATCCTACTCTGGATCTCTGTCGAGATTTCTGCCAAGCATTATTTGAAGCCCGAACCCGGGACGCTGACGTATCTGACTCAGTCTTACGAGTCAGCTTTGAACTGAATAATCACCTGTACAACACCCACGATCGAAATCTCCCAGATGCTTTCCGTGAGAGAACTTTGGATTTCTATATTACATTATGCCATCGACTTATGAAGCAACGGACCCGTATGACGGAAACTGACTCTTTGCTGAGTGCTTGCTGGACATTAGCTGAGATGCTGTTTAGCATTCGCCAAAGCAAGAGAGAAGATAAGCCACTGGATGAAGAGCTGCTGGGGTCAGCGGTCCAGGCGTGCTGGGAGCTTTGCGACATCTTCCGCGAGGGTTGGACGTTGCACAACTTGCGCAATTCTGATCGGGGGACACCACGGCCCAGTCAAACTACTTTCTCACAAGCATTCCATCAAGCGTCTCAACAGTCGGAGATTGATTTTGGGGATGACCCACTTAACCAACTCGGCAACCCTGAAACCCCGACAACCATCTTTGAGGATGCAACCATCTCCCCCGACGAGGCACCGATCCCCAATATTCTCGTTCTAGGATACGGTAATACTCACGACCCCCACACCAAGTGGTCATCTAATGCATCGAGTATCTCGGAAAAGTCACGGTCATCGGGACATACGGCTTCCTCGGTCAACACTGTGACCACCGTCTCAGAGGACCCCAACCTCACGCGGTTGAAAATTCTAATCACCAGAGCTGCTATCGACAGTGGATATCAGCGAGGCAGTACCCAGAGTCTGTCCTCATTCGTGAAATCGCTTCCCTCTGATGCCTTTGGCTCTGCAGCCTGGCAAACCTCGTTGCTGAAAAACTATAGAAAGGTCGTGTCATTTGACCCGGCATTCCGAAACGTCGGCATACAGGCTCGGGCAGGTGCCATCGATGTCGCGCATGCTTGTCAGGCGATGCTGCAAGGTGGCCAGTACTCCTGGCTTCGCGACCTCTACCGGTTTGTCTTCGGTTTCCATCTAGAAGAATCGATGGGCCGCAAAGGTGTGACTATCCAAACGTAGTTTCAGTGGCTCATCCGCGAGTCTTTCGGTCCTAGCTTGTCCTATCTGTTGTTTCGCTGGCAATACAAGATCTATCGGCCCTTCATTGCTTCTTAGAGACGGAGCCGAGTTTGGGTTGGTAGGACGTCAGTATCTAAAGGGGAGACGAGGCCTAAGCCTCATTTCGTGGACTTCGGAATTTTCATTCTTTATGTACAGGGCTTGGATGCACTTTGTTTCCCCTGGCTTAATTCCAGGATGTTCTACTTTCCTATGGAGTTGGCGGAGTTTGGATTTTGCCGGTACATAGCTCTATGTATAACCGGGCATGCTGTGGAATACCAATACCCTTGATGAGAGGAATATTCCCTTCGGCTTGGGAGGCGACGTTTGTGGGACTGTTACCATATGCAGATTCCCGCGGGTATCATAGTTGAAACTCGCCTTGTCTGACCGTTATTTTGCACGTCTCCTTCAATATCAAGTTGCCATAAGCACACTCAGGCCTGGCTTAGAAGTCCAACACCTGTCGTCTCCAGGACACAGGATATTCTTGCTATAAAAAGTGATTTTTACTTCTTGCCTTTGAAGCCAATGCAACTATATCCAAAGCACACCGTCGTTTGGTCTCGGAGAGAAACAAAGGACACGTTTCTGCATTAGCCACTAGCCAAAGCCCTCTGCACCCTCTCTACAAGTGACATTGAAGGACTTCCCCTCTGTACCTGACGCTCATTTTCTACTAGCATTTACTACCTCTCTCTCGTCTTGGGCATGGAGTGGGAAATGCTAGTCTGATGTGCATTGTCGGGAGACGTCTATAGGAGTCTATCCATGACTGCGACAATGGGATTACTGCTCTTCGGCTATAATCAGTTCATCTCGGAATCAAATTTCTCGCTAACAGTCATACAGAAGGTGACATGAGTAGTATTATCCGCCAAACTTCACCGATGTCCTTCCCCGTTGGCAATTCAACCCAGCAAGGAACAGGCACAGCACCGTATGGAATTGGTACGTCGTTCCAAAGGTTCGTGGTCTCTGATTGATGTTAAGGTTGCCCTTTCGAGGCCATATTGATGCTCGTCTGAGATGATTGGCTTGTCGCAAGGGATTCATCAGCGGTGCTATTTTTATGATTCTCGTGATTATCCAAGTTACTTGCTACGCTGGCAACCTCGTATAATTTTGGTGGTATCAATATAGTTGTCTATGCCATGTTTGCTATAGTTTATTAGTTTCTGATTAAGGGAGTTAATCGTAAGCTCTTCCTATACGGTACCTTTGGTCTGATGTTTTCGATGGTGATCATCTTTGCGTATCTATGCCCCAAACAAAAAGGACCTGCTAAAGGTGCCGCTATGGGTCCCTCCACATATATTGTTAGTTTTGGGGCCACCTGGCTTCCTTTGCCGTGGCTCAACCGGGCTAAGACCCTATCAAGACGAGTGTGCGCAGACATGCTCGAACTGCTTATTGAACTTCTTAATCGTGATGTTCATACCTATCATGATTTCCAACATGCAGTGGAGCACTTGCCTTTCCATTGCTGTTGTTAACGCTTGCTTCTTGTCTATCATAATTCTTTATCCGTAGACTGCTTGTCACTCTTTGGAGTAAATAAATCTGATCTTTGCCAGGGGGTTCTTGGAAGCCCTATCATGAGCATGTCGCTATGCGGAGCGGATTTGGCTTTTTTAGATCAACGTCCAGCATTGGTGATAAACCGGATCACTCAGGTGATAATACCGAAGAATGTACCAAGATATCTCGGAAGATTCAGAGTAATGCTTTTCTCGACAAGGCGTGGAGGAACTTTCAGAAATACGGTTTTTGCTAGGCATGAGAATTCGTAACTTAAATATTAATACAAATACTTAGTAAGGAAGCTAGGATAGACTATTATTATGATTTAGAATACATATATATTTCCTAGTAACATACCCGTTTAAACTCCCCCCCCAAACCTAACCACCTATCATTTTAATTTTCTTCATATACTACTCCTACGTATCCGATTATAGTAGAAACTATCCTGAAACATAGAAATAAATGCTAAATTAAACTATGAGTAAAGGTTAGCTATTATCTATGCCCATAAAAATAGTGTTTCGTAGTTAAGACTAGCTAATAAATTTAGCTATACCTATAAGTCTATCTATAATTGGCCTAAGCGCTCTGAATAATA